TTTGCTTGTAGGATAATCTCTCCACCCCACCCCACCCTTGATCGTTTTTGGTAGTTTTTTTCTGTTTGGGCAAGGCTGCTTTAAAGAGCAGAGCACACAACCTTTCTCTCTGTGTGTCCATTTCGCTACAACAGCAACCACCACCACCCTGCATGGTAGTTCTATACGCATCCTGACCCCGATGTCGAAACTTCTCTCACCACTCTCTGCATTGTGGTCCTTTGAATCTTGCAGCTGCCTCTGATCAGGCCAAGGCATCTGCTATTTACCACTCACACTCCCTAAAGTCATCCATCTTTCTGGCCTGCACACAGCCCATCCTATTAGAACTGGAAAAGACTATCAGGATGGAAAACGCTTGGGTCACTTGGCCCAACACCCCTACTCTTCCACCGCCATTGATTTGTTCCTTGATTCTGGATTTTCCTGTGCTCTGTCCAGTTTTAAGTTACTTAAACTATGAGGTTTCTGTCCTTCCTTTCTGAAGGACAGTTCTGTTCCCTGACAGAGTTTATGCTCCAATGGCCAACTCATTGCTCCTGAGTTGTTTTAGAAAGTTGGTAGATTCAGGATTTGTTTATCTAGAAATCAGACCATGACAAAACAAAGGTTTGACAGAATGAAGTTAACTAATGTGCCCACTCATTTACTTAAGTCTGCAAAACTGGCATTTATTTTATTTTATTTTCACAAATACCACATGTTTGTTTCACACTTACAAGAAATCGATCCATTAGTGTGGCGGCACCTACACTCCGAGTACTTTAAAGGGGGAAAAGGTGCCCCTCTTAGTGCGATTTTGCAGGGGTGGAGGCAGAGCCTGCTTCACAAAATCTAGGGATTGGAGGAAGGCGTCTGATTTTTGCCTCAATCCATTATGCAATGCAAAACAGAGCTACCCCTTGGAAGCTGTGCCTCTCTGATTTTTGCAAGTGAGTTTTCCAACCAAACTCCATGTACACAAATTAGTCTATTAGGGGGAAATGAGCAAAGAACAAGAGCACCTTGCATATATCAGCGAATATAACGTATGAAAAATTGCTTGCAAAAAAATTGTGCATTGGTCAAAATTACATACACAAATGTGCTTCTTAGGCGAAATTTGCCCTTAAAATGCTGGGAATTTTTCATGAGCATTTAAAAAATAAATAAATGACCGCTCACCCCCTCCCAAGAGGTGGACGGAGTTTGCCTTACCTGGCTAGGTGCCACCCACCTTGCTGCAGGGTGGCCATCGCCCCATCCCCATCTTGGCAGGACAGTGGGCTACCAGTTGGGGGTGGGGTGAGGGCCAGGTAAAGAGCTGGTCTCTTCCGCCCATTCTCACTTCATTGGTTTTGGGGCCTTGGTCAGTATTCTATACAGTGGTGGGGGTCTGTGCTTAACCTGAAACTGTTCTTAACCTGAAGCACCACTTTAGCTAATGGGGCCTCCTGCTGCTGCCGCGCCGCCAGAGCCCGATTTCTGTTCTCATCCTGAAGCAAAGTTCTTAACCTGAAGCACTATTTCTGGGTTAGTGGAGTCTTTAACCTGAAGCGTATGTAACCTGAGGTACCACTGTAGTCTATTTTTGAGATGGGGGGGTAACATCTTTGTTCACCCCCACACAGAGACATTTGCAGGGCCCATTAAAGGGTTGATTGCGAGAGTCACTAGCCCTGGAGTGGCGGCAAGTAGGTCAAACTCCCAGTTTTGTTGAGGTGGGAGGGCACGCTGTGTAAGTTCATGCTTTACAGTCCCCTCCCGCTGCACCTGACTGCCCTGAGCATCCTCAGTCCCTGTTGGATGGAGAGGGATACCTTCCAAGGCCTAATCCTACACCTGAAATTCAATAAAGTTGTGGCCTAATTTAAACCCATACATTGTTGTCATGTCTCATTGGGGGGGGTAGGGTCTGGGGACAGGTTTTAGCACGTGGGCTCGCAAACCTAACTTGCAGATGGATGCAGAGATGTGGAGAAAGTGAATGTAAGATTGCAAAAATTAGACGTTGACATAGTCAGTCGTCCCTACTTTATACAGAGTGGTGCCGCTGCACATAAAACATGGTGTGCATCTCAGGTCATCCCCCCCCCCAACCATGCAAAATCCTCAGCCAGCTCATGCCATTGCCACTGCGTCACCAACTAGGACCCTTCACCATCTCCACTCTGACCCTGTGCACCCTTTCCTGTGCTGCTTTGCCTTACCCAATGAGTATCCTCTCCAGGGCTTCATGCTAGTGGTGGGCGGGGCCAGAGGCAAAAGTGGGTGGAGCAAATAATGCAAATTTTACCTGTGTACATTAGGCTAGCTTCTATACACACCTCTCTATCCTCTGTCCAAGCGAGCAAGACATCCAAGAGGTGTGTGTATATAAATGAGACACAAGGGAAAGGATTCCTGAAAGCCAGGACTTGGGGAAGTTTTGTTCAATCTAGAGCATCAGGTCCTCCGATTGCCCTTCTGCTCCTGTGTGGCATTATGCACACACTCCAAAAGCGCCACTGAGACAGGAGGGAGAGAGACTGCTCTGGCCGCCCGAGAGATCCTGAAAAAGACCACTGACCTTTTGCACCGCTGTGAGTTTATAGAGAGATACCAGCCTCTCAACAGCATCAGTATAAATAGGCTGCCTTCTAAATCGGACTCTATCAACTGTTTCTACCTTGGCACATGCTTAATCCCACTGTACATACTGTCAACAGCACCCCCCGCCTTCCCGTAATCAACATATCGCTCCTGCCACTACTAGGGACGTCAATAGCGGTATAGTTCGAGCCTGGGTTGTGAATTCAAGCCCATTTATTCCCTCCAAGATTAGAAAACAATCTGAGCCACTGGGACGACAGCCTCAGGCCTCGATTGTTCCCACCTGTCAGCAGGAAGAGGAGGAGATGAGCGGTGCGGGAATGGGAGAGGGAGAAGGAAGGTGGAAAGACAGCCAGACAGGAATGCGAAGGAGGGGAGTCTCCATCCTTGACAGAAGTAGCTCGTAACCTCATCTCGCGTGATTGAGGAAGGTTGGGCTTGCAGAGTTCATGCTTGGGCAAGAGGCCAGGGGTAGACGGTTGCACAAGAGATATGCAATGGAAAGAAAGAAAGAAAGAAAGAAAGAAAGAAAGAAAGAAAGAAAGAAAGAAAGAAAGAAAGAAAGAATCTACAATCACCTCCAGAGTCTAGACTGTCAATATTTCTGGGAGGGGGTGCAAAATTAAAGAGCTGTGTCACCCTAACACAACAAATCCACCCCCCCTTTTTATATATAAAAAAAAGACATTTGCAGTTAGGAAAGTGATGGAGAAATACACCGAAAAATGTGGGGTGAAGAAATTGTTAATTGAAATACATATAAACAGAGCACAAGGAAATCAGGATGGATGTAGGATGAATGCTCATTACACACAACCACGCCGCAAACAAATCTGAACAAATGGGCAAAAAAGACCTGGACATAGTTTGACTTCTGGATAAGCTTTGTGCAAGTGAATCATGGTGAATGCTCAATAAACAGGTTGTCTGGAGGAGCCCAAGCTGAAGTCATTTGGAAGTTAGGGCTACTATCTCCTAAGGAGAGGAGCAAATTCATATACTGTATGCATATATATATATATATATATATATATATATATATTCCTATAGACATCGAAATGTAAGGCTGTCATCACACTGCAATTTATGTGGTTGTCCACAGGTCCACACGGCAACTGTAGCATGGAGAACAGCAGGCAGGTGATCTGAGGGCAGACAGGCGAGGGGGTGGGCGAAGTATAAAGGAAGAGGAGTTGGTCAGGTTTGGGGAAAGGGTAGAAGGGGTTGGCGAGCAATGAGCAGCAATGGCAGATAGAAAGATAGAAAGATGATAGATAGATAGATAGATAGATAGATAGATAGATAGATAGATAGATAGATAGATGATAGATAGATAGATAGATAGATAGATAGATAGATAGATAGATAGATAGATAGATAGATAGATAGATAGATAGATAGATAGATGATAGATAGATAGATGATAGATAGATAGATAGATAGATAGATAGATAGATAGATAGATAGATGATAGATAGATAGATGATAGATAGATAGATAGATAGATAGATAGATGATAGAAAGATAGTAGATAGATAGATAGATAGATAGATCATAGATAGATAGATAGATAGATAGATAGATATAGATAGATAGATAGATAGATGATAGATAGATAGATAGATAGATGATAGATAGATAGATAGATAGATAGATAGATAGATAGATAGATAGATAGATAGATGATATAGATAGATAGATGATAGATAGATAGATAGATAGATGATAGATAGATAGATAGATAGATAGATGATAGATAGATAGATAGTAGATGATAGATAGATAGATGATAGATAGACAGATGATGATAGATAGATAGATAGATAGATAGATAGATAGATAGATGATAGATAGATGATAGATAGATATAGATAGATGATAGACAGACAGATAGATAGACAGATAGATAGATGATAGATAGATGGTAGATAGATAGACAGACAGACAGACAGACAGACACATTGCTAAGCCAGTATCCATGCACACAGGCACCTTCAGCAGCCACCCTCTCTGTCTTCAGCGAATCTTGAAACGCTGCCCTATTTTGGAATTTTGGAAGTCAAAGGGAGCTGCTGAAACTGGCAGCTGCAGCATTGCCTGACCATTCTGTTCTGAGGGGCGGAATGGGATTTATTTCAGATATTATTTATTTCAGGTATTCTATTATCTGTTCCCTGTGCAGCTGCCCAGCGATCTCTTGATTGTACCGTGGCTCACATGCCCATGTAAGGGAGTGAGAAGGAGAGTAGGCTGGAGACTCCTTGCACATTCCACCTCCACAGGCTCCCCAGACCTCAGGACGGAGTGCACCCGAGGGAGCCTGAAATACGTCTTCCCAGAAGGCAGCAGTGGGGGGGGGGGCTGGGAGGGACCTGGGCCCTGTTCCCCTGCTTGTGAACTTTCACAAGACGAACAAGCCCTGAGGTGGGCAGGCCTCGAGTAGGGCTGGGGGAGAGATTCAATTCCATTTTCATTTAAAAGGTGAGCCTATCCAATTTGCACTTTCTGGAATAATACGACGACTGAAGCACAGCCAGCCTTTGAAATTCACACTCCTCCGAATTTTGCAAAGCAGGTTCTCCAACCACTGTTTACAAAAGCAGATAAATGGAGGGGAGCATGGATGAAAGTGAAAATGTGAGTGAAAAATAACATACGAAACAGCATTATATCAGAGTTCTTTGCATGTAAAAATGTGTACATTGTTAGAACTGCATAATTCAGACTACAGCCCACTTTTTAAAACAGTTTTTAAAATAAACGAACGTTGTGGATATGTTTAGCTTGGAAGTAAGGAGTTGGAAAGGTGACATGAGAGTTGTCTTCAGATATCTCAAGGGCTGTCATGTGGAAGATGGAACAAGGTCGTTTTCTCCTGCTCCGGACGGTAGGATCCAAACCAACAAATACAAATTACAACAAAGCAGATTCTGACTAAACATTAGGAATAACTTTCTGACAGTAAGAGCTGTTCGACAGTGGAACTGACTGCCTCGGAAGATGGTGGACTCTCCTCCCTTGAAGGTTTTTATGCAGAGGTTTTGAATGGCCGTTTGTCGGGAATTCTTTAGCTGTATTTCAGGGGGGTTGGACTAGATGGCCCTTGGGGAGCCCTTTCCAATTCTACGATTCTAACATATGAAGGTAAAGAGGATTCATTGGGCCATGTAAATTAGTCTTTTCCCAGGGCCACCAACACTCTCTGTGCCTCTATATACATCTATTGTCCTGTTACGAATCTTTCTGATTTACAGGAAGCCTTGGAACAGACAAAAAGAAATATTTTCCCCAAAGCGATCCAAATAACCTTGTTATTGTTGTTGTTCTTTTAAAAAAAAATACAACTATTTCTCAAAATAGCTCATTTCAAAAGAAGAATGTTTAGGGGATTCCTCTGGTGAAAATATTTCAGACTTCCTAGTGCAGAGTTCCAGAACTTTTCGTTATGCAGTGTTTTTGACTGGGAGGGGAGCGGAGAACATGGACCCCTGCCATCCCAACCCCAAATCAACCCCAAATGGATTGCAGGAGATGGCAAGAAACACACACAGACACACACAGGGCCTCTGGCGCAATGACACACAATGACTCAAATAGCGTCGAGTACCCAACATGTGACTTTGCATTTGGAAGCAATTTGCAGTGACCTGGGAAATGGAGACAGGAGTCTGGAATCCTGGAATGAGATTGTCCTTTCCTGGATAAACTGAGAAATCAGTTCTCTAGAATCCCTTCCACTCCTGCATCGAAATACGGAAATGTGCATTTGTTGCCACAGTGAAGGTGTCAGTCTTTTGGCACTAATGTGTGTGTGTGCACACGCGTGTGTATACCGCAAGGCTCGATAGGTTGCACCCAGTCCTAGCCCTACTCAGAGTAGACCCCCTCACTTAGATCCATTGATTTCTGTGGGTCTGCTCTATGCAGAAGTTATTTGGCCATGACCCCTCTGTGGTTTTGGAATGTAAACTCACTCCCCCTAGGAAGCAGAGATGGCCACCAACTTGGACGGCTTTTTGAAAAGGACTAGACGAATTCTTGGAGGAGAGGGCTATTCGGGAGCATATTCGGGAGCAGAGTTGGGGCTTTCAGATTTCACGGGCGCCCAGTGTGAGGCCAAAATTCACCCCACACCTGCCTCTTGCTTTCTGTTCTTCTTAATTCACTACATCATAGTTGCATAGAACCTGCTAAGGCTCAGCGCCCAGTGTGGGGGAATGTTCACACTGCCCTAAATCCATCTCAGGGGCTATCAATGGCTATTTGCCACAGTCAGAGGCAGCAATGCTCTTGAATACCAGTTGCTGGAAACCGCAAAAGAGGAGAGGGCTCTCGCCACTGCCTCGCCTCCTACTTTGCAAGGAAATCCCTCCAGCCACCACATGTTCTGAACTGTGCCAGGGGTCCAGCATGCTCCTGGGAGGCCCCTAATTTAATTTGTTGAAGTTTGACCCTACAGGCCACTAATAAGCCTGCTTGGTTTGGGGGAATGGAAGCATGAGCAGTAATAGGCAGGCTAACCCTTTCGCTCAAGATGTACTGCAGCTGGAAGACAGGAGACCACCATCACCTATCAAAGGGTGACATCTAGTGGTGCCCGGAGGGTGCTGGACCTTTTTATACATGCCACTGGTTGCACTAAACAGAGGTGTCTGGATCTTGCAATATTCATTAGCTTTTGCAAAAAGTGAATTCAAAACTTGGGTCTACAACTGAGTAGCAATTATCAGCCTGCTAAGTATTTAGCAATACAGTTGCACCTTGGTTTTCTAACAGCTTAGTTCTTAAACATTTTGGCTCCTGAACGCCGCAAACTGTTCCAGTTTGCAAACTATTTTTGGAAGCCAAACGTCCCACAGCTTCCAATTGGCTGAAGGAGATTCCTGCAGCCAATCAGAAGCCGCACTTTGGTTTCCGAACGTTTTGGAAGTCAAACGGACTTCCAGAATGGATTCCATTCGACTTCCAAGGTACGACTGTATTACATATTCCTAGATACAGGAGCGGATTTGTAATAGCTAGGCCCAATGCTTTGCCATCAGTACTTGAGAATTTGTGCTTGTGAAAGGGAGTCAGCCAAACCATTAGCTCATGTTCTTTTATACTATAGGTTTTATATGGTTATAATATCCCATTTATCTGCCCAGTGCTCTCTCTACACTTGGGGAACTCAATGAACTCTACAGTGTGTCTCAATTTTAATGGCAGACTCTAACTTTAAGATTACTGAAAATAGTGCTGAGCCCTTCACTGTAGCCACCACCCTAGGCCACAATGTTAAGTGGAAAATGAGTTCCAGGTAGAGGTGGGGAATAAATTCAATTTGGTTTGCATCTAAGGCAGATTCGCACTTCTGGAAACAATGCACACAGCCATCCTTTGAAATTCACACTTCTCTGAATTTTGCAATGCAGCCCTCCAGCCAAGGAATGGTACAAACATGCCTATCCCAGCGTGCATTTTTTTAAATGCACACGTAAGCTAAAATAAAGTACAGAAATGCATTTTATAGTTGGGGAAACCACTGTGCAAAAACATGCACGTTGAGCAAAATTGCGGGGGGAAAGGTGTACAGTGGTACCTCGGGTTAAGTACTTAATTCGTTCCGGAGGTCCGTTCTTAACCTGAAACTGTTCTTAACCTGAGGTACCACTTTACCTAATGGGGCCTCCCACTGCTGCACGCCGCAGGAGCATGATTTCTGTTCTCATCCTGAAGTAAAGTTCTTAACCCGAGGTACTATTTCTGGATTAGCGGAGTCTGAACCTGAAGCGTATGTAACCTGAGGTACCACTGTACCTATAATGGAGAATCATAGAATCATAGAATCATAGAGTTGGAAGAGACCACAAGGGCCATCGAGTCCAACCCCCTGCCAAGCAGGAAACACCATCAGAGCACTCCTGACATATGGTTGTCAAGCCTCGGCTTAAAGACCTCCAAAGAAGGAGACTCCACCACACTCCTTGGCAGCAAATTCCACTGTCGAACAGCTCTTACTGTCAGGAAGTTCTTCCTAATGTTTAGGTGGAATCTTCTTTCTTGTTTGGTGAAAATCCTGATGAGGACTTCTTTAAAAAACAAAAATGATTTGTTAACTGATGCAGAGAACTGAACTTAAGGTGGGAAAAAAGAGAAACAGAGAAATTGGGAGAGTCACCCATTCCTAGTTCCAACTCAAAAGTGTCTATTAACATTTGTTTATTATTATTGCCAATGGATTTTGTTATACTCTTATTTTAAAACGGGGCTATTCTGTAAGAGAGGGAATTGATACGTCTACTTGGGGCGATGGGTGTGTGTGTGATTTGTGATATTAGAAGCAGCTTATGATAATACACAGACCCTGCTTGTTTGACACAAGTACCAGCACAGACCCCCACCTGTAATCTCCTGGCTCTCCAGAGGCAGAGACTAATCTTTAGATTTAATGTTTGTCTGTTGCTGAAATCCCACTCTTGGCATAGCAAACCCCTTCGCCAACAAACTGCACACAGGCTGATTCGCAGACCAAGGGCTATATGGCCAAGGGGGTGCGGGGGGAGACATTCTTTTCTCCTCAACGGAGCTGCAGGACGAAGAGTCTGCAGGATATGTGGGATAAACAACAATTCCCAGGCCTGGATTTCAGCTCTGTCCCAAGAGAACCTGGGTATATTTCATTGCCTTGAGCCAGACCAGGGCTTCTGGGGTCCTCTCCGCATTCATTAGCTTGCCTTGACCATGGAGCGCTTGCATGTTTGCAGAGCATTCTGGGACATTTCCCAGAATGCATTTGGCATTCATGGGGGGGCACTGCCCTGTTGTGTTCCTGCACCTATCTGAACTTGGAACTGGATTTGCAAGTTTCCATTTTCTCCAATACTAACACAAAATACAAAGACTGTGTCTGGGCCTACATATCCCAGTGTCTAGCATGAAGCAACAGGTCGCTGGTGTGCTGGTTTTGAAAATCTGTTTGAGGAACACTATATGGGTGATGAATCTACTCCTGGTGACCAGTCTTAGTGGTGGTGAGCTGGGGTTCCTTCAGGACAGGATTTGTGTGGGACGGAAGGGAGTCTGGGGTCTCATTTATCAGAGCGAATGAACTGGGAGTTAGAGCTTTAAAAGAATCTGAAGGGGAGGCAAGCATACTTTTGTTTCCCAAGGACCTACAAAAACCTGGTGCCAGCTCTGCACATTTCTGTATGCAAATATATATATTTAATTTTATTTAAACACCACTTTTTTCTCTTCTAAGGACCTCAGGGTGGCATCCATGGTTCTCCCCTTCCTCATGTAATCCCCCCCAACAACAACCCTGCGAGGTAGTTGAGACTGAGAGGCAGTGATCGGCCCAAAGTCACACCCAATGAGAGCTTAGTGGTCAAGTGAGTGTTTCAACCTTGGTCTTAGTCTGGCACTAACCACTGACCCACACAAGGAGAGGGTCATTAAGTTCTGTCCAAACATATCTTACTGCACCACAGCTGAGTGGTGCCCCCCCCCAAACAGCCCTAGAGGCCCTCCAGAGTCTTCTTTTATTGTACATTCATTATTAGTAGTACTTATGATAGTATCTGGGCAGAGACTATCCCGATTTCAACACTGTCTGCATCTGCAAAGCTTTCAGGGCTGATATGTAGCTCCCTTTCCAATCCGTGCAGGTCTTGTAATTTTCTGTGGAAAGCTGTGTTTTTCTTACGACAAAGCTTCCAGGGTATTTTTGTGTGTGCCCCTCCAGACACCAATAATATGGTAACACCAGAGAAGCATCACACAACAACGGAAAAAGGAAATTATGTGTGGACGTCCCAGTACAAAACCGTCACTAATGCACTATTATTGCATCCATGACATGCTGCAGAATAACACGTCCACCTGCCCCCTGCAAAAATAAAATACAAAGCCCCAGTCTGGAAGGGCCTGTCTCAAGCACAGTCTCCCATAGACAACTTGGGGGTTTCTGAGCATCCAACCTTCTCTCTCACCCGCGTGACCCCAGTCAGGACTGTTTCTTGGTCACACTAGAATGTGATGGAATGCAGGGACCGGCTTTCATGTATGTGACTCATGATTCAAGACCTGAATTTCCCTTCTGGACTGTCAGTTATGCTTAAGGTCTGTTTTCCTGGCAGCATCCGCTACCCTTTGCTAATTCCCAACCCCCTCCAAGCATCTAGAGCTTGCTTTAAGTGAGAAGGGGATGTTGCGGGTGGTGAAAGAGCAAGCTTGGCAGTGAAAGGAATAAATCTCCACTTGCCTTTAAGAGCTTCTCCGTGTTTACAGCTTCCTCTCAGGGACAGCAAGGTACTCCCTGAAACCTTAATGGCCTTCGCCGTGACGCTCCAGTGGCCAGCGGCTCTGAAGATTGCGCGGTTAACCTTGCAAAATCCCAGAAAGCGCTGCAATTTAAGACCCGGTGTAAAATAGGAGAATGCGTAGAGTAAATCAGAGCAGCTTACTCTAACAAAGATGTGTCAACGTGTGATTATCTACGGGGGCAGCACATTCATACCTGCATCGTAGAACCTCCTGCATAGGGCTATTTTATTTTATTTTTTTGGCAATGGAAGATGCAGGTTCCTGCAATGCTTCTGGGAACGTCCAGTTTCAAAGTTGAAAGATACAGCTTCTAGGACACAGAACCGCACACATGGAGGCCAAATGCAGCCCTCCAGTCCTCTCTCTGTGGCCCTCAAAATGCTGCCCAGGCCACACCCCACATGGGCCCTCTTTGCGCCCCAAGAATTTGTGCCTGGCTGGACTGCGTGCCCGAACACTGACAATGCCTCCTGCTTATTTGAATGGACACTAAAGAGCAGCATGTGAGTGCATGTATAAACTACTATCAATTATTACTAATTAAACTTGTAAGTAAGGGACGCTGTTGGCGCTGTGGGTTAAACCACAGAGACTAGGACTTGCCGATCAGAAATGTCGGCGGTTCGAATCCCCACGATGGGGTGAGCTCCTGTTGCTCGGTCCCTGCTCCTGCCAACCTAGCAGTTTGAAAGTCAAAGTACAAGTAGATAAATAGGTACCGCTCCAGCAGGAAGGTAAACGGCGTTTCCGTGTATTGCTCCAGTTCGCCAGAAGCAGTTTAGTCATGCTGGCCACATGACCCGGAAGCTGTACGCCGGCTCCCTCGGCCAATAAAGCGAGATGAGCGCCGCAACCCCAGAGTCGGCCACGACTGGACCTAATGGTCAGGGGTCCCTTTACCCTTACCTAAACTTGTAAGTAGTTTATTTGCAAGTCAGGCAACTTGCAAGTAAAAGCAAACAGATACCGTACATAAATTAAAATCGGCATAAGAGAGAACCAGTATATTATGCAAAGGTGGAATTTACATGTGTGCTTTTCCCTCTGCCCTCACCCGCCACTGGGCACATGGCCTCTGGAATGTTGCCCAGAAGGGAATTTGGCCCCCTGGACTGCAAAAAACCTTCCCCACACCTGCTTTATGGTCAGGACAGCTCCAGCTTTCAGCCTGGGTGCAAGGCACACCAGCACTTGGCTGTCTTAAGCAAAATTGCCTCCAAGGGCTAAGCAGCTCCAATAATCCTTCCTAGCAGTGGCAGGACCTCCATTACTCCGAGCCAATTAAAGGGGATGGATTGCATTTGGATTTGTCTACATTTAATTGCTGCTGCATCAGATTTGTGGGACCTTGGCGGGTGGACCGGGGGGGGGGGAGGGGTTGTTGTTAAAACTTTACCTAAGATTAGCTTGATTCTCTTGTGCCAATCATAAGATCCGCTGCTTTGTTTTCGGTGACTGAGAGGATGGGGGAAAGACCCGAGGAGGGGAAGCCTGCAAGTCACGGAGGGAGAGATTAAGGCAGCAGCTCTCGCGGCCTCGTTCCAAGCAGGTTAAGGAGGAAGAAATTAGGGAGAATTTCCACCAGGGGTGGGGGAACCATTGCTGCTTATATTAGAGCAACATTGGCTACCAGCCATTCCATCAGACTGCCTCAGTAGGACAAATAGGAAGCAGGGTGCAGTCCATCAGCTTTGCTGGAGTTCCAGTTCCATCAGGCACCTCCTGCCCCTGAACTGTGCCAGCTGGTCATTATAAAAAAAACAATTACTTAGAAATTGGTGTCCGAGTTTTGGTTTTTCCTCTTCCCTCCCTGTCCCTTTCCCTTTGTGTGTCTTTTTAAAGATTGTAATCCAGTGCACAATGGGGCTGCCTTGTTTTAAATTGATTATATGTAAGCCACTCCTGGAGCCTTTTTGCCTGGAGAGCAGGTTACAAAAAAATGCTCTAAATGTTTTTGGTCATCCACCCCCATTAAATTCAGTCCGTTTTGTCCCTGACTTGCCTCTTTGGGGTAATTTGAGGGGTGCCTTTTAAGAATACAAAGTAGCTTGGTGTCATTTTCGAGCTTCCTGAGCCTGCCTCTGGCCCTCTTAAAATGTGTGCCTGTGTATATGTACATGTATGCGTGGGTTGTGTGTCATGCATGCACACACATGCATCTTTTGAGAACATGGCTCTAAACTGGTGCACCTGAACCCTAAAGCACAAAACAACCCAAAGCCTTCCATTTCACCTGCTGCAGCAACCGTGGCTCGTTTTGTACTCTGCATAATCAGAACACAACACAACAATGATTTTCTAGCATTTTCCAGTCTTCTCGTACACAGGACCCGGTTGTTAAACCACTGGGAGCTGTAGCTCTGGGAGAGGAATAGGGGCCACCTAATTACTCTCTGCAACTTTACCTGCACTAAAATTCCCAGGAGTTTTCTGTTTAAAGTAGCACACTACTGCTTTAAATCTGCCTCTATTCTTCCCTCCCCACCCCTTAAACATTTTTAACATCTAGCCAGCTAAAGAGCTTTGAGGATCTTAAAAAGCTCATTCATTTGCGTTTGACATTTTACTTGGGCCCTAATAAAGCTTTTAGTGTGTTGCCCCTTTGGAGCATCGCTCTAGTGAAGACTGCAGACAGGTACCTGCCATTTTTCTCCATTTGCAGCGGCGGTGAGCATGTCATCTTCCAGGCGCTACTGAACTACAGCTCCCAACCTCCCTGGCCGTTGGGCCATGCTGGCTGGGTCTGCTGGGACTACCACAGCAGTTGTAGGTTCTCCACCACCCGCTAATTCACAGGCCAGCTCAGCTAACTCCATGATGGGTCTCTCATGCAGAAACCCTTTGCTTGAATTACTAACTTTATTATAACAAGCTGTGGTGGTTTTCTAGCTTTGTGCAAGACCACAGCGCCATCTACTGGAAGGGGAAGCACCAGCAGCACGTATTATTGCTTTCCCCCCTTAACATTTAATCACTACTCTTGTATGATCATAAAAATAGCCTGCTGGATCAATCCAAATCCCCACCTGGTCCAGCACTCCGTTTGTCCAGTGACAAACCAGCATGGTTAACAAATATAGGTCCCTACATTATATCAGGGGGTTGATGTAAATTACCTTTGAGGGTTCTCTCCCACCTCTCCGATTCCTATTCTCACACACACACAAAAAGGAAAGGAAAGGACAGCGTATTGAGATTATTTTTGTTAGAAACAGTTCAGCACTTTTCGATGTTACCAAACGAGACTAACATTCTGTACAAAAAAAAACGGTTTTAATGCAGATTAAAAATCACCAGACATAACAATCTCAATTCAGACCTTCAACAGCAAAAATGGGTGTCACGGTTTCCATTTAGATGTATTTACAGTGTTATTTTCTTTTTAAAAGGTACAATATATACATAAACAACAGAAAGTTGAAAGTCAACTCATTTAAAAATAATTTTGCAACATTTTCTTTAAAAAAAATAAAAAAGATAAATTATTAAGGGGGGGGGTCCCCTTATCTGTCCCTTCTTGTGGGTTCATTTTGCAAAAATGGAAATCACCGGCGCATTTCCTAGATTATTAAATACCCTTTTGAAAATGCAAATAGACACTTTTCCTGTTTTAGAAAACTACTCCATTTTTCTTCCCTGCTTATTTTTTTCACATCTATAAACTAGACCAACAACGGGGGAAATAGCAGATATCTGGAGCAAGTGTAGCAGAGGTTCATAAAGAAAACATTTTATCGTTCTAAAAACAAAACAAAAACACAATTAGGCACAAAAAACAGGAAATCTGCCTAGGGAGTCTAGAGAAAGAGGGTCTCTCCCTATAGCATCCTCCATAGTCCCCTCCCCTTATGTATCTCTACTTTGGTGTGCTTATTACCCAAGGCCCCACCCACCCCATACATTCAAGGAACTATGTACCACTTTAAATAGTCATGGCTTCTTCCCCATAAAAACCGGGAACTGCCATTTGTTCAGGGGGTGGAGCTGTTATCCCCAAGGGATGTAGTTCTGGAGGGAGAACAGGGGGTCTCCAAACAGCTCACTGCCCCCTTAACAAACTACAGCTCCCAGAATTCTTTGCGGGGAGCCATGAATGTTCAAAGTGGAAAGACGCTGCTTTAAATGTGCAGGGCACATGGCCCGTCCCCCCAATATGCTCACCAGCATCCTTTGCTCCGTACTGTCGCTACACAATCAGGGGTTCCACCGTGTTAAAAGGTGTCCTCTGCATTCCTATACAGCACCCCAGACAGAAAAAGGGACCCCCTATAGTCACCCACCACTGACACCGAAAACAGAAACAAAACTTCAGCATCACATGCTGAGATCCATACATTAAACAAGGATATACAGTTAAGGCACATATTGGCAATGCCAATCTGACCCGTAACGGGCCAGAAAAATCTCATTCATGCACACATACAAATGGGTTCTCTCTCTCACTTTCGCACACACTCTATGGCTCTACCGACATCTACCCTAGTTTAAAAGGAAAACAGAGCGGGGGGGGGGGTTAACTGAAAAGTATTCCCCCCCCCACAACCCTTCACAAAACCCAGACCCAGAATGTTCTCCTAAGACAGAGGTGGAGAAGGGATGTCTCTCTGGGGTGCTGATGGACTCAACTCCCATCATCCCTGACCACTGGCCCTGCTGGGGCTGAGTTGGAGTCCTTCAACAACATCTGGAAGGCCACAGCTATAGTGTCTGAGTGTATTACACCAGCTGGATCCTTGAGAATAACCCAGTGGAGGGAGACTACAAGTCCCAGAAGGCCATTCTTGGGATCCAGCAGTGCAGGATCAGGACACCTGGAAGTTGCTGCATGTCGTTTTGTTCTTCCCAGCAGTCACCTAGTTTAGAATCCTCCTTGCTCAAAGGGAGATACAGGATTCTGAGACACAGACTTAGCTACAATGCCCCTCGGTTCTTAAAAAAGCCAATATCTGCAATATTGAGGTCTGAGACTCCTTTCTATTCGCTCTCAACACCTGTACCCTCAGTTGCAAAAGCAACTGCTTTGCAAGTGAGGATTCCCCTTATGATATTTTCGGAGCTATCGCTGCCCAAGAGAGTGAAATCCTGAAGCCGCTTAGGTGTGCACAGGCCGCAGATGTTCCAACAGGTCTTCTGTAGGAGCCCAACAGCCTCATCTTTCGTTTTAGGCTTTCCGCGTCAAATTCATCAGTGCAGGTTTAGACAAGGTAGAAGTCAAGGCGGTGTCAGTTACATAAACTTGCAAGGAGAAGCAACAGTATTGCATGATGTTGGGAAAATATAGTACTGACCCGAAGAGAGACACCTTTTAACTAGCCCATGGGCAGAGACATCTGCAGCCAGAGCCATTATCCCAGGTGAGGAAAGAGACACAATGAGCTCAAGGAAGGGAGGCGGGGAATGAAGTCTAAGGTGTGCCCCAGGTAGGCAAAGTTTAATGGGGCAGATGCTGGATACCCTAACCCTAATCCTAACCCCCTAAACACATTTTATGGGACCTGTGATGGAGCTTCAGGGGCTGAAGGCAGCCTGCTGCTGCAACAAGGAAATTAAAACTTGGCAGATGGGAAAGGACTGGATGGAGGCAAGAGCACCCGTTTATAACTCGGTTACCTTTATAACTGCAGAACTTTTCAGTTAACTCTGCATTTAATGCAGTAATATCAAGCACACCTTTTCGGGGGAGGTGACACAATACCAAGATGAAATAGCAGATTTGATCCTATTAGCCAAGGTATTTCCATCAACCCATGTTAGCAAACGTCTTATCTGGCAGGGGGTGATGGATAAAGACGCCTGCCTGCAATATTAATATCTCTGTGTGTTTGCAGTCTGGGAAAAGAGCACAGAAGACAGGCAACCTCTCCAATCTATGAGCTGCTTTGAAAAACAAACAACGTTCTGGGAACTATCCTATTCACAGGGGGAATCCTGGGGGGTTTTTTGGAAGGGGGGGGGGGAGAAGAGAAAATAGAAGACGTCACACATGCTACAGCAGACCAGGTGAGTCCTAAAAACACAGAACAATGTGTCATTTGATCCTCTCTCTCTCTCTCTCTCTCACACACACACACAAAAGTGGCCACTTGGTGTTCACTTAAGGCTACTTGGCCCTCATGCTGCCAACTAGTGGTCATTTAGGGGTACCGCACCTACCGGGCCCCTGCCTCAGGCGGCCTGCACAGGAGGTACCAGCTCCCTTGCAGATTTAAAGCAGGTTCACATTGAACTTATTTCAGAAAGTCTCTGGAGACAGAGAACATGAGCAGCAGAGGGGCGCTCTCAAAGGGGCAACTGCCCATCCAATCGGCCGCATACAATGAATCCAGGAGTGTCACTGGTTTCATTTTTGGGGGGAAAACCGAGAAGGAATTAAAGGAGCGAACAAGATTTGCAGAACCCCCTTCCTATCACAGGGGAATGTTTTCAGCTGCAAGCTTGATAGACCCAGAGACAGAAAAAGGGAGAGTCGTATGAACCGTCCCAGTCGCCGCAGCCGCCTACACGCCGGTTTGCTCTTTGATCCAGGCCCGCAGCGCCGAAACACGAGTGTACATTCCCGGCTTGTTCCTCTGGGCACAGCCTTCCCCCCAGCTGACCACGCCAGCCAGGAACAATGTGTTGTTGGCCTCCAAGCTGACCAGTGGCCCACCGGAGTCTCCCTGCAAAGAGACAAGAACACACATGCTCAGAAAGGGGACCTGTTTTCGTGACCCTTTGTCCACCAGTCTAAGGAACCGTTTCATTCTCAGGAGAGACCAGCATTTGCACCAAATGGCCTCCCTGGTGCACTGTGGTTCTGGTGGGGTTCCTGTGCCCTTCAGTTGGGTTCGGACACCTCCAAGGGAAGAAGCTGGGATTGCAAGGCGAGGCAATGATGCCGGAGCGTCACCGCGAACAGCAGAGCCTGTGCGCTGCAGACAACCAAGTTCTACTCAAGAGTAGATGCACTGATATCATAGTGCAGTTCTTCTTATTAAGAAGAGTTCGGATTTGGATTTGATATCACTACCCTAAGGAGTCTCAAAGCAGCTAACATTCTCCTTTCCCTTCCTCCCCCACAACAAACACTCTGTGAGTTGAGTGGGGCTGAGAGACTTCAAAAAAGCATGACTAGCCCAAAGTCACCCAGCAGCTGCATGTGGAGGAGCAGAGACGCGAACCCAGTTCACCAGATTACGAGTCTATCGTATGAACCACTACACTACACTGGCTAGCTAATAAGTTGCTGGTGCAGCACACTGCTTGTTTTGTGTTGCCCCTGTTTTTAAGCTTTTCTGGTTTTATACGACCTTCCTGTGCTGCATTTTGTTTCGTCGAGTCGCCTTGAGACTTTTTCACTGCAACCCCCCTCAATTAGTTAATGAAGTAAGTAAGAAGTCGGCCGGGCTGTATTCTGAGCTCTCCACAGCCATGGCCCCCCTCTCTCCCTGCAGACAATTCCTACCTGACAGGCATCTTTCCCGCCTGTGAGAACCCCGACACACATCATGCGGTCCGTCACGTCGTTGGGCACCATCAGGGACCTGCACACGGTCTGGTTGATCACACGGATTTCGAGCTTCTGCAAGATGCTGGCACCGTTTCCTGCAGAGGACCACAGAGGAGTTTAATGGGAGTAGGGATATAGTTTATCCAGGGTGCTCTTTTAAGCATTAAATAAATAAATAAAAACCAGCCCTGCTAAGCGTGGAATGGATTCTCCAATTACAAGTCACCCAGATGCACAACCCCCACAAAAACTCTTAAACGCCTTAAGAGATGCCATTGGTTCCTGTCCTCTAGTTGCATCAGGGTAGAATAACTCAGAAGCTGCTGCTCCCTTTAATGCAAAATGTTGCCTACGATAACTTTTATGTCGTCCGGCGCAACTTTATAAGATTATACAAACAATGAGGCATACGGCGAAATGGTGCCTATGGTCTCCAGCAGGGTCTCCCAAACTTGGGTCTCCAGCTGTTTTTGGACTACAACTCCCATCATCCCTAGCTAGCAAAGACCAGTGGTCAGAGATGATGGGAACTGTAGTCCGAAAACAGCTGCGGACCCAAGTTTTTGGGGAACTCTGATCCACAGCATAGTTTGGCGTGCACAAAACACATATTTTAATTAACATTTTGTTCTTCTTTCCTCCTGTCTTTACATAAACCCTGCAAGACCAGTACTGCTGCTGACACAATACAGTGGTACCTTGGGATACATAACGCTTCAGGTTACAGACTCCGCTAACCCAGAAATAGTGCTTCAGGTTAAGAACAGAAATCGGGCTCCAGTGGGGTGGCGGCAGCAGGAGGCCCTATCAGCTAAAGTGGTGCTTCAGGTTAAGAACAGTTTCAGGTTAAGAACTGACCTTCGGAACGAATTAAGTACTTAACCCGAGGTACCACTGTATATATTTTCATTAGTGGACAACAGTCCAAGAGACACAGGTTATCGTTTTGTGCTTGTTAAGATTATCCTTTTTTACATATAAAACTTTTTATTGCAAGACAACTTACATAAGAAATAAAAAAGAAAAAGAACAATTAGGACAGACAGACAACAGATTGTCATGATTTTAGCGTATACACTCTTGATAAAGTCCTGTGGTGGATTCAGAGATGACTCTCATTTTATCTTTGTGATATATATTTTAAATGTTGCCTCCTTCCACCAAATTGCAGATCTGCCCTTGTTTTACTCCCGTCACTGCCTCTGAGTTGGAATCACAGAACTGTAGGGCACCAAGAGTCGTCTAGACCAAAGGCCTGCAACGCCCCCTCCACATCCCCACCCAACTCACCTGATTCTTGAGTGGCTCCCCATCCCGTCACCCAGAGGGATTTGCCAACGGGGAAGTCATGGGTGACATCAGGCAGGCAGATAGGCTGGATGTATTTGTTGAACTCGACTGGGCTGGACAGCTCTGCCACAGCAATGTCGTTGTCGTAGCTGGCGTCATTGAAGTACGGGTGGCGGATGACCCTCTTCAGGCCCCGCTGCTGAACCTTGCTGTTGCTCCTGTCCCCCTGGTCAAGAAGCCCCATGTAGGCTGTTATCGTCCTGTGGTCCAAATGCCTGCGAGGAATTGGCAGGTAAGAAGATCAGAGGATGCTCTGTTCTTTTAGAGGGGGTAACCATTATGCCATGACCCTGCGGCACCCAAGGAAAGTCATTTTTGGACCGCTGCCCATGCCCCCCCCCAATGTGCCCACTGGCCCAAAAAGGTTGGCAAGCAGCACTAAAACCCATCTAAAGTATCCCTAGCATAGGGGTCAGCAAACTTTTTCAGCAGGGAGCCGGTCCACTGTCCCACAAACCTTGTGGGGGGTCAGATTATACTGTGAAGGGGAAAAAATGAACGAATTCCTCTGCCCGACAAATAACCCAGAGATGCATTTTAAATAAAAGCACACATTCTACTCATGTAAAAACACGCGTGGGCCGGATTTAGAAGGTGATTGGGCCAGATCCAGCTCCCGGTCTTAGTTTGCCTACCCATAGCCTAGCACCTCACCTACGGCCTTTTGGTAATTCCTGCAATGCCAATGGTAAAAAGTATAGTCAGTCTGGAAAAGCACAATCTCATCTTGCATGTCATTAACTTGTGTGACTTCAACTATACAAGGCTGGTTGAAGTCGCAGAAGTTAGATCCAAGGAAGGTGGAGAGCTTAGAAGCTCTGTCTATGCTGGGTCTGCTTGGGTTGCCAAGCGCGAAAAGAGCTTAGAAGCTCTTCGCCTTGCTTGCTGGACGAGGTCCCCTCGGCACAGGGACTCTCTCCCCCCCCCCCATACCCATTATTTGGGTATACATGATTTTCATGTCTACGCTGAACCCTTTGAACCAAAGCCCTGCATAAGATGCACCAGTGATGCATTGCAGAAGAAGCTTTGTCTTAAGAGAATGGTAGCTTCCCAAAATTATTTGCAAAGCCCACAATGGAGGAGAAACTGGAACCAGACAATCTCCTGCGTCACAGTTTGTTCTGGTTCAGGCGTGCCAGTTCCTATGGGCATGTGTCCTCAGCCCCCTCAGTATGTGCTTGCAGGAGGCTGGGCCCCCTTGATGCTGAAGGGGCAGAGGATGTGGGGCAGTGTGCTTCAGTGGCTGGTTCCTTCCGAGCGCAAGAGAGGAAGCTGCGCTGAGCTCCATGCTCCACTTCCTCCCAGCATGAGGAGAGCAAAATGTGCATGACATCACACATGCGCAACACGCACCAGGCGCATGACGTCGTGTCACACTCATCACAGCACATGTGCCTCAATGCACGCTCCCCCCCCCCCCCCGATCTTGGGCGCAAGACAGCTCCTGTTCTGGTTTATGCGAAATCAGGTCTGAACAGAGACAAAACCTTCAAACGCCACCATCCCATGCTCCACTGGACTCAATGAACTCCCAGCACACTGCGCAATGAACCCAGAAGCCTCACGCCTAGGTTCAAGCGTATATGCAGAACATAAGCCAGTCCATTACTGGAGAAATCCTAGATCTCTACCCACCTCCTCCAGTCATCCTGGAAGCAATGCGCTGCAGACACCACCCAATTCTGAGATATCAAGGTGGCCCCGCAGAAGTGACCGGTGTCCTTGGTGTGGAAGCTGACCTGCCATGGCCACTCGCCCTCGTCGGAGTCCTCCCCACCGACAATCCGGGACTGCTTGCTGTAGAAGCGCTTGCCGCAGTCTGGAAGGAGCAAGAGTCAGAACACCAACGCATGAGTAAATTTGCCCTCCTGCGATCCCCAAGCAACATCACATATCACTCCTCCTTCTAGATCCTTGAAGAAGGGGCAGGGAGTCCTTGGCCCCTTCCTGGTGCTGCTGAACTAAAACTCCCAGCATCCCTGCTCATCGGCCACACTGGTTGGGAGCTGTAACCCAGCAATATTCAGAAGGCCACAGGTTTCCCAGCCCTGCCTCCAAATGCTTCTGCAAAATTAACTGGCAGCTAAAGAGGGGTGTCATTGCATGCATTTGCAAAACAGGCAAAAGAGGCTTGCAGTAGGAACGCCTAGCATTTATATACTGCTTGAACCCTTGAAAAGGTTTCACATGCATTATCATATTGTTACAACAACCCTAGAAGGCAGCCTATTGTTGCTCCTGAAGGAGCGTCTCCACCCCCAACATTCAGCCCGGACACTGAGGTCCAGCTCCAAGGGCCTTCTGGCAGTTCCCTCATTGCAAGAAGTGAGGTTACAGGGAACCAGGCAGAGGGCCTTCTCGGTAGTGGAACGCCCTCCTATCTGATGTCAAGGAAATAAACAACTACCTGACTTTTAGAAGACATCTGAAAGCAGCCCTGTTTAGGGAAGTTTTTAATGTTTGAAGTTTTATCGTGTTTTTAATATTCTGTTGGGAGTCGCCCAGAGTGGCTGGGGAAACCCAGCCAGATGGGCGGGGTATAAATAGTAAAATTATTGTTCTTGATCTCTTTTACGTTTGTGACGTGAGTGACATTGCGGTCAAGTGCTCTTGGGCTGCTGACCCTCTACTAGACGTGCAAGAGTGCATCTCAGGTCATCGGCTTCCCAAAAGGGGACAGCTAGAACCATAACTCACTGCAATTGTCCTCGTCCGAGTTATCACTGCAGTCCTTATTCCCATCGCATTCCGGGTTCTTCTTGCTCAAGCACTGGTTGTTGCGGCACTTGTAGGTGTACGTTTTGCAGGAGACGGTGTCCACTGCAAGCAAACAACAGGCAAGGAGGCTCAGGACCAGGAAACATTTAGCACAGAGAAATCCAAGTCCATAGAAGATCTTGCTTGCTTCCAGTAAGAATCTCACTACTGGGGAAATTCAGAGCAGAGCAGAGAGGGATTCCAGGACCTCTGCACATCCTGCCCCTGGAAACCATCATCCTCGTGGGGAAAGGCTCTTTGCTGCTATGCATGTCTCTATTGTTATTAGTTTCACAAAAATTATACAATGCTCGACTTTTTTGTTTTTAAGCACCCTCAAAGCGATTTACCAAAAAAAAAAAAGGATAGAAAAATTTACAGCCCTAGTTTGAAACATACAAACATTGAAATGCTGAAACAGATTATGCCAACTTTATAAGCATATCTGGGTAGGCTTGTTTAAACAAGAATATTTTTTAGCAAGCACTAGAAAGCACAGTGAAGGCACCTGCTTGATATCAATAGGCAGGGAGTTCCAAGGGTAAGTGCTGCCCCCTAACACGGCTAAGGCACTGAGTTTCAGAAAACCAGAACAAATACTGGGACACTGGTGTGTGTGGGGGCGGGTCGTCTATCTGTCTCCCCTGCTGCCAATGAAACCCCCTCCTCAAATTGCAGGAAGGCTGTGCTCTGCCCCTGGATTCTAAAACCAGACCTGAACTATGCAAAATGCACAAAGGGAGTTCCCCCCCCAGTTTTCTGGTTATTTCCTTTCATTTATTTACTAGCTTTTCCTCTGAGGGACTCAAGGTGGCGTGCACAGTTCTTTCCCCCTTCCCGTTGTATCCCCACAACAATCCTGGGAGGTAGGTTAGGCTGAGAGATGCTGAATGGCCCAAGGTCACACGCAGGGAGCTTCATGGCCAAGTGGGGGAGATTTGAACCCTGCTCCCTCCCAGGCCGTAGCCTGACACTCCAACCATTACCCCATGGCGGTGCCGTCCCTAGCAACTGACTGCAAGTCCCGTTCTAAGGGCCTTGGCGTAGCAGGGGTTGCTGGTGCCCCCTGAGACTGGCAGAGTGGAAGGCAAAGAAGCCAACAGTAGGGGGGCACCAGAGCTGATGATGGGCAGGGCCAACTAATTTGAGTTTTGTCTCCCTCCTTCTCCTCCCTGCCGAGTTCTACAAGGGCAAACTGACAGGCAGGGACTCGCACCCTGGACTGGCCAGAAGGGAGAAGGCAGGCATCTGGGGGCTGGCAGAGGGCAGACAGGGCAACAGACCCTCCCAACCCAATGATTTCCTACGGCTCCCCTTGGTGCTAAGAGTCGTACCACGGCCACAGCTCCCCTCGTCGCTGCCGTCGCCACAGTCATCCTTGCCGTCGCATTTCTTGCTCTCCGGGATGCAGTTGCCGTTGCTGCACCGGATGTTATTTGCCGGACATTCTGCCCAACGGAAAGAGAAGCCACAGGTCAAAATTGCAAAAAAAGAAGCAAAAAGGCACCCACACAGATCCCTGGCACAGCAGAGGCAGCGGGAGGGGACAGCCCCACCCCCCCGGCCCCACATCACTTTGACCAAGACCCCCTTTCCCAGTCCACACTCACTGCACTCGGCCTCATCGCTGCCGTCCCCGCAGTCGTCCATGCCGTCGCAGAACCACAATTTAGGCTTGCAATAACCGTTCCGGCATCTGAACTGCTTCTCGGTGCAAGCTGGGAGGAAGGAGACAGAGAAGCAGTTAAGAGAGGCAGCGCAACCTGGTGATTTACAGAGCAACAGAGCCCCACAGAGCGTCAGATATGGGATGGCTGAAGTAGAGTTCCACAAAGAGGCACCGATCCTGACCTGGAATCTGCAAGTCATGAAGGGAAGCGTGCAAAAAGCAGGAAAAATACACTGGTGCTGGTCCAGTGCTTGTCCTACTCTGAGTAGTCCCATTGAAATAAATGAGCATGAATAGTTATTTTATGTCTGGTTTTTTGTTTTGTTTTTACAATAAACCATAATTGTATATGGACTATGTAGATTGTCCTCAGGTCCTGTTTTGCAGAATTTTGTATAGCTTGCTTTTAAAAAGAATTTTTTTTTTAATCCATTGCTTTCAGTGGGTCTCCTCTGAGCAGGACCAGCATTGGAGACAATCCTCTTGGGTTTTTTCCTCAACAGGCACACGTTTCTGGAGCCTTTTAAGTTATTTATCACATATTTATCCCACCTTTTCCTCCAAGGAGCTCAAGGTGGCGTACATGGTTCCTCCCTACATTTAATTCCCCACAATGAACTTGTGAGGGAGGTTGGGCTGAGAGGCAGTGACAGGCACAAGATCACACTCAGTGAGCTTCATGGCTGAGTGGAGATTCAAACCCTGGTCTCCCAGGTCCTAGATGAAAGGCAGTGCTCTCTCTATGCTCTTTCTCTGGCAGATCAGGACTTGCCCTTCAGCAAAGCGATGCCATTCATCTTTTGTGCCAAAAGGTCTGGAAACTACCCTTCGCCACAACAATTGAGTTTGGTGCTGGCCACAGATTTCACCACCCAGAGAATCATGGCTTTAATTTGCGTTTTTTTTAAAGCAAGTTTCTAGACCATATGATGGCAAACATACGCATCAAAGGATGTAGAAGACATTGCCTGCCAAAACCTCCTAGGTCGGAAGGTGCATTGGGGTGTGGAAATTGGGATTTCCAGGAGTTTTATACAGAAACGTATTTTTTCTTGGCACTCCCAACAGCTCATCTTTGGAACGGTTTTGCAAACCGTATGAGGCATAGTCAAATTTGCACACTTTCACTTGGTGGCAAAAACCAAATCCGCTATAATGCAAGATCAAGGCACAAAGCATACGTAGCCCCGTTCCATATCCACATTTCCAAATTCACTCAAGGTTGCTGAGCAGAGGAGAAGGACTCACTGCAGTTTTTCTCATCGCTGGCATCCGTGCAATCGTTGTAGCCATCGCAGCGCAGGGTCCTGGCGATACAGCGACCAGTGTTGCAGGCGAATTTGCCTGGACAGGCTGCAAGTCAGAAATTGGGGTGAGGGGAGAGAGGAGAGGTATGTTAAGTCTTGCTAACAGTCCAGAATACCAATTCCCTGCCTCCTTTTTCAACGGGATGTATTCTGTCTGCCACAAGGGAAGTCTCTTTCCCCTGGGAAAAGTCTCTTCCCCTTGCAACTGCTAAGGCCGCCCTTGGATGCAAGAGGCCGGAAAAGGAACCTCAGAAGTTACTTCTGAACGTGCAAAGGGAATGCAGTCAATAATATTTCTTTTCTCCTTCCTCCAAGCAGTGCACCATGCGATGACCCTCTTCCATGCCCTCCTTCGTCGTTTAAAAGGTCCAAATGCTTTAAGTCTCTCCCTCCACATCCGACCCACCCACCCCACTCCCAGCACCTCACCCCCAACCTCACAGCATTCCCACTTACGGTCGTTGGTTTGATAGGACATGAACTCTGCTGAAAAGCCACTGTCTACCAATGAAAGATCCGAATGGAAACGGACGGAAATCTTGTTGGTTTTGCTCAATATCACAAATTGCTTCTTCTCGCCGCAGTACCTGAAGGGATCACACGGAGGCCAATGAGAGGAGAGATGGTCCTTTTTTTAAGACAACATCATTCCAAACACAGACACTGAGGTGGACAGGGGTCTCCCCATTCCTCCCCACCATAGGAGAGCAAGCCCATTGCACAATACAGTATATACAAGACTAGTCTTGCCCAGTGACTGAATTGCTGCACTAAGGAGCTGGTTTCCCTGAACAGTGTGAGAACCTAAGGCTCTCTCCAGAACCTCCTTGTCCCATCTGAGCCTGCCTGTGCTTTGAGCTCAGCCTCAGATGCTCTGCTCTCCACCCTGTCACCATTAGAGGTTCAATGGAGAGCATAGCAGACGGGAGCTTTTTAGTGGTAGCACCACAGTCAGGTTTTCTGAAAACCTATCTGTATATATGCCTTTGCCAACTCTCACTATGACTCCCATCATCCCTGACAGCTATGCAGTGCTCTTTATGTTAAACGATTTGCTGTTTTAAGCTGTTTTAATACAGTGTTTGCCATTCCTCTTTAAAACTATGTTTCGTTTTGCTTTTCCAATTGCTTTTATTAAACACTTTCTTGGGTCACAAAAGCACACACAGCGTCTCTGCTTTCAGTTCATAAGAGTCCTTTTTGGAACTGGTGTCTTTAATGCCCATTTATTTCAGAGCTGCAGTACTCTGCAGATATTTTCCAATTCAGGGCTGCAAACCCGGTACAGCCCCCTTGCCAGCAGAAGCAGCTGGCGAGAGAGGTGCCACTACAGCATCCCAGGGGATGCTGAGGCCATGTGGAGGAGCCGTGTCCCCGAGCCACGCTGACCTTGACCCTGCCGTGGCCCAGGATGGGACCCTGATGCCTTTGGGCAGGAAGCCAGGTCTCTTTCCTGCCAACATTCACATTGCAGCCCCTTCTAAGAAATCACAGCCTCAGTGGGTTGGGGGTCCCCAGATCCAATAGTTAGCTCTAACTTTAAAAAAACCCAAAACACTTGTGCTTATTTATAACATAACCAAGTATAACAACAGGTGCCAGATAAAACAAAAGCAGAAACTAGACCTAAGCACATCGGAACAAATTTCCGTACCAAAATCCAATGTGATAAATTAATACCACCAGGTTTACATTATCCTGAACGTTTTTTCCCCACGCCAAAACATTATATAAAGGCTCCGTTTCTCCAGAAAGGCATGGCCTTGTTGTCTGCCCTCTCTATTTCTCACCATCTGTGTAAACCTAGCCAGGCAGACCACGTCCCAGATTTTAGTTTCACCCCTTCTCTCACAGCCAGTTTTGGCACTTAGCTCTCTTACTTGACGTTGTTGACTTCCACATAGTCTTTGGGGCAGGAATTGAGTGGGATGCCAGGCTCGGCAAGGAAGAAGTTGTTGAAGCGCACCTTCGCTCTCCTCTCCGTGGGGACCTGAGGACAAGATGTGGGTGGTGGGAAAAGAGATGAGGGACTCAGCTGCACCCAGTCAACTATGTCATTGTAACTGCATTACAAACATGTGACACCAGAGGGCGCTGTAGAGCAGCCCAAATCACTTATGGGATTTTTCATTATCAGCTTTAGAACGCATTTTTTTCTTTCTATTTTAACTTTACAAAGTTGTTATTGTACTTCACCAGATCTTAACCTATTACAGTATTTGTAAGAACGGATTCCAAATATTGTTGAATTTGTCCATGGCAAGTCTGCGCTATTATGCAAGTTGTTGATATGTTGCGAGTTTATGTAAGTCTTCGATCCAATTGTAGAAGGGAGCCGCATTTTTATTTTTCCAATTCATCAGTATTAGTCTCTTTGCTATGGTAAGGGCACGGAGAGTCCACTCATATTGTCCTTTTGTAAGGTTCCCTGAAGGGAGGGGGGATATGACTCAAAAGGATATTTTGCTCTGTAAAAGTTAAGGTTGTTCTGTACAGTTCTGTTGAGTTTCAATTACCTTCTGCCAAAAATCTTTCAATATAGGACAATGAAGAAACGTGTTTTAGAGAGGCATTGTCGCTATTGCATCTCCAGCAGTTGGATACCTTAGATAGCCCTTGTTTAAAGAAATGTAATCGGCTCCAGTATATTCTAAATATTATTTTTTTGTTGTATGAGCCTCAATTTAATATAACACATTTTCCTGTAACTTTTTAAAAAATGTGTCTAGATCCAGCTGAGGAAAGAGGCAGTGGCATCATGACTACATGACCCTTTGGGTCCCTTCCGACTCTGCACGTCTGTGATCACTTACAAAGCTAGTTTTTAGTTTCCTTCATAATAGTAGTAATAATAATGTATTTATACCCCGCCCATCTGGCTGGGTTTCCCCAGCCGCTCTGGGCAGTTCCAACAAAATATTTAAAATACAATAAAGCATCAAACATTAAAAACTTCCCTAAACAGGGCTGCCTTCAGATGTCTTCTAAAAGTCAGGTAGTTGTTTATTTCCTTGACATCTGATGGGAGGGCGTTCCACAGGGCAGGCGCCACCACCAAGAAGGCTCTTTATCTGGTTCCCTGTAACCTCACTTCTCGCAGTGAGGGAACCGCCAGAAGGCCCTCGGTGCTGGACCTCAGTGTCCGGGCTGAACAATGGGGGTGGAGATGCTCCTTAAGGTATAATGGGCTGAGGCCGTTTAGGGCAGGCTTCCTCAACCTCGGCCCTCCAGATGTTTTTGGCCTACAACTCCCATGATCCCTAGCTAGCAGGACCAGTGGTGAGGGATGATGGGAACTGTAGTCTCAAAACATCGGGAGGGCCTGGTTTAGGGCTTTAAAAGTCAGCAGCAACACTTTGAATTGTTCTCGGAAACATACTCCCAAGCTACTTTGGTAACAGAGCATCAGATTAAAAAGAACAACCACCACCTTGTATCTTTCTTGGGAGCAACCAGAGCCTAAGAGCAGCCTGACAGACCAGGACAATGGTGCACAAACTCCTGCAACCTTGTTTCCCCACAGCAGCCAACCTGAGCACATGCTTTGCAAACTGGGAGCCAGTAATACGGAAACAAGTGCTAACACGGCACTGAATTCCACAGTATTTCCGGAAGTGGCTTTTACGTCATATGGGAGCTCAAATATACAGTGGTACCTCGGGTTAAGTACTTAATTCGTTCCAGAGGTCCGTACTTAACCTGAAACTGTTCTTAACCTGAAGCACCACTTTAGCTAATGGGGCCTCCTGCTGCTGCCGCGCTGTCGGAGCACAAATTCTGTTCTCATCCTGAAGCAAAGTTCTTAACCTGAAGCACTATTTCTGGGTTAGCGGAAATCATGGAAATCAACAGTAAGCGAAACGTTGGGGTAATAGAATGGGCTGCCCATGGGAATGCAGCCTTCTTCTGTTTGCTAAATTGTTTCGGGTGGTTTTCAAAATTTATTGATACGGCATGCAAACTGCTTTCTTTCCCCAACACACGCATACGCACACACAGATCTGCGTGTTGCAAGATGCTTTGGTCCCAGCTCGCTGTGAAAAGGCAGCAGTTAAACTAAGTGAGGTCCAAGTAAGAAAGGAGCTGCTCTTACCACTATATTCCAGACACAATCTGTACCAGGAGGATAGTGGGCTGGGTAATAAGGAGAGGAGAAGGTTCCGAATATCCCCGTCAAATCTGCGCCACAATCTAGAATAAGCGGGATGGAAGCAAACAAAGGAAGTGAGCCCTACTTCTGAGGCTGCAAGGCCAAGCCGACAGGAAGAGAGACGTGGGCAGAACATCCTTAATGAGGGTAAGCCGGTCTCTGGAGGTACCAGGCGGACTCTGAGGCCTGGATTGGACTCAGGAGACCAATTACGCCTCACCTGTTCACATCTGTCCTCTGACTCAGCCCCATGCGCATCTCTTGTTAGAAGGCATGGTTAGAGCAGCAGCAAGAGGGATGCTATTTATTGCCCAGTTGTTCCAAGACAAAAAAAAGGGGGGGGGAAATTATTCCCCAGCTTCTTCCCTCTTACGAAAGGATGGATTACCCACAAGATGATTTTCGGCTGTGGATGCTTTTTAACCCAACCTTCTCCTCTTCTGCTATAAGTCAATCTTCCATAATCAGGGGTGGGGAGCCTCAGACCCCGGGGGCAGAATGTGGCCCCTCCAGGCTTCTGCATCCGGCCCCTGAAGTTTCCCCAGGTCAAACCCCTCACTGCCCCTGCACACACCAGGAGTTTTCACCTGGCAGGACTGTGCCCTCAGAGCGTGACTCTTGCTCAAGGACAGAGAGATGTGGGAGCCCAGAAACTAGCCTACTGCACAAGGGTAAAATTCGCATTCATTGCTCTGCCTGCTTTTGTCTCTAGACCCTCCCACCAACAGCATGCGGCCCTTGGTAAGTTTCCCAGAAGGGAATGTGGCCCTTGGGTTAGAAAAAGACTATATATGTTCGTAAATGTAAGTGGCCTTTGCTTTTTAGCAGGGATTCCTGCATTGCAGGGGGTTGGACTAATCAGTGTTTCCCAAACTTGGGTCTCTGGCTGTTTTTAGACTACAGTTCCCATCAACCCTGACCGCTGGTCTTGCTAGCTAGGGATGGTGGGAGTTGTAGTCCAAAAACAGCTGGAGATCCAAGTTTGGGAAACACTGAAATAGAGGCTCCTAAGGGTTCCTTCCAACTCTACAATGTTATGAATGGATAGAGAGACACGACAGACGACAGACAGACAAGAAGTGGCTGCCAAGGGCTCTTACTTTTTTTCTTTGGCATCTGGAAGAACTCTGCCTTGAACCCAGGATACCGCTCCGTGGCATCTGTGATCAGCATGACCAGGAGAACATTTGTAGAGGAGACAAAGGTCAGGTTGTAGGATGGTCCATAGCTGCCACACAGCCTGAGAGGGAGGAAAAGGCCAAGTGGTGGGTGAGGGGAAGAGAAAAGAGAGTCAACCACCCAACAGCCACTCTTTGCAGCCACTCCTCTTCTGCCATATTGGAAGTGGGCTTAAGACCCACAAAGTTCATTCGGGAGACGAGCAACGAGAGCTACGGTTGCTCCCAATGAATCCAAAGCCCACCACAGTACCATCCCTTGCAACTGGCCCCTCCACCTCTTGACACTGGATCTGGGGGGCACCAGGAAAAAGCTGCTCTTCAGCACTGCAACCATTTGCATTTTAAATATTAGAAGGATGCCGCGTAAAAAAACAAAAACTCCACTGTTTTAATGTTAGCTGATTTTAATCGAGCCATTGGCACATTGCATTGTAATTTGTTTGCTAGGAGAAAGGAAAACTCTGATCCTAAACCTCCACTGCCTTGCGGGACATCTTCAGAATAATAGTTATAATAATAATAATAATAATAATAATAATAATAATAATAACCATAACCTTGCTGGTACCTTTCCTGGGAAAATCAGAGCCTCACTAAGTCAGGTTCCTATTGGAAGACCGGACAAACGCTAGAACATTAGCAGTGGCAAAGTTTTTATCGGTGGTTGCAAGAACCAATGATCCCTATCTTTAAGTCTGAACAAAATGCTTGTTTAACCTGGAGGTAGGCTGTCTGAATTGTGCATTGCTTTGTAACAATTTGTTGGGTCTCTGGACCGTAATAAAGATTGATTGATTGACTTATACCCTGCCCACCTGGCAGGGCCTCCCCAGCCACTCTGGGCGGCTTCCAACAGGATATTAAAAACACAATAAAAAAATCAAACATTAAAACTTCCCTAAACAGGGCTGCCTTCAGAAGATAAGGCCAAGGAGCGAACCCTATACAACTCCAGATTGGAGTCTCTAAGATGGTTGGATGGCATCTTGTACCCTTCCTTCGGGCATTTCCTGCAGCCAAGCTGGTGCTAGACTGGTACTACTCTGCTTTTGAACCTTGTACCTTCTCTGCTCCTGAGCTATGGTCTCTGTACCGCAAAGAGCCTTTGAAACTTAAAAGAGGCAAACAAGAGCAGAGACTGAGCCCACCGTCTCCTTCCAGCGTACGCTTGCTGCACTTCAGAGGATTCATTCAACAGGGAAGGGCAGCCGACTTACTTCACCAGCGCGTGGGCTTCGACGGGGCTCAGCGTGTCGTACACCTTGACAAAGTCGTTCCCCACGTTGCAGGGCTCCAAGTCGAACGTCGTGAAGGTCAGGCTGATGACGGAATCGGCGTCGGCCCTCAGGACCCAGAGGCATCGCGCGTTGGACGGGTAGGCGCTGTTTGGGAACCCGGGCGTGGTGAAGCTGGTGACCACGCCCTCTTTCGCGTGCAAGGCATAGCTGCAGCTGTCTGAAAAGGTGGGGGGAGAGGGAGGGAGGACGAGGAGGAGGGGGTCTCAATAGGGAGAATGCAAAAGCAATGAAGGACCAGTGGTCCATTTCAAAGAAAGTCCCAAGAAAGAGTTCAACAGGGCAGGATACTAAGTTGAGGCCAAATGGTTAAAAAAAAACCCACCATGTTCACCAATATCCTTGGCTATTATAGGGGGAAATAAACACTCCTAAAACCTGCATGATTTTTTAATTTTTTTTGGCACGCAATTTAAACTCTTTCCCCTCATGTTAAGAGGAGGACATTTTCACAATGCTTGGGGCATGCTTTTGGTTCTCCCCACTCCCCCACTCCCCAATTTTTGCTTGCTAAATAAACCAGGTTGGGCGGGCAAGGAAGAATAGGTAAGAGTCAGTCATGCAAGGCTGAAGTCTGTCCAGCTCTGTTGCACCTCTGAAACCCCCAAATGTCAAAAACAAGGCATTAAGAAGCGGCTTTTCTGTCTCCAAAGCAAATTCATCTTAGGAAGCTTCGCTTGAGGAAACCAACCCAGCCACAAAACTGATTTGGACTCTGCAGGGCCTTGTTCCCCAGACTTGGACGCTCCTATCTCTCCCAAACGAGGAGGAACAGGCCCCCTCGTACAGACGACCCAATGTGTCTTGTATGGCTACAAAACCAAACACAGTACTTACTGTCCCGTTTTGCCTTTATGATATCTGGATCAGAAGCTAGGAATTAAAGAGAGAGAGAAAAATACATTAATTGTGCAGGCCCCGTTGTAGGAGGAACCCAGCCAGTCTGCATTCCCTGGAGACACAAAGGTTGGCTCATCTCTCCCCCTACTTTGATGGACTCCAATGCAAGGATCCTTTGTGAGAACGTAGAAGTGGATCAGTCATCATGACTCAGCCAAAAAGATGTATTTCATTTCACTGTCGTGGATTTCCCTCCCCAAAAATCCACCAGACGCCGCAGTCTGTACTGCACACCCATAAATAAACTTCTGAAGTACGAATGAAGTAACATTCTTATAGTTCCTCGGTTAGCAAGTTTTGCTGCAGGAACATTTTTAATTAGGATGGTTTTGGCAGGGAGCAGGGAGATATTACCATCAGAATCGGAGCACAGGGTGGGGGGGGCAGTGAGGGTAGGGGAGGCAATCTTTACATTCCTTATTCTGAAGAGAAAATTCAAATGTCTTCTGGACCTTTAATATGCCAGCCCCAGGCCTCTCTCCCCCACCGGAACCCCTGATTATAAGGGTGCAATGTTTAAATTTACTCATTTCCTAAAATGTATACGCTGCTTGAATGTTAAAAAACAACAACTCCTCAAAGGGGTTTACAGAAAAAGATAAAACAATAACATTATCAATAAGAAAAGTGACTTAAAATAAAAATAAGACTAAAAACAGATTAAAACTCACATCAACTTTCTTAACATGTGGGTAGGCTTGTCTAAAGAAGAATGTTTTTAGCAGACGCCAGAAAGAGGACTGCAAAGGCGCCTGCTTGAATCAATAGGCAGGGAGTTCCAAAGTGCGAGTGCCGCCACACAGAAAGAATGAGTTCTTACAAACATGGAACAGGTATTATGTGGCACCTATAATAGTGTAGCCTTTAAACAAAACAACATTTTGGAAACATTTAAACAAAAGAAAAGCCTTTGTGTCTTACCCTAAATAAAAGAAACCTCTTAAAGTTCCCTGACAAAGCTCTGAAATGCACAAGTACCTCGGGCGTTTTGCACCTGGCTATTGACCAAATCCATCGGAAGGCCCAATAAACCTTTTTGCAGATGCTGAGCGGTTAGGAAAAGTTTGGAGAACCGATCTTTTAAAAGGGAAAGTTCTCCAAACTGTTCCTAACCACTCAGCAGCTGCAAAAAGTTAGGACCTAGGGCATGGGTGAATTGGGCCTTCCGAATGGCTGAGTCCCCAACCAAGCTGCCCATAACAGCCCAAGGACTCAGCTACATTAGTCAAAATACAGCGTTATAAATGCGTTATAACACTGTGACACCAGATGGCGGTTAGAGCTGAAATGACCTTTTCAATTGTGAGCTTTACAATGGTTTTTAGCAGATCGTTTTCAGAGCGTTTGTTTGATAGCAGTGCAGATCTAGCCCTAGTCAGCCACTATGTCTTCCCCACACATGTTTGGCTCTCATTTTCCAAAGCCAAATAGGCATCTGAAATTTCCTCTGGGATGAAACACTCAGGTTCTCACAATCAAGGCTGAGGTGACTGAACAGGAGATGAGGAGAAGAGAAGAGAGACTTACGGAAAGCGACGACCGTCTCAACTCGCATTTCATAGCTCCCCCTCTGTTTCATCCCCGCCTCATTTGAAGCCTGGATGTTGGCCATGGCCCTGTCAAGCGCTTCCGCATTGTGTTTAGGGACACTGAACTCTGACCAGTAGTAGGCTATAATGCTGCCCTCGCTGCTCGGAGAGGAGGAAAAAGAGGCAGGTTAGGAATCTGGACCAAACCATCAGGGCTGCAAAGAGAATCACAGAATTGTAGAGTCGGAAGGGACCCAAAGGGTTGCAGGAAGCCTTGGCCAACCCCGACTGCCCCAATCACTATAACCCAGAGCTTTTCAAACTGTGCGTCGCGACACGTCAGTGTGTCTGCTGCAGTGTGTAGGTGTGTCGCGCAAACACTCCCCACGCTCCTCCCAGGGCTGGAAAGGGGTTAGTTTGACCTCCGGTTTGCTAGGAAAACTGAATCACTATGTCACGAAATGATGCACGTCCGAAAGGTTTGGAAAGCTCTGCTATAATGTATTGTGGATATTGGTTTCCTTAAGGCCTGGCTCTCTCAAACATACTAGCAGGACAACAGAGGCCATGTTGCAAAGGAGTATCATTTAAGGGATTTTTGCCCCATTACTGTGGCAAACCCATGTTCTGAAGAGCAAGTATGAGTTTGCACATCTCGTCGTTTGCAGACACCGTTTTTTTTCCACACAGCTAGGTTTCCCCCCCGCCTTACTAGAAATTATTTTAAATGACATTTTAAACAATAATTCTGAGTGATTTTTCTTAAACTTGGTCATTACCCACCTGAACGCGACGATCTGAGTTTCCTTGTGGAAAGGACTGACATCCTGATTATTTTTATAGATGTTTATAAGCTAAAGATGAGAAAAGAGGTTACAGTTTAGTATAAATAAAGGAACAGGTAGATGACAAGCAAATTCAGAGGTCAGGAGGGAACCACACTTTCTGGCTATAACCATTTTGTCATCGTCGTCAGATTCTATAGGTCAACTAAGTACAGGTTATAGCTCAGAACAAACAAAAACGGACAGGTCTCAAAAACATATCATAGCACATATGATTAAAACATTATAAAACACTTCACAGATATACACAAAAGGAGGAAAATGGCGGGAAACTCCGGACGCAAGACTCTAGGGTTTTCCTGAGTTGTGAGGCTTTTAGAGCAAACTTCACTGTTAAACATAACCGGTTTGTTTGAGCTAGACAGCAGGTAATTGATTCTATCGATGTCACTAAAGCTGGCAATCAACTTGAAGGGTTTCTTTCTAGCCCTTGGAATTTCATATACAGTACAACATATAATGAATAGTGTCCTCAACTGACAGACATACACAGCTGCAGAGGCGCTGTTCTCGAGGTGTTTTTATATTGCCCTTCCAGGAAGTTGCTTTGGGCTGCAAGTTGAGCTTGTCTCTAGGAATCCGAGGGTCGTCATCTCAGCGGATTCCAAAACATGGAATCCACTGATTAGAAAAGCAAATGGGGGATGGCTTTATTACATTTAAGTAATAAGAGCATTTAAGTCAATTGAGCTTCTCTTGGGTAAGTCTCACAGTAAAGCAGTTCAAGTGAGAAAGCATCAAACCAGAACCATCTATGGGTTTGAAAGGATGTATACAGAAGTAAGGTTTAAGGTTGAAAAGCGGGAGGGTGGGGTTCACTTCGCTTGAGCCCAGAAGCATGCAAACCCTGTGGCCCTCCAAACATTGTCAAACTACAACTCCCATCATCCTCGGCCCCTGGCCATGCTGGGGTGAGATAATGGGAGCTGGCGTCATTTAGTTCAGTTCTGTGTCTCCAGCCCAACACACCAGAGACGCCCATGCAGATGGGCGGGGTATAAATAATAAATATTATTATTATGCTACACAATCAGTGACACTTTGCCAAGTTCGCCCTATGAGTTCAGGAGCTGCTTACCATTTTCTTCACCTCCCTGGCCAAGTCAGCGAATTCAGGGGAGTTGGAATTCTCGTAAGCATCGATGAAGTTGCGCCCCACGAGTCTCAGGTGGCCATTGTAGACTTTCTGCACAGGCGCATTCCTGTCTAAGAGAAGCCATATTGCGGGTGAAAGATAAGAACAGTGTTTAATGGAGCCTGCTCTACACCTACAGCTCTAGAGGTGCCTGGAACAAATGGGCTCCAGTTATTATTATTTTTATTTGGACAGTTCTGCCCCAGTCCAATTGCTCCGAATCCAGAGAGGCCTATATTCCTTGGGTGCCCATTAACAGAACCAAGCGACCTTCCGTCAAGCTTTAGAAAATAAGCAACACGCTCCTTTGACTTCCGTTCTTGCAGCTCTGCAATCTGGTTTTCAAGGAGGCATTCTCAACACATACTATCCGGCAGGTTTTGTGGATGGTTCCCAATATATAGAGATCTGCACTCTGGGATCTACGTTTTTATTATCATTCTTCCCCAAAGACCCCACTGGATCAAGTTCACCCCTTTTGGCGAATTGATTAAACCAAATTGTTTTCATTTGATTTCAAATAAATGTGCAATTAATTGCTACTGTTTTTAATTTCAATGCGTTCTTCTCTTCTTTAGTGGGTCACGCAAACCGCTACAGTCGTATCTTGGATCCTGAACGCCTTGGGAGTCAAACGTTTTGGCTCCCAAACGCCGCAAAACAGGAAGTGACTGTTCCAGTTTGTGGATGTTCTTTGGAACCCAAATGTCCGACACAGCTTCCGATTGGTTACAGGAACTTCCTGCAGCCAATCGGAAGCCGTGCCTTGGTTTCCGAACGTCTTGGAAGTCGAACGGACTTCCAGAACGGATTCTGTTCGACTTCCAAGGTACTACTGTATTCTGAATCGTGCTTTTGATAGGGTAGAGTGGAGGGCATTGGGGATGAATTTCTGAAACCCAGGGGGCAAGGCCCTGGAAAAGGTTGGGAAACACTAATCTAAAGTGTAAGCTCCTTGGGGCAAAGACCACTATTAGCTTATGCACATTGCTGGTGCTTATGAATAATAAAATCAATAGTTTCTTCAAGTTACATTTCTCTCCCTAAATTGTGGCATGTTTAGCATCTTGGTTATACAACTTCTGCCACATGCAGCCAACAGTCACTTAATTTTGTGCAACACACACACACACACACACACACACGCCTGGTGATTGCATCTACATTCTTCTGTTTTGGCTGGTATGGTTTTACTTGCTTTTACAACTGTAATTGTTTTAAAACTAACTGTATATCAGATATACAATGGACATATAAACCTGAATCCCACTCTGAAGTGTTGGGGAAAACTCCATAGCAGGTTTGGGGGTCGGGGGGCACACAAGGGGGTGGAGGTTCCACACCATGAGCAGTTGTCATTCCGCTCATGCAGTGACTTGGCTGGATTTTAAGTTTAAATTGGCTTAGTCAGCAGGTCAATAAACTAAAGCTTTGGCCAACTGATCCACCAAGGGAAATGTTTTAATTGGTGGGGTTGCCTATTGAGGACAGATGATATTCCCAGCCTGCTCCGATGTGTCCTTGTAACAGAGAATAAAAATTTTAAAGGTGGCAAAAAACTTTGTTTATTGAACTGCGGTTTCTCCCCTGCTTCTTCCAATATCTTTAAAAGGCAGGAGGTTTTCATAACTGACGGGTTTTCCAAAGAAAGGGCTTTTAATAGCGCTGCACTGGTTTGTTTTTTTATTATGACCTGTATTTCAGTATATTAGTTTTTTTTATTGTTTTGATTCTATCAGCGTCGAATTGTTTTTTTTCCTTAATGATGATCTTTTATATGCTTTTAGCTGTCTGCATTTTAGCTGTCTTCCTTAATCTGTGTAAGCCTGCCTTGAATCCCAGTCTGGGCAGAAAGGCGAGATCTAAATAAATATAATCATAATACCATGCGGCAACCCCACACCTTGCAAACCAAGGCTCACTTACATCTAAAGTGCCAAACCAGGAACCCAGCAAGCAGGGAGAGGAGGAGACAGACCAGGACGATGGCTATCGCCGCTACGCAGCGCTTGGGACCCCTCTTCTCCACCTTCTTGGCGTTCATGGTGGGGAGGAACTCCAACCCTTCTTCCAGGCCGTTCATATCCTAGGGCGAAGCAAACACGGAATCAGGCTGCCATCCCAACAAGGCGCTCATGTACTCCTCCCTCCTGCAGATCCCCAACCCCAATGACAGGGCCGGCCCAAGATATTTCACTGCTGGAACAGGAGAACTCAGCCAATTACTACTGTTTATTGAATTTATGAATCTCTCAACACGCAAGGAATATCCAAGAGAATCTGTTCCCGCAGCTAAGGAAAGAAAGCCCACAAGCACCTCTTTAAAAACAGAAATTGAAACAGCCGATGCAGCTCTTTTCACAGCGCCCCAAAATTAGCCGTGTTGGAGGCAGCTGCCTCACCATGCCCAATGGGAGGACTGGCCTCTCCCACAATGTGGATTCTGTTCCGTGGATCAGCATGACAATATTGGAGTACTCTGCTATACACTGCCTTGTGGCATCAGGCTAAAAGATCTCTCCCCAAATCCAGAGCCATCCAGTTATTTTGAACCACAGCTCCTAGCAGACCCAGACAAAACATCTGGAGCTTCGGGAGAGGGCCAGGGACTAGTCGAAATTCCTTTTCCTAGCACGATTCTTGAGGCTCCCAAACAAGGCAAGAAAGCAACAAAAGTCCTTGAAGTGGGGCAGGGAGAAAACCAGAAGGTATAACCAGCCCTTGCCCATGGGAGTTCCAATTTTTTTTTAAATTGAATTTGATTCGATTCATGAATCGTTGTCCACAGAATTCCTAGGAGACATGTCAGAGTAAAAAACTGTAAAAGAACAATTACATCTAGCTATCATACAAACAGTGACAAATCTATTTTCCTTTCATTCCCCCCCCCCAAATAATTAAAACAAGAAATAGAAAATGATGTAAGACAGCGTCCATCACATCAAATGGCAGGGAGTTCCGCAGGTTATTCATGTGCTGCTTGAAAAATGACTTCCTCCCTTTTGTCTGCCCTAAAGCTAAAGCCAGCCCTCAAAACGGCTGAAGTTCTAGCTTTACAACAGAGGGAAGGCAGATAAAGAGGGAGTAATTTCACCTCTGTATAGTGAATAGGAAGCTGAAAAACAGTCCAATTTTTTGATAAGCATTAGAAATAACCGAGGTTGCTCCATTAGAGTGCTCAGTCTGCTATAAGCCAAGCTTTACCTGCCTGCCTTTTTTACAATCAGCCCGAGGGAGGGGACCCTTTTCAGGGAACACTACTAGAAAACTAGAAACCGCTATGCCCTATTCCTCTCCCAGACCTAAGTCCCTGGAAAGAGGGATTGATTGTTCAACCACACCGGCTGGAATGTGTCCCTGAACCTCTGGCTTGTGCCAGAGAAAAATGTGTTCGAGAGAGTAGAAGCCAGCCCACAGCACAAAAGGAAAAAATGCACACCAATTGCTCCATCCATTTTTGCCCCTGGCCCTGCCTACCACTGCCATGTGGCCCCCAAGAGGTTCCCAGAAGGGAATGTGGCCCTCAAGCTGCAAAGACCTCCCCACCCCATACCTGTTGCAGAGGGGAGGAGGACAGAGAGAGACCCCATCCAAGGCCACATTAAACTTGTGAGAAATAAGCAAAAACCAAACTGGGGGCTTGCCAATTCTTCATTCCTCCCTTTAGGCCATACAGTGGTACCTCGGGTTACAGACGCTTCAGGTTACAGACTCCGCTAACCCAGAAATAGTACCTCGGGTTAAGAACTTTACCTCAGGATGAGAACAGAAATCGTGCTCCGGCAGCGCAGCGGCAGCAGGAGGCCCCATTAGCTAAAGTGGTGCTTCAGGTTAAGAACAGTTTCAGGTTAAGAACGGATCTCCAGAACGAATTAAGTTCTTAACCCGAGGTACCACTGTACCAGCTTAAAAAGCAGCAACTCTACAGGAAAACAGCCGTCAAATGAGGGGAGGAGGGAAGCCACTTCCCTCTCACCTCAACAACCCTGAAACTGTGAACAAAGGATCTGCCCCCAGAAGGCACAAATACACACACTCATCCCCAGAAAGTGCAGCGGAACAAAACGTGTTGCTCACACACTTTCTGCAAGAGTTTCGGGGACTTCCGTGTTCCTTTCTGGGCTGCCCATCCCTGCTCAGGCAGCACCTGCGGAGCAGAACCAAGCCAGGCCGGCTCAGCCAGGCCACGCCTCACTCGTGGTTTGCGCTTTTGGCGTCCACAGCTCCAAGGTGACAGACTTCCGCCTGTTAAGTCAGCAACTTTCAGCTGACTGGAAAAGATCAGAGTGTCTCTCCCCCCCCCCCCTTTAGCCCGGTGCACTTTCTTAGAAGCAAAAGACAAAACCTACATTCTCCTTTCTAAGAACAGCCAAACAGCCTGCTGGAACAAGTCTGTGGCCCATCTAGTCCAGCATCCCTGCTCTCTCAGAGGCCAAACCAGATGCCTCCAGGGGAAACCCACAAGCAGAATTCGAACCCAAGAGCCTTCTCCCCTCCTCCGCCTGTGGTTCCAGCATTCAGAGTTATTTACTGCTTCTGGCCATGGAGGCACAGCATAGCTCTCATGGCAGGTTCCCATTTCTCTCTCTTCTTTTAAATCCATTCTCAAATCCCACCTTTTTCCTCCGAGGACTCGGATTCGAACGCCTTAATCCTCACTCGGAGCTGTGTGACTGAGCCGAAGGACTAGAAACGTGGCTCACATCCGCCTCTCGCCACTCTGGTCTCTCCCCACCACCGCCTGTTCTTTCAGAACGTAGTGCCTTAGTGAACTGAGACCTCTGCTGCTCATGTAAAGCCAAGATATTTGGCGCCGGATGAGCAAGAACAGCAGCCGGGCCTTGCACAATGACTTTATTTTCGGCTGCTCTGTCTGCTCTTGTGACCGACAGACTTGAATACAAGGCAAGCCGCCAGAGTTCTGCAGCCATGGCCTACAGGAAATGGATGATTTACAGGTCAATCTGCAGCCCACCAGATGCTTCACCGTGCTGTTTTTATTGTAATCATCTGTACGCTTTTAATCAATCATTTATACTCAGATATCGTTCTAGTTCTATAAAGGTATTGTTGTTGTTTTCCTGTTTTTAACTGTTTCTATTTGATCCGTAAGCCGCCTCAAGTCCCTGAAAAAGACAGGCTATAAATAATTACAATGCGGTTGGTCTCCCCCAGCAGCCCAAGGCAGCATGATCAGTTGCTGGGGGTGGTGTGGGTTGCGGTTCAAAAGCATACGGAGGGCCATACCAGAGGAGGAAGCATGCAGGAATCAAGGAGGAACTGGGCATCCAAACCACAGCTGCGTAACTGTCCTCTGTGGCAAAGCCATTCCGAGCACAGAACCGCTCTTGGGACCCACTGAAAGGGGAGAGCAGCCTTCCCCCTCCACACACACCTGGTGTCCTCCAGATGTTTTGTACTGCATCGCCCATCAGCCCAGCTGTGCTGCCTGAAGCTGATGGGAAATGGGGTCCACAACAGCTGGAAGGAACCAGGTTGGGGGAAGTTGCAGGAGAGCAAACCAGAACTCTCGGTTTGCTTTGTTGTTTATATACTTGAGCCTAAATTTATTTACTTATCTTGCAATATTGAATTTATTCTGCCAAATGGTTGATTTTTGAATTTACCAACATCGTTTGTTTCAGCCTTCACTACATTGTACAAAAAATCCTGGAAGCACGGCGGATTATTATTTTTAAGTATTTATTGAAAGCAGTACGGGTGGTTTTGGCTTAGAGAGAATATAATCCGCCTGGGAACCATCACAATTTATATGTGGGGAAAGACAATACTGTACTTGGCTAGGTGCATCAATGGACTCACTCGGTGTAAGGCATCTTCCTGTCGGCAGGAAAGCAGAAGGGAAACAGGCCCTGGCCTCTGCTCTGAGTCCACTGGGAGACTATATCCCCTGCCTAAATCAAAGTATCAAGGAAGGGCTTTGCATGAAGCAAAGTCCCAGGTTCAATCCCTGACAACTGCAGGAGGTGCTGGAATAAAAAGCCTGCCTGAAATCCTGGCTGGGTGCTGCCAATCAGAGCAGACAACACTAAGCTAGATGGGGTATAACTTGGCATAAGGCAGCTGCCTCTTCTCCTCTTTCACTGCCTCTAATCATTTACTCAGGGCTCACTTCCTTCTCCAAGAGAGAGAGTCCTCTCACGCCGCTGTTGCGTAAGTCTGGTTTCATTCAACCCTGTTTGTTACTTATCCCTTTGATGACTCAGACCTCAAATGAAACACAGAGGAAATATGTCCAAGTTAGGCCATATGTGAAGTAGTTGGTCAGCGAGAGCCATTCCAGACAAGTTTAGAGGCTTAGCCAGAAGGGAGAAACTGCCCTTTCCTTCTTCCAAGCTGCTCCCAGGATCTGATTCAGTGACACCCAAGGCCAACTGAAGGTCTCTGGCCTAGAGAGTCACCCAGCTGATACTGCTTGAATTAGAACAGGGTCTCCCAAACCTTTTTCCCCCACCCCATGGACCACTTGAAAACGACTGGAGGTCTTGACAGACCACTGAACGGGTTTCCTGCCAGCTGTAGTGATTGCAATGTGCCGCGCTAGGTGCAGCAAGATTTTAAATTGTGTAGCCACGTCTTTTGTTCCTTATGCTGCATGACAATTTGCATTCCGAAGAATTCAAACTGTAATACAATGAAATGCAGCGTAAGAAATAAAAGATGCAATGAGAAGACCGCTAAAAATCATTAGGAACATTGAATAAGACGGGCGAGCTGTCTCCCGTACTCAGCCACAAATGCACAGACACCTCGCTCGGCAGAGCATGAGACTCTTAATCTCAGGGTTGTGAGTTTGAGCCCCACGTTGGGCAAATAAGATTCCTGTGTTGCAGGGGGTTGGGCTAGATGACCCAACAATTCTAGGATTTTATGTCATGGGCTAAGTGAATGAAACTACAGGCCACTTGTGGTCCACAGACAACAGTTTCGGATCCTCTAGCTTAGAAAAAGGCATGAGAGTAGCTCAGTGGTGTAACACCTGTTGTCAGAGCCGGAGGCCACAACTCTCCTGGTACCCCGCCATGCTACGCCCCTTGGGTAGCCACCCACAAAGGGCTAGCCATAATGGCAACTCAGTACCTAGAGGGGTGAGAGTCAAAATAATCTACATGGTGCATGCTGATGAACTACAACTCCCATCAGCCCCAGCCAGCATAGCCAATGGCCAGGGACGATGGGAGATGCAGGCCAACCACACCTGGAGGGAACCATTTTGGCTATCCCTGCTCTCATTTCTCTAGGTCCTGGGATAGAACAAAGGCTCTTTAATTCTGACTTTCCAGATCGTTTGAATGATGCATAAGGGATGGAAGACCCTGCCCTACATCCTGCTTTGTCACTGTGGCTAGTATTATCCCCTCTCGCATCCTCCTGCTCAACTAGGTGCTGATGGGGAGCCAATGTGGTGTAGTGGTTAAGAGCGGTAGACTCGTAATCTGGGGAACCAGGTTCGCGTCTCCACTCCTCCACATGCAGCTGCTGGGTGACCTTGGGCTAGTCACACTTCTCTGAAGTCTCTCAGCCCCACTCACCTCACAGAGTCTTTGTTGTGGGGAAGGAAGGGAAAGGAGAATGTTAGCCGCTTTGAGACTCCTTAGGGTAGTGATAAAGCGGGATATCAAATCCAATAAGCAGGACTCTGAGAGCAACAGCCCTCTCTCCCTCAGCAACTGGTATTCGGAAGCATCCTGCCTCCAATTCTGGATACTACAGGTGAAACTCAAAAATGAGAATGTATGGGGCATTGCCAAGAGAAGGATGAGAGACATGAGACCAAGCAATGCAGAAGAGCTGAAGGCTGCTATTGAAGCTTCCTGGTCTTCCATAACACCTCAGCAGTGCCACAGGCTGATAGCATCCATGCCACACCGCACTGAGGCAGTAATTGATGCAAAAGGGGCCCAAACCAACTACTGAGTACATGTGCATGCTTCTACTTCTCAGAGGTCCAATATTGCTCTATTTGCAGTCCTCGTTTTGCTGATTTCATTTAATATTCTAATTTTCTGAGATTGTTAATTTGGGGTTTTCATCAGCTGTATGCCATAAACATCACAATTATAACAAATAAAGGCTTGACATATCTTGCTTTGCATGTCATGAGTCTATCTCTTATATTAGTTTCACCTTTTAAGTTGAATTACTGAAATAAATGAACTTTTCCACAATATTCTAATTTTTTGAGTTTCACCTGTATGTACAACCAGCATGACTAGCAGCCACTGGTCACCTTATCCCCCATGAATTCGTCTTAAGCCCTTTCCAAAGCTGTCTGAGTTGGTGACCATCACCACATTGTGCAGTAGCTAATTCGATAATTTGACTATGTGCTGAATAAGTAAGTATTTTCTCTTGCCTGTTCTGAATATCTCACCATTCAGCTTCACTGGATGACCATGAGTAGAAAGGGAGAAAAACTTTCTATTTGCTTTTTATTTTTGCTGGGGGGAAGAGGCCAGAGGAGGAAGGAACCAAAGAATTTAGGAGATTCTAACTACAGTCAGAGAGGGGTGAAGAGGACAGATCATCTGCATAACATGTTCGGGCTGGACTAGTCCTTCTCAAGCAAACTGAGGAGTAAAGTTTGCTCAACTCTTTCCTAAAGGGGAAAAGGGAACCGGCACAAGCAGAAGTCAGTTTCCGATCTATCCAGTGTGTGACTGTGCCAACCTCTTTGCAGGCATCACGAACCAAGGGGCAGGGGGTGTCGCAATCGATACACACACCATGAGGAATGCTGACATCACTGTTTCTATATGCAGTCAGCAAGTTTATTTCGAGTATTATGACAATCATAAAGGAGTCCCTGCCCTTGGGAAGACAATCTAAAAAGGCACGACACAAAAGGAAAAGGAGTTGGGAGGGAGAAGGAACAGAGCAAGTTCAGAGAAACGAAAGTTTGTCCATCACCTTTTCATAGAAATCCCCATGGCAGCATTGGATTATCGTGCCAGGAAGTTGGAGTTTTTTGGCGGGGGGGGGGGAGGACAGGGGGACAGAAAGAGAGTAAAAAATGCCAGCTGTCCAGTTCAAATCTCTCTGCAGGTTTATGACCTGCCATGTTGTTTTTATTCTGGTTTTGCATTGCTCTGTTTTTATTCCATGCTAAAATGGACATCTTAGTCAGCAGATAACGAGGCTCTTAATCTCAGGGTTGTGAGTTCAAGCTCCACATTGGGCAAAAGATTCTGTCAACAGAGATTCGGTTATTATTGGGCAGTAAAGAAGTGAAGTTCTGGAAATTGAATAAATAAATTGATTACTGTCAGAGTCTGCACCACCCAGCCTGCAATACAAAGAGTGCAATCTTGATCGATCATAAACCTGGTTTGTTGTAAAGATTAACCAAAATAATCCTACTTCAGGGACTGTGCCAGCAGCAAAAGGCTTGTTGTACTCTGGACCAGGAAGTCCTCACCTCCAACAGGAGCTCATCAGGCCTGCAGCCTGCAGCTCCCTATGTACACTTACCTGGGAGTAAGCCCCACTGAGCGTAGCAGGGCTTACTTTCTAAGTAAACATGTATAGAACTGAATTGTCAGGGAAGCTGTGTTAGTCTCAGAGCCCTCCCCCTGTAGCCATAAAACATTGATCTGCCTGGTTTATTCCAAGGATTGTTGAAATTGTTTTGGGTTTTAAAAAATGAACGCATTTGTACTGTTCAGCCAAAAGGGTTCCCAGATTGGATAACAAATATAAAGACAGAGAGGAGAAGCAAACAGGCAGGTTCCGAGTCAGAATTCCTACAAACAGTGCTTTTTTTCTTAAAAAAAAGTTTAGAGGTACTCTCATTTTCCTACTCATATTGAAATACTGCCCTCAATGAGGCCGAACTTAGATTCACAAAATGTTTAGGCGCAGGCATGGCCAAACTTGGCCCTCCAGCTGTTTTGGGACTACAACTCCCATCATCCCTAGCTAACAGGACCAGTGGTCAGGGATGATGGGAAGTGTAGTCCCAAAACAGCTGGAGGGTCAAGTTTGGCCATGCCTGGTAGGGGGTATGTGTACCCCTGCGTCCCCCCAGGAAAAAAGCACTGCCTACAAACAACCAGCTGGGGTGGGAGTAGTTCAAGCAGAGGAGAAGCCATAAAGGAGCTAATATGTCTATAGGACCAATGGAGTGGCCCTGCTCCCCTCCTCTCCCTCTTCTCTGCAGCCTGATGGAGCTGTTATCTCATGGGAAGTAGAGCATGCACATTCGTTCTAGATAAGGGCGATCAGACCTTAGAGACAGGTGCCTATGAAAGTCCTTCCTCCAATTCTTTGCTGCACATAGCGTGTGGGTTTGCCCACTCTCAACACTTCATGGGGAAACCCAGCAAGATGAGCAGAGTATAAATTATAAAATTATTATTACTATTATTATTCATTTTCATTTTTTTATCCTAAAAAAAAAATCCTCTATTTTCTTTAAAGAAACAAGACTAAACCAAACACAGAATTAGTTTTATAGCAGCTTTCCAACCACTGCACCCAAAGCAAGTCGGCGGGGGGGGGGGGGGACAGATTCCTTGTTCCATCAAATGCTCCTTAAATCTTCTGACTATGTCACAAGCGATGGCTGCTAGTGGCAGGTTACGAAGGGCTATGGTCCGATTTTGAAACAGGAAGCACCCAAAGATTAATGGTCAGTGGATCAGGGCCATTTCACTTTACATAGCAACTAACCCAGGTTTACCACTGCAAGTACACTCAACAGGAAGTCAGGGGCCAGTCCTGGCTCTCTGTCAAGCATGCAAATCAACTCATGGCTTTTTAAACACCCATTTGTCACATTCACACATTATATTTGATGGTGTACACTTTAACGCAACAACACATTAAAAGATGTCCAGGCACCAACAGGAGATTTTGATCCTAACCAGTAGTTAATGCATATTATTATTATTACTTAACCCAAACCCAAAGAGATTATGTATATACTGTATATTTGTAAATAAAGGGTTAAAGAGCCCCAAACAAATCTGATGGCAATCCATATCCATCTTCTGCAAACAAGCAGTCCTCCCCGCCCCCCTACTTTGCAGCAGAGTCTGTTTACATTCTGGGTGTGCAAGTTACAATGCGGAACTAAGCAAAGGCCAGCCTCCCTTCCCCATGGCAGACAAGATGAGGCAGGTCAGGGAGGAACAAAAATAACACCATCAAGGCTCTCCATCTATGCATCTGAAAGCTCTTCCCTTCCAGGGAAGCGCTGGGTTTTTGGACAGTGTGTAGGAGGTCAAAGGACTCTGCAGAATGCGCTGTAAGAGTGTGCGGGGAGATCTGGAGGGCTGTGTGCTGCACGCAGAGTGATCTTAAACCCAGCCAGATGGGTGGGGTATAAATAACAAGTTGTTGTTGCTGCTGCTGTTGTTGTTGTTGAAGAAGAAGAAGAAGAAGAAGAAGATCATCATCTTCTTCTTCTCTTCGGAAATCCCACTTAGTCCAATGAGGTTTACTTCCAGGTAGCGGGGCACAGGCCTACAGCTGTAAATAATGTGCTTCCACTGGCCACAAAGTCCCTGGTTAGACTGCTGCCTAAGGTCTCCATTGATTAGGTGATCACCAACATGCTGCTAGTTTGCAGACACAGCTCTGCATTTGCAACACAAGCCCAGTAATAATACTGGCCTTCCTTACAGGGTGGCTGTACGAATTTCTGAGAAGACAGTTGCTCAGTAGCATTGTAAAGGTATTTTGCATTTAAGTAACAACCACAGCCACGGCGCCAATTTGGCCAGCTGGCCTGCCGGTTCTTTCAGCTTTGAAAAAGGCAGAGTTTGTGCAGCTGGGTCACAGCCCTGTCTAAGATGAGAACCAGAATCTCTGGCCTGGACATGATGTTCACTGGGTAGCCTTGGACCATCCCCTCATCTCAGCCTAGGCTACCTCCCAGGATTGTTGAGAAGACGAGGAGGGCAATCTGTATTTATTTAATTATTGCATTTATATCTCACCTTTCCTCCAAGGAGCTCAAGGTGGCATATATACATCTCTTCCTCTCAATTTTATCCTCACTTCAGGTGAGATAGGTCAGGCTAAGAGTGGGTGGGTGACCCAAGTTCACCCAGAGAGCTTTGTGGTTGAGTGAGGATTCGAACCCCAGGATCAGAGGTCCTAGTCCAGCTCTCTAACCACTACACCACACTGGCTCCTATGTATATAGCTTGTGTGTCTTGGAAGAAGAAAAGGATATAATGGTGAATAATTAACAACACAGGGCAATGTAAAAAACACAGAAGGAAAGTGCTTCAAGTTATATGCCAATTGGTGGTTTTTTGGGGGTGGGGTGGCAGTTGCTCACTCAGGCAAGTGGCAAAGCACCGTGTGGCTATTTTAAAAGACTTCTCCTTGGTTATTGCTCATTTGCAATAACTAAGCAATTTTGAAATGTAAAGGCAGAGTAAAAAAAAAAAAGAAATAAAATCTTTTAAAACAAAACATTCAAATAAGCATAGTAAACTTGGGAAGAGGTGAAATCTGTCCTTTTCTGTTTCAGGACACATTTCTTCCTCCCAAAGACTTCTGGGAACTGTAGCTTGTTAAAAGTGCTGGGAACTGTAGCTCTGAGGGGCAAATCACAGTTCCCAGGATTCTTGGAGTGGGCATATTTTAAATGTATGATGCATATGCAACCTTGGCCTGTTTTTAACCCCATCATTCTGTTCTGTTTCCACTATGATCTACCAATCTAAAATGCCCCTCAAAATACTTTAGGATGGATAGTATTAGGATTGATACTTTAGGATAGATAGCCAAATCCCAATCCTCACCCCATTCAGAGGTGAGCGAATCAGGTAATTTCTGCACAGGGATTTGAAAAGATCAAATCCCTTGAGCATCACTAGGTAAAGTAAAACTGAGATCTTAGATACTGTTGAAAACTAAAATTCCCTGCCGGCTTCCGTAAGAGAAGGGGAATTTTGTATGAACCCAGTTTGTAAAAAAGAAAGTGTCAACATCCCGTCATAAAGCTGAAGGATCTACATCACCGCTTCTTCAGTGACTCACCATCACAGAGCACAAACTGGAGAGGGGGTTAAAGAGAGGCAGAGAGATCTCTCTCAATATACTGAAGCCTGAAGGATATTTTTAGCAAGTTTTCCTTTTTAAAAATCGACTGGCCACAGCACCAGGAAATTCATCAGGTGGCTTTTTCAGGCTTCAGCAAAATCTCATGCTGAATTTGTTCAACATGTTATAATATAAATTGTGCTGTAGAGAGGAGACCCTTCCTGGTTTTATGCTGGAATGCAGAACAACATTTTGAGCTGCAGTTAATGTCACATCTTTTTTAAAAAAGAACTGAACCTAATTCCAAGTTTATAATGAAAGCGGAGTCAGGAATGCGACAGGAAATAAGATCAAAGCAAAGGAACAGCTTCTAGCCTCTTCCTAAAGTATGGGGGGAAGTAGCACGGGAAATAAGCATGTACTCCTATTAGAGGAAGGGCTACAGCTAAGGGGGAAGGGAAGTGTAGCTCAGTGGTACAGCATCTGTCCTGCATGCAGAAGCCCCTGGGTTCAATCCCCAGCATCTACAGTTAAGGCTGGGAAAAGAATCCCTTGCCTGAAACCCTGGTGGGCCACTGCCAGTCAGTGCAGACACTACTGAGCTAGATTAACCACTGGTCTGACTCGGTATAAAGCCACATCATACATTTCATATGCAATCCTAAACCTGCTTGCCTGGCAGTAAGCTTCATTGAGCTCAGCAGGGTTTATAAAGGACCCCTGACCATTAGGTCCAGTCGTGGCCGACTCTGGGGTTGCGGCGCTCATCTCGCTTTATTGGCCGAGGGAGCAGGCGTACAGCTTCCGGGTCATGTGGCCAGCATGACTAAGCCGCTTCTGGCAAACCAGAGCAACGCACGGAAAAGCCGTTTACCTTCCCGCCGGAGCGGTACCTATTTATCTACTTGCACTTTGACATGCTTTCGAACTGCTAGGTTGGCAGCATCAGGGACTGAGCAACGGGAGCTCACCCCGTCGTGGGGATTTGAACCGCCGACCTTCAGATTGGCAAGTCCTAGGCTCTGTGGTTTAACCCACAGCGCCACCCGCGTCCCTCAGCAGGGCTTACGTCTGAGTAAAACACAGGATTGTGCAGTAAGGCTGCACACTTATCTGGGAGCAAGCCCCCTAGAATACTGTAGTTGTTTACTACTGCATAAATATGCATAGCATTTGATTGTAGGTTATGCCAAAATAGCAAGCCATCGACACAAGTTTGCTTCAGGTACACAATTCATTCAGGCCACAGGGATCGACTTTATTTGGAGAGGTGTGTTGCTTGCTTTTAAGAAGAAGCAGAGAGGATGTACCCTCAGCTGCTGCAGTCCGCTGGGATGCTTTTATGTATTGGAGGGGAGGTTTGCCAACAGCAATAGGAGTTTTGAGGAAGGGAGAGGAGAAAGGAAACCAGAGGCATCCAGTGAGGCTTCTGCAAAGATTATCTGTTCCCTCCCACTGTCCCAGGGGGGAAAAATCCAGTGTAATGGGATATTGATTGTGGTGATGCCAAGATGGCAGCTCCCCATTTTTGAAAGGTATCTTCCCTGCTGCTGCCGCCACCTCCCACCATTAGGTTGGGCAGCTGCCATTTTGAGTTCCCCCCAGCAGCCCCTCACAGGTGTTAAGACCAGTAGATGGTAGTTTCTGCTTGGTATTTTCTCAGGCATCAGAAATTGGGGGGGGGGGGAGAGGCATTATTTATAGCTGGCCCTGGGCTTTGCAATCTCCTCCCTAAAGATACAACCCTTTCTTCTGGCCTTGACACGGTGTATATATAAAGACCTACCCATGTATATTGACTGCCATTTGTTTTAATCACATTTAAGACTGTATGTTTAAATAGTTGAAACCGGGCCTGGGACTGTGCAATGAAGAGAAAGAAGAATATAATCTAGAACAATGATGATGATGATAGAATTGCAAGGTTGTAAGGGATTTCCAAAGGTCATGTATTCCGACTCCTTGCAATGCAGGAATTCCAGCTAAATAATAATATGTATGTGGATTTCCCCCAAAGTAGCTTCTCTCCATGGCACTGTGGGAAATTTTAAATGGTGGTTTATCAACCCAGCCGTTGTCCCCAGGAAAGCCTGAAAGGCGGGGGCCCTTACATAAGATGGCATCCAGAAGTGGGCGCTTTTACTGAGCCCCACCCCCCAAAGAAAAAACCCACCTGGAACTGGCCCTGTATGCTTGTCTTGCAGTTCTAAGCGAGGAGGAGAGATATGAGCTTCCACATTTATCATCCACAATAATCTTTAAAAGTGATCAAACGGAAAGAGGAGATTTCAACTCCTCCAGATCATCGCAGCACATTTTAAGAGCAAGGTTGAATGGAGCCAAGTTCAAGTTTTAATTTTAAAAAATTACACATTTAAAAATGGGATTGGCTTTAATTAAGGAAAGCCCACACGCTTCCCACATAATAGAGAGGCCTCCGCAGACCTCACCCACGGGGAGGCAGCAGCTACCCAGCCAGGTGTCCTCAGTTCACTGGCTCAACTGGAAAGTCTACTTGGATAAGAACAGCCAGGCCTCTGACCTTAACAAGAGACGGTAAATTAACCCTTTTCGGCGCTACACAAAAGAGCATAACAGGAAAGAAATCCACAGCAGAGACCTCGACTTTTAATCTACAGCACCTACATTTTAAAACCACCCTGAAAAACTGACCAAGAGAGGAGGACAATCTGCTTAAAATGGAATCCAAGGCTGAGGACACAGCAGCTGACATCAAGCCTTTCAAAATCTCCAGCACAAAAACAAAACACCTCTTTGCATTTGGGGAAATTTGGCCACCCAGCATGGGGGAACCCAAGATGGTCCACTGCCAAACTACTTATTTCAAAACAAGATGTCAGGTACCAGGATGAGCTCAAAGTGTGGCACCTCAGCATCTTTTGCAAGGCCATAGAATGGCTTTCTTTCTTCATCATAAAAGTTGTTCTGCCCTTTCCCTGGCCACCAAAAGCCAGCTTGGTATGAACGCAATTGCCTTACTCCGAAACATGCATAGGCTGAGACTTTAACAGTTCTTGGAGAGAGATTTTTTCAAGGCTGAGGGACAGTCACAGAAATGGCAGGTCCCTTCCAGCTGACTCCTGCCATGCAGGCTCAAGGCAGTTCATCTTCCGAACTTGATACAAGCCTAGCCCTAAAGGAGGAATCTTTCTTTTCTTCCTTTCTAGTGAAACGCCGCCATCCTAACACACACACGCGCGCACTCCTCCTCGCAAGTAAGCCCCACTGAAACACGCGCGCCTTAAACCCGAGTTTAAGGGCCCCGATCCTGACTCGGTCATTAACTCTTAAACGTCCTCACTTTTCATGATACAGCTTGGGGAAAAGGTAAGAACAGCAGCAAAGAGATTGGCCACCAAAGACTCCTGTCCCGGACAATTTTCTGGGAATGATCCACAAGATCTGGAAAGGGAGCGCAGATGATCCACTCCAATCTCTCCCCGCCTCCTCCCGAAATTTCCCAAACAAGCACTTACCTCCAATTTATTGCTGTACTTTAGGCCTGAAACATACGCCTTCGATGTAGCCCCGGAAGGTGGGTGATAAATGTTCATTTTTCCTTCGCTGGGAAGCCGGTAATCCTTCATATTTAGATTTCCTCCCGCTTTATTCTCTCCTTTTTACAGAAAGTTTACGATAACGTGCGATTGGGGGGGGGGGGGAGGGAGAAGAGAGCGAGAGGAAAGCAAGGCAGGAAAAGTTTCCAGAGAATCCCCACTTTGGAGAGGTCCAAAGCAATTCCTGGCTAGATCAGGGAAACAGAAAAGAAGAATCGCGGCGGGAGGGGGCGGGGGCTTTAGCCAGAAGCCATGGCCGGAGCAATCCTCGTCGGCGAGTCGAAAGCAGCGAGCAACTTTCTTAGAAAAGAGAAGGCGTCGTGTTCTTCGTCTTCCTCCCTTGCAGCCTCGAGTGCGACTCCTTCTCCCCGGGGGAGCTGGGGCTTTTCTCCCGGGCGCTGGGCGACTCGCTTCCCCTCCTCCTCCTCTCCCACTCAGCAACTTCCTTGTGGGGCGCCCCTTCCGCCGCAGGTAGCCAGTTTCAAGGGTGGGGCCGCAGGGAGAGCGCGCACTCGCTCGCACGCGCGCTCCAGGTTTACCTGGGCCTCTTGGCCCCGCCCTCCCAGCAGGTGAACTGAGCAGGAAGTCAGTGTCTCTCTCTCTCTCTCTCTCCCGCCCCCCGGTTTCTCTCGGCATCCTTGCGGGGCAGGCGATTGGCTGGCGGCGTGAGGAAGCGCACCTGTTTGGCATGCAGAAGGCTCCGGGTTCAAGCCCCCAAGCAGCATCTCCATTCCCCGCCTGGAACTGTGCAGAGGCGCTGCCAGCCAGTGTAGGCAACCGAGATGGGCCAGTGGGGTCTGGCTCGGGGTAAAGCAGGTATGCTGGGAAGAAAGTCCGTTTTACAACTTGGTGCTAACAGTGGCAGGCCTGCTGCCTGATCCTACGCAGGAGAGCCAGTGCTACATATAAGCTAAACAAGCTATAGCTTAGGGCCCCAGTCTCTTGGGGGCCCCAAAAAATTTATAGGGGAAAAAACTGGATGTACATTTCCAAAATATAGATAAAAAACAAGCAAAATAAAATAAAATAAACCTACATACGTTTTGTGTTGTGTAGGCTCTTATGATGTAAGTAATGGGCCCCGCATATAGCATATAAGGTAAAGGGACTCCTGACCATTAGGTCCAGTCGTGACCGACTCTGGGGTTGCGGCGTTCATCTCGCTTTATTGGCTGAGGGAGCCGGTGTACAGCTTCCGGGTCATGTGGCCAGCAGGACTAAGCTGCTTCTGGTGAACCAGAGCAGTGCACGGAAACGCCATTTACCTTCCCGCTGGAGCAGTACCTATTTATCTCCTTGCACTTTGACGTGCTTTCGAACTGCTAGGTTGGCAGAAGCAAGGACCGAGCAACGGGAGCTCACCCCGTCGCGGGGATTCAAACCGCCGACCTTCTAATCGGCAAGTCCTAGGCTCTGTGGTTTAACCCACAGCGCCACCCAAAACAGTGACAATTTGTTGTTGACAAAGGACAGCTGGACATATAAAGGGCCCCATTACCTTCAGTAGCTTAGGGCCTCATCAAACCTCAATCCAGCCCTGAGGAGAGCCTTTCTGGATCAGAGCAAAGGTCCTACTGCTGCAGTTCAATAGTAAATCCCCTCTTCTTGGAGAACTCTGGGACCTATAGCTCTGCAAGGAGACAAGGGAGTCTCCTAACAGCTCTCAGTTCCCAGGATGCTTTGGGAGAAGCCATGGCTGTTTAAAGCGCTTTAAATATATAGTGCATATGGGGACAGTTTCTTCTGGCTTTGCTCACACCAGCACCTAAATAGGTTTTGTTCCTGAACTTGGCCTGCGATAAAGACTGTGACCAATGTATCTTGCTGCCTTTCAGGGCTTTTACAAGCTACAGTTTCCCAGGATTCTTTGGAGGAAGCCATGACTGTTCAAAGTGGTATGAAACTGCTTTAGATGTTTATAGTGCAGATGTGGCTTATGTGGCACGCACTTCAGAATAAAGGCCCCACATTCTCAGTGCAGATCTCAGATGTCTGTTGATGGGACCAACCCCACAGCCCACCTACGACCGCGTGCCTCTTGCAAAGAGTAATTCCACAACAGTGTCAAAATCCCAGTGGGATCTTAGCGAGGCAGTGTGCTAGCCAGCAAGTTGGCTTCAGGTTCAAAGAGCACACGAAAGAGTGAATCATTGGGAGCGGCAGCCCCAAACAACAACAATCAAGAATTACCCTGCACAGTGAGAATACGCAACAAAGAAATGTGTTACAGAGCAAAAGAGCATGGTCAAAAAAAAGCCAAGGCTGTTGAAGAGCTGGCACTCTGGAAAAGGTAGCGGTTGCTACAGGAGACAGGTGTATGTCTCATTTCCTTTTAGGTGTTCAGTATTTGTGCATTGATACATTCAGGAGGTCTCTGGTACACTTGCTAGGCCCAGTTCATTCCTTCTCCAGCCTCCATAACAGCTAGGAGACACAGGAAAATTTGTACGGACAAAGTGCTATTAAAGGCATCCAGTTCCTGCTCCCTGCTATATATAATGGTTTTGCTTATGTGCACAGCAGAGTGGGATGACTGAGAGTGGCCATTTTCACTTGTAGAGCCTGTAAACCTCCACTGTGTTTTGTAGATTTTAAGTGCAAATGGTGTTTTGGGGTGGCACAAATGGAAGTGCCGCTCACTAGCAGTGAAAGTCAATCACAACTTCCAATCACAAGCCAAATTAGTGAGTCAGATTTTTTTTAATTGTCTGAAGTCAACAGCCATCATAAGGGCCAAGTTAAGTTATCTTAGTTCACCCACGTATCGTTCTTGTTAACCATATCTGAATTAATACAGTCCCACCCCCACAGCAAATAGTGATATATAAACAGCTGTAGCTAAGAAAAAGTGGCCAGTTCTGATCTCTGCCATGCAAACACACAGCAGATAAATTTAGATAAGCTTCTATAGATTCTCTCAGCCTCCCTTCTGCAATACTGAAGAAAAAATAAAATGAAGATCTGGCCTGGCTTCCAGAATGGTTGTGCAGATCACTGAAACCATGGGAAGTTCTTTGAACACTTGAAATATTCTCTATCAGATGCTGGATACTATTAACAACATGTGATTGCGGCTGCATTTCAGGTTTACAAGGTCTTCCTTGGGTTTTGGTTCCTTTTCACTAGGAAACTGAGGTCACTAGACCATCTTGGCTGAGAGTCCTGGAAGACCTGCTCTCTGCATTGCAAACATTTCCCACCTGGCCTGGGAGGGCAGGGCCCTGACTCCAGCTACAAAAGCTGAGGCTGCTGAACAGAATACTGGGATGGAGTATTGTTTAGGGGCGGGCAGGTTGTTGCTATTAATTTACTGGATCTTTATTTGGCACTTACGACCTATGTAGAAATTTTTCGTTTTGGTTGCATACTTTTGATGTTTTGTTTATTTTCTATGACTGCTTTATGTTTGTAGTTATGTAATTTTTTATGCTGTAAAGCCATCTTGTACATGGTTTTAACTTTGGAAAGGCAGCATACAAATAAAATTGATGATGATGGGTGATGATGATGATGGATAATAGTACCAGAGCCAGGTAGCAAATAATGACTAGATGTTGAAGTCCAATGCATAACGATGGCTCGGGGATGGAGTCAATTACCAGTTGCATGCCTGAACCACGCACTGGAGTGACCCGCCTATATGAGAGTACAGATGTACTGCGACTTAGGAATCCCAATACAAAAGCACCTGGGGCAGAGCAATTCAAACCCCCAATCCACCATGCTGGGAGCGGTTTAAATAGAGCCAAGGCACCCATCCACCCAGCTCTGCCAGCTTCCGCCATCAGAGTCCCACTAGGCTTGTCCATACTGCAGGAGGGCAGGCAGAAGCTTCCACAGGCATCAATCCAATTGGCAGTAGCCAGCAGAATCAGGTCAGCACAGAATTCACTGGATTCTGTGAATGTCCCACTGCAATAAGGTGACAGCAACCATCCTGACTCAGGCCTCTTCACTGTGATAGCCTAGGAGCTGGCAATGCTCAGGGGCAGTTTTCCTGCTCCATCTACTGACATGTGCCTGGGTATGCCTTGCTACTGCTGGCCAGGGGTTGGAGTTATACCCCAGAACAGGCTACACAAAGACTTGGCTAATGGTAAACGAACAATATTCCTCTCAACTGGTGAGGAACACCACGACTAAGAAATAAGCAATTGGCAGAGGAATTAAAGGAGAGGAGGGACATCATTTGACAGAGGTGTTGGGGATAGCTTGTATTTCAAGCTTTTACCCTTAGAAGTTTAAGGAAATGATGGCGGGATGCCTAATAGAAGGCTGCCCTCACCCCCTACGCAGCTGCATGAGGTTTAAAATCAGCTTTAGGGGCCTGTGTCCTGTTTCTGCACGAAATCAAAGGAGCAGAGAAAGAGGAAAAGAAAGCCTGCTTTGGAGATGGGCAATAGGAATTAAATGAAGGAAAAGGGCAGTAAAAAAAGCTAGCAAGTCAGAAACTGCAAGACTACACAAGCCACAAACTGTGGGAGGAGATAGGAAGGAGTGAGACATCTAACCATAAGCAAGTGTGCAAGGTGGTTCCTAGAAGCTAAACCATTGAAAACCTCTGCAGATTAGGCTGCAAAACTCTCCCCCCACACATCCCATTCCTCAATCAGGCAGGTAGCCGTGTTGGTCTGACGCAGTCGAAATATGTTAAAAAATTTTAAAAAATGTCCAGTAGCACCTTAGAGACCAACTAAGCTTTTGTGTGCATGCACACTTCTTCATGCACACAAAAGCTTATACCAAGAACAAACTTAGTTGGTCCCTAAGGTGCTACTGGACAATTTTTTTTATTTTTTAATATATTTCGATCCCATTCCACAAGGTCACTTAACTTGCAGTATTTTCACCCCCCTTTTCCACTTCAGCCTCAAGGCAGCTTAAATATTAAGGGCTGTATCAAACTAAGTCCCATCTAGAGTAGACACATGGGAATTAATAAATTACATCATGTCAAGGGTCTACCTTGAGTAGGATTAGCACTGGATGCAACCCCCATTATAATATGTGTGTGTACTTGCAAGTAACCAGCTAGGCAGTTTACAGGGTTCATTCGGGGGCCTGGTCCAGTCAAGTATTGTAGCCTGAAATACATCGTGGAAAGAGGTGATTCCGGTCTCATTCTACACCTCAACCACCAGATTTCTCTTCCAAGCAACTGGACAGAAGTGCTTTCTGATATTATGCGTACACCGTGCGGCAAAGGAAGTTGCAGCCTTCAACAGATCTCACATGACTGATTTACATATGGGACATTTACGAGGAAATGCTTGTATGCACTGCTTTGGCAATGGAGAGAAGCAATACCTACACACTTGGAAGCCACGGGTGAGGTGGGTGGGTGAAAGCATAGAAAAAATTGAGGCAGGGGGAATTTACATGAAGGGTACCAGGAAACGGGAAACATTTTGTATTTCCCCATAATATAAAAAGGAACATCAATTTTGTAGAGAGGTGATCATATTATCAACAGAAGCAATTGTGAAGGCTCCAAAGCACATACACACAGGAAGTTACTGTATTTTTCGCTCTATAACACGCACCCAACCATAACACACACATAGTTTTTAGAGGAGGAAAATCCGTAGGCATGCCACCCGTAGGCATTCCCTCCATAACACGCACAGACATTTCCCCTTACTTTCTAGGAGGAAAAAAGTGAGTGTTATGGTGCAAAAAATACGGTAATTTTGGTTTCAAACAAGAAAACAATTCAGTTTTCATCAATGTAATCAAGAAATAAAGGCCTCTTCCCACACTATTATTTATTCAGCGTATGTAAAGTAAGAAGTTTGCAGTACCGCACTGAAAGTGGGAAAAACTCAAAACTTCTCTCCATCAGTGCCCTCCAAACAATAGTTACCGTTTATTCACAAAAGCAGTTTTCCAGTAATCAATGTTCTGGACTAGACTACCAAGTCCTCTGCACTTCAATGAGTCTCTAGGAACATTCTATTGGTCCAGACTGCAGCAGCTGGGCTTTGGGCAGGTGCTTATCCTTGGTAGCAGCGCTCCCTTTCTACATCCGCTGCATGAACTTCCAGTCCATTTCCATCAAGGTGCTAGAGATTTACCTTTGCAGCCCTACAGGGCTTAGGTCCAGGATATCTGGAGGACTGTCCCCTGCCCACTTCCTCAGATTTGCAGGAGAGGCTCTTCTTCACATCCTGAAGGTGAGCAGCTGGAAAGTGGGAGAAGGCCTGCTCCTTGGCAACTCCTAGATTACGCCTGGAACCCTGCCTCTTGGGAGGTACAGAGTTGACACTTTCTCTTTTAGTTTTCTGCCACCTGCTGGAAGACGGTTTTCATCCCAAGAAGCATTTACCTCATTGGGCTGATGGGAGTTTTACTGCACTTCTAATCCACTTCTAATTTTACCTGCCAACTGTTCTCTGTTTGATTATTATTTTTTTAAGTTACCTACAGCACTTAAGAACAGTGGAAAGGCAGGGGTATAAATGCACCTGACAAGTAAATGTGGGTTTAAAAAGACAGCAAAAAACCACAGAGGAAAGGACTAAGTTTGTCCACTTTTGCTTTAGGCAGTTGGACTGGAAGGGATAGGCCAAGTTAAATGCCCAGTCAGGTTCCAGTGAAAAATATCATTTAATTAGTTAACCAGGAAATCAGGGTCAATTCAAACATACACAATTTCAGCTTCTACTGGCCAAAACTTCCCTCTGTCAAGTCCCAAAGTAGCTGTGCCATGTTACTTCAAGACAGAACACTCCTGAACTAGACAACAGACAATCTGTACTTTGCAATCCTGGAAACTGAATAAAGTAACTTACAGCATTCTATCGTTACACTGCTTTTTCGTAAAATAGGAGGAGGAAATGGTAAGTCACAGCATGTGAGCAGCAGACGGCACAGTCTCTCCTTCTTTGATTCTGAATGTAGCAGATGCTGTTAATCAAGAGGGCTATAAACTTAGCTGGCCTTAAAAATGATAAATGGCAGGTGTTTGTCAAATTTATCTGGGGGGGCGGGTGGACACCCAAGAGTAGCTACCTCAACAACTGAAAGGCCTTACCAAATAACGGGTTTAATCTCCTTTAATATTATTCTGTATTTTGCCCCTGTTGTCTCATGTTTTGTGCATGAATAGCAGCCCTGGAATCTTGCCTCTACTTTGTTCTAATAAGCACAATTTGCTCACTTTTAAAAAGGGAAAAACTGAAACTGACAATCTGTTTATTATTCCAATGCTGCAGAGATAGCATATAAAAAGTATGTGCATATGTGTGGGTGTGTTGGGCAATAATTTTACCCCATTAGTGTGTAAATGTTCCTAACTAGATAAAATGCATTTTGATAAGAGATTCAGTTAACAATAGAAAAGACAATAGTGATAATCAACATCAGTAAAATGAATTTATATGAAGAGAGCTTGGTACACGGTGTCAAGCTTTCTTTAGCTTTTCATTCCAAAAGGTGACTACCCCGTCACACAAAGTCCAAGGTGTTAAGCTTCTCCTGGGGAGGGGTTTGCTTTTGGCTCTTTTTCACAACCAGTTTAGAATATCCTCTTCTCTTTCTCTCTAGGCCTTCTTCGAGTTTCTCACATAATGGTGAGCATTTCACATAAGGTCAATTTTATACCACCTTATATAAATGCTTATATAAATGCTTTGATGAGGATAAAGCAGTATAGGTGAAGTTTATGCACAGAGAGGGAAGGACAGTTGCCAAGAAACTCTTAGTTTTTTTTAAAAAACTGAATGAAATTATCAAATAAACAGGTGAAAGCTTAGGCACCAAATATTAAAAATCCAGCATCAGAACGTCCATAAGAACCACCCTGGAAATGATAAAACTGAAGTCCGGCGCAATATAACTTGTCCATTTCTTCTAAGACCTTCTTGCCTTAATTCAGCAGGTTTCTTTGAAACTTACATTCTGTTAGGTTGAAAATTAAAAAGAGACCAGCCTTTCTGAGCGGATGGCTGGGTCCAGCAACTTAACATGAAGGTGTTAAGGTTATTAAAATGCAGCACTCCAGGAGGCTTGTGTTAGGGGTTCTGCTTATTCTAACAGAAACCAAACGACGGGCATTTCCCACAAGTGCTTCCAAAATATCAGGAACCAACCTGTGGGTAAGTAGAGTCTGACTCTAGCAAGCCCTAGTTGGGTGGAAAAAGAATAAGAGGGCTGGAGTAACTCTTGCAAAATTACAGCTTGCCGTTGAATTTACTGATCTGGTGGCTGTTTTGGAGATGGCGCTGCTGTCACGACAACAGTGGAGACTGCTTTTGTAGAGCCAGACACTGTTCCCTGCTGGAGATGGGAGGCTGGGAGTGTCTGAATTCGCACCTGTGCAAAACGGTATGCAGAAGGAAAGAAAATACATTTAATCATTCAGTTCAGCCTCTGCCACGTTGCAGAAACATAAATAATACTGGGAACTGAACTGTAATCAAGCAAAGCCCTCCACTCCCATCTTGCCCTTGTCTTCAAGTTACCAGTTCCAATGTTTCAGCAAGTGTATTCGTAGGACCCACACACACCCCACACCAAATTTCAGCTGCTTACTTGAATTTCAAAAATGAAAAATAATCAGAACATTTGTGTGGTACAATGATGTTGGGACGGTGCCATGTCAAGGCAAAGTCCTGATGCAACAGAGATAAGGGGGAAATGAGATACAGGCCTTACCTGTGTGGCCTGGCCTTGTTGCTGCAGCTGTTGTAGCTGCTGTGCGGTCAGGAAGCTCACTGGCTTGTTCCCAGCAATCAGTTTCGTCCCAGCTGGCATGGTGGTGAGAATGATGTTTCTACCCAGTCCGCTGATACTATTGGAAGAAACCCATTAAGAAGTTAGTGGTGACACAGTGGGGCTGGATCTTGCTGAGGTGCCTCTTGCATAATAGCAGAACTTAGAAAGTGTGTTTGTACCACATTGGCCTTTCAGTACTGGTCAGAACCACCCTCAGGCTCTGAATATGCTACAAGAATGTGTCTAAACGCAATCCTGTGCTCAGGATTAACCACCAGCTGCACTTTTTACCCTTCCCCTTCCAAGGGGTGGCTGCAGAATATCTGCACAATTCCATGCTGCTTTAGAGGCGAACTGCCTAATGAGTAGGAAAAACAACCAAGCCTTCCTTTGAGCTTTTAAAAGGGCGGCTTGAATTTGTGTAAAAAACCAGCAGGGACAGATTTTCCATGCTTATAAACGAAACACTCCCACCTGCCAACATCTGTAAACCAAGCAACTGTCAAAGCCACAGCTAAAAGGGCAGGCTGAAAAGTTGGCAATCCCAGAAGGTGGGTATGTGAGGTATCCAAATCGAAACCACCACCAACACTGGTAAACTCATCGGACACTAGTTGGATTTGGGAAGCACGACTCAGTAATGTCCATTAGCACTTCCTACAGGCAGAATTTGTTTGACTCATTTTCTGTGACTAAGAGGAAATTTTCAAATTTGAGTGCTTTCAAGTCCTTTTGGCTAGGCCTTCCATTAATATAATTGTGATCTGGAATAGTAATCCTCCTATGTTACTCACTTGGCCCCAAGGTTGCCTTTGATAATGGGGGTCGTCATTACACTCTTGCCTTTCACAGGCTGGCTTATGACGGAGAGGGGCACTGTGATACGGGCAGGCAGCTTCCCCTGGGAAAAGAAGCATCAGACACAGAAATTATAGAGGTTCAGCAACCACCTCTCTGCCACACAGTTACCAAGAACGGGGGGAAAGGCCCTCCCCCAAATTAAAGTTTTCAGGATGCTGAGGGATTCCCAAAACACATACACAGTTGTTGCTAATGGCATTCAATGCTCTTCCATAAGTCAGAGCCTACTTAAGACAGACAAGGTGGCATCCCCACTTAGAAATGGATGCTTGTCAATCAAGCTTATCCTACCAAAAAACAACATGAATCATAGAATTGTAGTGTTGGAAAGGACCCAAAGGGTTATCTATCCCCTGCAGGAATGACTTACTGCCTGGGAGGTGGAGACAACTGTGGTGCTCACTGGAACCTGTCGCATAGTCGTAGTCCCTGTTCCTATTGTTATAGGCGTCCCTGCCCCCCCTGACACAACAGCAACCGCCTTGGACACAGAAGCAGTCATGGTTGGCAGAGAAACAGCAGAGGTGTGGACTGTGCCAGGGACGCTCACAGACGAGGCAGCTGTCATCTGCTTGGCATGAGTGGCCACTGTAATGGTCTGCCCAGCTTTTGGTGGCATCACCCCCATCCCCTGCACAATCCTTATCGTGGCAGCTGGCTTGGCTTCAGTGGATGCCACCGTAGTGATGGCCTTGCCCTTCTGGTCTGCCACAGTCATGCCCAGTGCAGGCATCAGCCGGAACGCAGAGCCAGTGGACTCCACAGTCTTCAAGTCAGGAGTAACTTTGACCACTGTGGGCCCAGCTGGGCCCGGTGAGGCAGAGGTGGGCGTGCTGGTCTTGGCGGGAGAGTCGGAAGACTGGATGGGGCTGGAAGTCACACGCAGAGTGGCCGAGATGCCCTTGCCGGCAGAAGTGTTGCCAGTGGCTGCAGCAGTGAAGAGGTCTTGCGTCAGTTTGACAGTGGTGACTTGGGACTTGGCCAAGGTGGCCATCATGTCAGGAGTAATGCGGAGAACTGTCTGTCCCTTTGCATCAGTGGTGATCGAGGAGGGAGGCAGGCGCAGAACGTCCTTGCCTTGGATGCGGAAGTTGGAGGCGGTAAGTGGGATGCTGCTCCCAGGCTGGCTTTTCATTCCTAGCTGTCCAGTAATAGCCACCTGTAAGGAAAAATGGATTGTGCTGAATATCTCTCTTGCACATTTCCGAGGCAGAATGCTATACAGCACTGGGTGCATGGATGAATGCCAAGCTCCATTAAAGAGAGACAAGGCATGCCGAACTAAGCTACTAGGAAAGGGCAAGGTTTTCAGCAGGTGCTCACATGCCCATGTATATTTTGCCAGCCATAGCATTTTGGGCAGGGACCCGTTGGTTTTTTATAAGCTTAAAGTCATCGTGCTCAGCTTGTCAGCTTCTCAAGGGCATCTGGCTGGCCACAGCTGGAGTCAGAACACTGAACTCACTGGACTCAAATCTGCTCAGCATAGGCTGGCTTTTATACTCCAAAACCATTTCTCAGTATGGTACAGCTCCTCACCTGTTTGATGATATTTTGGCCAGCTACGTTCTGGAGGACTGTGGTGGATGAAGAGGAAGAAGTTGAGGAGGAGGAGGAGGATGACAGAGACACAGAGGAGGAGTTGGGGGCAGAGCTGCCTGGAGAACTGGTCACTGGCTTTGGTGCAGGGCTGAGGGCTGCTGAGATCCCTGTCCCAGCAACACTGACTGGTCCTGTGACAGAAACTGTTGGCCTTTGCACCTGGACTGGGCTGGTCTGAGCTTTCACCGTGACAGTGTTGACAACCTAGGGACAAGAAAAAGTAGATGTCGTCAAGGTGGTTGTCTTTTTGCCTATTCGGTGCAACACCCTTCTATTCAGTTTCATGATGCCCTAACATTATTAGAAATCCTGAGACAACAGTCCTCACCCTTGAAGAATTAACTACTGGGGATACTCTTTCCAGACGCTTCTCTTTAAATGCCCTTTAAAACCTATTTTATTCAGGAATGCTCTCTCTTCCAATCACGCTCTCTCTGTACACTTGCATGGCTTTCCTTCAGTTCTAAACTGCCCATGGGATTTACTTGCTTGCAAAAAGTATGATGTGTCTTAAGAGATGACCATAGGCCATAATTCACATAATTCAGATGGCAACTGGGGAAGAAGACTGCTAATCCTTACTTCTGGCTAACTCCACAGAGATGTCCCTCACCTGAGGCAGTGCTTTGGTTTGTGCAGAAGTGGAAGGGGCATGGACCTGAGGAACAGGTGCTGGTGGGGGCTGTTGCTGCTGCTGGATCACTGGTGGGGCTGGCTGAGACACAGGTGGGAGGCTGGACTGTGTTGTAACCACTCGAACCTGTGGGAGTCCTGAGGAAGATGTGTGGCTGGCCACACGAGGAGGGGGGGTTTGCTGAGGCCCAGTTTGTGCTTGGGTACTTTGTGCCGTGGAGAGCAAAGTCCCCAGCTGCGGCATGGTGGGAGATGACACCAGAAGGATGCTGTGAATAAGTTGAAAAGAGTAAGTTGATTAACTTAAAAGCACAAGTTTGTTCTAGAACAGGCCAGCAATCAGCAAAGTTTTCACTATTTTGCTTTAAGCTACCAAAATCAATCAAGGATTTAAAACAGTTATTGACAGGTAATAATTTTAGCTGAAACCAAGCAATAAATAGCTCACTGAACAGATAATTAATTGCAAGACTACATAAACAGATTTTTACAACTGATTTGCAATATCTATATGATTTTCACCTTCCCTGCCCCACTCAGGCAAGTAATCCAAGTTGAATGGTTTTGCTAATATAGTCTTCCTTTTTTGTACCACTTGGGGGAAGGTTCACTTGTGGAAGATTCGGATAGCAGACAGGCTGAATTTCTTTCTTAACTCCAGATGGTCCTAAAGCAACCTCCAACTATTTCCCCTCTTCACTAGAGATATCTATCACCCAAATCCTGTCAACAGTTGCACCCCTGCTTTTTGCAAAGACAGGGAAAGGATTTACCTTTGGTTGGGTTTAGCTTGCTCTGATGCAACGTTTGGCAAACTCTTGTTAACCACGGAGACTGGCGGTGGTGAGATGGGCATTGCTGGCAGCGGAGGGGCAGTGGGTGTCACCGGAGTCACAGGGGTTGGTGGCATGCTGGAATCACTAAGGCTCAGCTGGCTAGGCTCAGAGGCACTAGTAGCCACTTTCACTGAACTCTCCTTGCTACTGGACTTCTGCAAAGGCAACAAAATAGTGGGCATCAATGGGGGCAGGGTGGGGGTGGAAATGCACTAAGCCCAGACAACCCTGTGCGAGTGGGAAGAGGGCTGTTTAGGGATAGACCAGAGCTCTCCTTGAGTCTATTGGTGATAATTAAATAAGCCCTTGAGATGAGATTGGGCAGCAAGCCTATTCAACCAAAACAGTTGACAGTCTAAAAATCTGTGCCCCATGTATTTACATTGAGCAACTTACTATCTTTGCAGGAGGTTTAGACTTCTGCTGAAGGGCTTTTCTAGCTTTAGCTGCAGCCGCCTGAGCCTGATGAATCAGCTCTGCAAGGAAGAATAAAGAAGGGTTCTCAAACAGATGCTAACTGCCCACCTACGTAGCCAGCTTCTCTTTTTCCTTGAAGTACACTTCTTCTTCCAAGAATTCCTACTCTGTAATCAATAGAAAACATACCAAACTAGATAATTTGCCAGCCAGGAAGAGGCAGGTCTTGCATGAAATGCATGTTTATGACATTTTCTGTAAATGTGTCTCCTGAAGGAGGCTTTTATGCCTTTCAATATGAATGATGAATAAGAGAAAGTGATTGCTGTTCAGTCAGGAACAAGAAGCAAATTACATGTTCCATCTCCATAATGGCAAAATTTACAATAAACAGGACAAAACTTGTTTATATCTCATTTTTACTAGTTGGCAAGGATTTTAGTTAAATACACCTTTAGTGGGGAAAATACATACTAAAATTGGATATGTATCTGTGTGTGTATATATGTGGGTACCCTAAAGCCGTGTTTTCCAACCTTGGGTCCCAGCTGTTTTTTTTTAGACTACAACTCCCATCATCCCTGACCACTGGTCCTGCAAGCTAGAGATGATGGGAGTTGCAGTCCAAAAACAGCTGGAGACCCAAGGTTGGGAAACACTGCCCTAAAGCATGAACAACACCCTATACCCTTGCACAATCAGGTTAGCCCAAGTAACACATGTGGGGATATAGGATCCTTCTCCAGGACTGGGAGTTGAACTACACCTCACCCCCACCCTTTCCTGAATTTGTAGAATGTTGTGTGAGTTTTTGAAATGGGATTTTAAAAATTCAGCACCAGTTTTCTTCCTCATTTAAGGCAAGGCCACCTCTATCCATTATATTGCAATCTGGTTGCTGTAAGGCCCTCCAGTGAACACCCACCAAACTCCTCTTCGCTCCTGTCTCGATGTAGGTATATCCATAGCTTACGTCCAATATCATATTTCACACAGGGATCCTTCTCATAATGCAATCGATCCAGTGCACCACTCACCACAGTGTTAACCTGAGAACAGAATTCACAATTAAATGGAGGATGCAAAACTGATCAGCTCAGAATCATCATAGCAAATATATTTTGCACATGCAGGAAAGAAGAAAAGGGGCGTGGCAATTAGAAGCAAAATGGATGTCTAAAATAGCCCCATACTGAGATGGTAAATCGTCTTGAGAAACATACATCAAGCTCTCAGTCTATCTAGATCAAAACAGACCTCCACTCGTTACCATGTATAGCTTCCTCGAGTGCTGTATTTCTACAACAAAGATGACAGCACCTGCAGGTGAAGTGTATTATACACATCACTACCAAAAACTGTTGTTTCAGTGTTCAGGTGTCATTACAAAAAAAAAGCACTGCCAACTCCATAAGTTCATAGAATCATAGAATTATAGAGTTGGAAGAGACCACAAGGGCCATTGAGTCCAACCCCCTGCCAAGCAGGAAACACCATCAGAGCACTCCTGACATATGGTTGTCAAGCCTCTGCTTAAAGACCTCCAAAGAAGGAGACTCCACCACACTCCTTGGCAGCAAATTCCACTGTCAAACAGCTCTTACTGTCAGGAAGTTCTTCCTAATGTTTAGGTGGAATCTTCTTTCTTGTAGTTTGGATCCATTGCTCCGTGTCCGCTTCTCTGGAGCAGCAGAAAACAACCTTTCTCCCTCCTCTAGGTGACATCCTTTTATATATTTGAACATGGCTATCATATCACCCCTTAACCTCCTCTTCTCCAGGCTAAACATGCCCAGCTCCCTTAGCCATTCCTCATAAGGCATCGTTTCCAGGCCTTTGACCATTTTAGTTGCCCTCCTCTGGACACGTTCCAGTTTGTCAGTGTCCTTCTTGAACTGTGGTGCCCAGAACTGGACACGGTACTCCAGGTGAGGTCTGACCAGAGCAGAATACAGTGGCACTATTACTTCCCTTGATCTAGATGCTATACTCCTATTGATGCAGCCCAGAATTGCATTGGCTTTTTTTAGCTGCTGCATCACACTGTTGGCTCATGTCAAGTTTGTGGTCAACCAAGACTCCTAGATCCTTTTCACATGTACTGCTCTCAAGCCAGGCGTCACCCATCTTGTATTTGTGCCTCTCATTTTTTTTGCCCAAGTGCAATACTTTACATTTCTCCCTGTTAAAATTCATCTTGTTTGTTTTGGCCCAGTTCTCTAATTTGTCAAGGTCGTTTTGAAGTGTGATCCTGTCCTCTGGGGTGTTAGCCACCAGTTGGGCTACAGCTTTATCACTCTCGTAAGCTATGGAATTGTAGACCTTAAAAATCAATCACAAGGTGCTTCTCCATTCAATAGGAGAAATTCTCATCTGAGAGGAACGCTGAAAAGAAAATGCCTCTGTGCTCTCCCAGTTTACCTGAGCACTGGTGACATCAGGAGCGAGGAATTGAGAGTCTTTAAGCAGCTCACAAATCTCAGCACGAGTTCCCTCTCCATTAGGAAGACGGGCAGCAGCATCCCTAACTGAGACAGCAAAAAAGATCAACGCATTGTGAAGACCTCAACTGACACAAAGACTGAAGTAACACTTGAACCATTCAGGTTTCACTCACTGTGTGGGTTCCTAACTTTAACTTAGGGCTTTATACCAATTGAACACTAGCTCTGGATAGCAGTCCCACACCCTGAAGAAATCCTCAAGGTCATTGGCTACTTATCACATAGAAAAGCAGCTGGATTTAAGAATAAATCTGGGCTTCCTTGCTGCTCATCTTCTGCCAGTGTTCTCATTTCATCTTGGGCTACAGTCCCAAACCCTGCAATATAGCTCTCTACCAGAACAATAAGAATGTCTCCTGTTTCTGTTTCTCTTCCTCTCTCTCTCATTCTTCCACTTACTTACTTACTTACTTACTTACTTACTTATTTATACATACCCCACCCATCTGGCTGGTTTTCCCCAACCACTCTGGGCAGCTTGTAGTACATATAAAAACATCGAACATTAAAAACTTCCTGATATAGGGCTGCCTTCAGAGGTCTTCTAAAAGTTGTGTAGTTCTTTATCTCCTTGACATCTGATGGGAGGGCACACACACTGTGTGTAATCATTCCCTCAAACAGACTGAAAGGTTTCTGCCTATTTTAAGCAAGTTTAACAAACTTTTCTTACTTGCAGGCTTTCCAAGGACATGCTTATTCCACACCACACGTTGTTCCTCCCTCTGTTCCCTTCTTGTGTTATGCTGTAACTCGGTCCCTGTTAATCCTGGCTACAGAAATTCCTCATGGACTGTGCTTCCTACATGGAACAACCAGGCTGAATCCCTGGCATCTCCCATTCCAAAAAGGCAGCAGGAGAGGGGACAGGCCTCCAAGAAGCCACTGGCATTCAAAGTAGGCAATACCAGGTTACAGGGACAAATGTTCTGACCTGGTATAAGGGAGCTTCGTATCTTCAGCTTTTTCACTGCAATCTTTTTCTCTAAACCATGAAGCTGCCCTATGCAGTGTCAGAACATAAGAAGAGCCCTGCTGGATCAGACCAAAGGCCAATAGCATTCTGTTCTCAGTGTCCAGATGCCTATGAGAAGCACAAAGCAACACATGAGCGCAACAATATCCTTCTGCAAGCACCTGGCAGTCAGAGGCATCTTGCCCAATACTGGGGATATATATAGTCATTGTGATTAGCACCCACTGAACATGGTGGCTATGTCTTAATTACTTCCAGTATCAGAGGCAACAGGCCTTTGTATACCAGTTGCCAGGGATCACAAGAAACAGAGTGCTATTACCTGTCTTGGTCACTATTGCCAGCAGTGGCCACAAAGGTCTTGGGTGGAAGTCTTCCTAGTCCTACTTCCAAGGGTCTTTTAAATGGAAACACCATTAATTGAACCTAGGACCTTCCTTTATTTAGGATAATTTTTCCCCCTCGTCAGTGTCTAATTCTCAAGGTGACTAACATAACAGTTTATCATTGTGAACAATTAAAGTGTGACCCCGCTGCACTGCTGTTTCCTCTCTTCTTACAATCTATTGTCACTGCGAACCTAAAAAAGACTGTAACGTGTTGAAATCTCTCCCTCTCTCTCTCTCTCTCTCACACACACACACACACACAGAGAGAGAGAGAGAGAGAGAGAGAGAGAATGAATGAATGTAAACTTACCAAGAGACAAGATGGTGACATATGCAGGCCTGTCTGATCGCAACAGAGAATGTTCTCGGGCTTTGTTCAGAGAAGTTTCCTTGTCAAACACACCCTTCACAGGGCCGACCACTGACTCAAAGCCATGCATGCGGAAGGTGAAGGCCTTGTGGGGCTGGCTGTACCTGTAACGTTCCTGCACATGTCAGAGAAAGAGAAGTGCTCAGATGAGCAAGAGATTGAAGGGCAAAAGAACAGAGCAGGTTTCTAGATAAGCATCTATGGCTAACACGTAATGTGAATTGAGTTAATAACAAATGCTTAGGGGAAGGCAAAGATTAGGAAGGGCAACTGCTTATATTTCAGTCATGTATACTGAGGAGCATATAGGCAGCAAACCTCTTTATACTAAGCATTAATCCATTAGTTTCGAGCATTTCTCAGTTTTGCATTTTCAAATATTAATGCTGGTGAGATATAATACTGATAATATTGGTAAAGACAAATGGAGGAGAAATGTGTATATCTTTCAGCCCAATTATTATTATCCTGCCCCCCCACCCGAGCCTCCACATCTCTAGTTACAAGCCAGTATTATCTAATGTCTGCATAAGAAGTTATAAAGCCCGACAGCTCATGTGGAATCTCTTATTGCTGCAAAGATCAAGGCTTAGCCTACAGTAATGAGCAAGACTCAGCTAGGTGATGTAACGTAGCCAGCACATACAATGCAACTACTGGGACATTAGTATTGAGACCTTAATGCTACGAAGCAAAACAATGTACATGAGAACATAAAACACAATCTCTGTGTGTTTTTCGGATTGTCTAAATGTTTATATGCTTTTCTGCTAGCTAATTTTTAAGCACCCTCTTGTCAAATGGTGTGCTGGTTCCTTTTTTTGAACATTTAAGAAGACAGGTTGAAAAAAGGAGAGAAACTGAAATGAAATAAAGTTATTTGTCATTAAGAATTTCTGTTTCTTCTGACTGTTACTGATGCAGGTGAATATTTTACTCAGAAAATGGACTACTTAAGCTGAAAAGCAAAATATGTATAAATTGGAAGGCAGGTATTTTAAATGATTTTATAGGTTTAAATGTTTTCCACCTGCCCTGTTGTATCTTTGTAAACTACTTAGAGACTATTGCAGTTAAGCAGTGTATCAATTGTTTAAATAAACAAATAATAAATTAAAACTTCCCCATCAAATCCTGGCAAAGCATAGGCAATGCATGGGACAAAATGTGCGTCATCCTCACCTGTTCCTGGAAAACACGTTTCTCTTCCCCAGTGCTAGGCCGAACTACGTAGTCAGTCCTTCTGAAACAAACAACAGCATGAGGTTGGAGTGCATACATCCACCTTCCCCAACATGGTTCACTCCAAACCTGATCAGAACCCTTCAGAGTCAGATCCCCAAACTAACTAAAAAGATGGTTGTGAGAGAGAAGGGGAGAGGAAGGAAAATTGTATCCAGAAGGTACATACTTTTGACTGTTGGCGCTGTCCAAGTAACAGAAGAAGAAAAAAAGAATCTAGCAACTTGGATTACCTCACAAGTTCTGCTAGACAATTTTTGCGGCACTTCTTAAAAAATTACAAATCAGCTTTCTAGGATTTACCTTTTGTCATTATAAGACAAAAGGTCATGATGCAAGGAGCAGCATGTTATTCAGACCTAAGCAAGATAAAATGTAATGTAGGAGGTTAATACTTCTTGGCAAGTATGCATTCATTTGCTGCTAAATGCTGAAATTCTTTTGGCGAAAGCTTTTTAAAGCAAAGTACAGCTAGCTACCCTATGCAGCAGTTAATATTTGGAAGTAAAAGGCTGCCCAACACTGAAATTATAGGGAGAATATATGGGAAGAGTGTAATTGTCCAATGCACACTCAGTATTCCTGCCAACTTCCTCCTGCCTCTGGTATGATCAGTGCAAGCCAAGATTTTACAGTAAGAAATAAATTAAGACAGATGCAAGAGAAAGGAGCAGAATCCAGCTCATTTCTCAATATTTATTGACTGGAAAAACGAACCACACTTCAGAACAATGTAATTCACACATTTGAGAAACAGTTAATGTTGAGCTTTCTTTTTAGACAACTTGTTTGTTTCACATTAACTGATATAATAATCTTTGTAATAAAATTCAAAATAGGAAAAATAAGTGTAACCCTAACTAACACTTGAGCAGATTTCTGAACTGAATATATACTTACACTCGGGGATTAGGTGTGGTGGCATCTGAGCTGTCTTCGTTGTCCTACCAATGAAAGAAAGATTTTTGTCAGCACATTGGACAAGCCAGCTGGGATGCTGCCACATTCCTACAAATATCCTCTCTCACCTTGAAGAAGATTTGGTCTTTTGTCTCCAGCCAGAGCTGGAAGAGTGCTGCCAGCTCCTTCTCGTGGTCTTGTGAAGAGCCTAAGGTGAGAACCGAAAAAGAGGAAAGGAGAGTTGTTACCAACTGCTGATATCTGCGCTACAGTAGTGGTACTAAAGATGACGTTGGGTGCACTCATCTTAGCCAAGGCCTTTATGCAAAAGGACATTAAGCAAAGGCCTTTCAATGCATTCCCCCTTGCAATGTCCCAATTGTGACAGGTGGGCATAGTGTGACTACAGTTGCTGACTCACATGCTGTGCTGCATCCCAGTTGCCTTCCACTTATTGGAGGGCTGAATGTCTGCAGCACAGAGTTTTTTGACTCCTGGAAGACCCCTGTACTGCACAGAGTCCTAAACTGCACAGGGAGCCTCCACCAGTAGAACTGATATCCCAGCACAGACATTCAACTCCAGTGCACTGAGGCAGCCAGGAGCACAGTGGAGTGGTCAGCAAGTGTGTCTTCGCTCTTGCTTGTCATACAATTGGAATTGGGATTGCACTGATACATCTCAAAGAAGTCTCCCAGTCCTTGAAGCTGATTTAAAGCCCTGGCCGTGACCGAGAAGGAGGTGAAAAAATAGGGAAAGCAACATTTATTTGCCTCTTAGTAGACAACTGGATGGCAACATAATGCAAGATCCATGCAAGATAAGTTTTTTTAAACAGACACACACACAGTGATTCTACATAGTCAAAAGTCTACTATACACATAGGACTATATAGCTATAAAGGTAGTAATAGAGGATGAAGCAGAAGATGTTCAGCCACTCCAGCTCCAAATGGAAGCTAAATGCCTCAAGAGAACAGCAGGCAAGACTTATTAACAGGAGGGGACAGAGAAGCAAAGTTACTTTACCTATCAGTTTCCACTGCTGAGTTTTCTCTTTGAATTCAACAAATGGAGAAAAACTGGAAGGAGCATCTGTAATAAAAGATACCGTAATGCTTCATATGTTTAGACATTACTGGGATACCCTTTGTCTCTAGTTTTCTCCTGTAGAATGGGATAGTCAACTGTTGGCTATTGGTACACCTTATTCTAAAGTATGAGACAGTTTTAGTGGAATCAGTTTGTTCATTAGTGCTGTGATAAACACCACCAGAAGGCTCTGTGCAGCTAGGTACCTAGAGCTCTGTCACATACATCCATGAGGTGTCTGTATTCCCCTCTGCAGAAGCAGTCAGGGCATGGGAGAGCAACTGCTCTTGTGCAAAGCTTTGTACAAGGGTTTGAATGAAATCATCACCTCTGGATTTCAGTTCACTTTTCTTATGCGATGCTGTTTTGCTAAGATGGAAATAGCCCTTCCATGTACAGAAGTGGCTGGGCATATCTGAACCCAACCTATCGTTTCCAAGAGCCACCTTGCCATGACAGAACAGAAGATGTGGGGCTGCAATCAATGTAGTCACTGTGCAAGTGGAACAGCTTTCACTTGTGCAATGGAACTTCCCCCTCTCCTTCCCCCATGCACCCACACAATCTGTTCTGAGGGCTCCCCATACCATTTGGAGCTGGTGGTGGGAAGGAATTCTGTTGTGCAAGCAGAACTCATTCCATTCAAGCAATTACTTCACTGGATTCAACAGGTTGCTGGCTATCTTTGTTTACTAAGTGGTTTTGAATTAAGTTTTTCAGGAACAGAATCAGATGTTGCATCAAGGTTAAAGGGAACAAATTTGGAAGATAACAATTTGGATATCAAGAAATGTATCCCTTCTACAAAAAATTATCATTTCACATCAAGTGGCTACCATCATAAATAAGGAGAACAGGAAGAAAGGGCTGGATCTAAGCCATCTATGACACAATGCAATTTTATAAGCAATAGCTGTTCAGAGGCCATGACAGATAGCCAACTTACTTCATTCTTGGCACAGCTCAAGAAGAAAAAACCCTGAAAAAAAGTGGGACTTACCTCTGCTGTCACCTGTGAGATACTGCAGTGCAGGCAAAACGAGTTCTGACCAGTTGGGGGCGAAGGAGAACCAACTGTTTAATGTGCTGGCAGGGGAAGACTGCCAATCCATGACTTTATCCTCAAGCTGAGCAGAAGAAGGGAGGGATGGTGATAATGAGAATAGTGAAATCCCAAACCATCTTGGAAATCACAACTGAGACAGAAATACTTTAATCAATAAATATAAATAAAGCACTTCCAAATCAAAGCACAGCAGATGGAATCAAAAAGACTGCAAATCCACAGAAATGAACTATCTAATGATGCTTGAAAACCATAGTTTTGGAAGGATCTCTTGGTGGGGACAAAAGGAAGGACAACAAATACAAAAAAGAAACAAAAGATTGTTTTAACAAATGAATAGGCACCAATCTAAATGCTCTTAGGCTAAACGTGTCAACCTAGAAGTAAGGCCCACTGAATTTGATGGGATTTACTCCCACTTAAGTGTATAAATAGGGTTACATCCTAATCCATCCAACTCCCAACTCAAGAAAGATGTCCAGGAAAAACTCTTACCACTGAGAGACTAGCAGGGCCTTCTAGAAGCAGAATCTCCAGAAGCAGAGAAAAGAAGCTGAAGGATATTTCATTTACTCCAAGACACGGCTTGATATCTTCAAGAGGCCTTTGATAGAAGATGAATTGGCTTTAACTGAATTGGTTTAACTGAATTTTGAGAATGAGGAGGCTTAGCATATCTACCTGCTTCTTTCTTTGTATTCAAAGTACTTTCATGTACAATATTTCAGCAATCTTACAAACAAACCAGTAAGACAAGAGTGAGAAACCTGTGGCCTGCCTCCAGATGTTGCTGAACTCCCATCATCCCTGACCACTGGCCATGGTGGCTGGAGCTGATGGGAGTTGGAGTCCAACAACATTTGGAGGCCCACAGGTTCCCCAACACCTGCTGTAAGAGATAGTAATACTGACCTATTTTCATGAAACAATTTTTTAAAAGGGAGGTTTAAAGCCAATATGGAGTTGATTAGCTTAAGGTTATCTAATGTATTTACAGCTTAGGCAAGTTATGACTCTGTCTTACCACCAGAAGGCAACAAAAAGGCATTAATTGCTGATGGATCTTCAACTTTTTGACAAGAGGAATGTACAACATCATTATTCCTCACCTGGAATCTATTTACATGTATACAGTCATACCTCGGGTTAAATGTGCTTCAGGTTGAGTGTTTTCGGGTTGTGTTCCGTGGCGACCCGGAAGTAACGGAACACGTTTCTTCCGGGTTTCGCCACTCGCGCATGCACAGACGGTCAAAATAACGTCACACGCATTCGCAGAAGCGGCGAATCGCGACCCACGCACGCACAGATTGCGTTCGCTTCTGGATGCGAACGGGGCTCTGGAACAGATCCCGTTCGTATCCAGAGGTACCACTGTATTTTCAAATTACACTCTCTCCTCCTACCATCTTTCATGTGCCAGTGTGCCCTGCAGGCTGACTTTAAATTACACTGCTGCATTACTGCACACCATGCATTTTATTTTCAACCACTATGCAACACAGAATATAGACAGACACCTTATTCATACATGCAATTTATATGGGCTGTATGAACTATGCTGCATCACTTCTACCAGGACAAAAAAGCTTCATTGTGCTGAACTTTTCTATTTTGATTCGTTCCAGTGTGACTAGAACTGGCTTTGTTGTAAATATGCCTCATTATGTAATTCGTGGACCACATTCATTGTGTGCATTCTCTTCTGGAAGGAACTTACTCTTCTTTAACAGATGAGAGAGATGGGGGATCCCAGATAGGTGGGATGGGGGATGGATTTTGAGACATTGAAGGCATCCCTTCAGTGTTGCCAAGGGACTCAGAGAAATCCTCTGCTTCTGATTTAATCACTTTTAGCTTCTTCTTCTTCTTCTCTTCCTTTTCCTTCACTTTCTTTTTAAGGACAGCAAGGTCAAACAAAGCTTCAGTTTAAAAAGAGAGGAAGAATTTGTAAGTTGTACATTACAAATTAAGCAGGGTGTCAAATATCAGCCAAGAGGTACAGCTGCCCAGACTTTAGCTTATGGAAGAATGCAGAAGTGCAAGTGTGACCGCCTCTTCCGCCATGTCAGAGTAACAAAAAGCTCTCAGTGCAAAAGATGTAATACCCCATTTTACGACAGTTACAGCTGCTGACACTGTTTCAAGAGCTGCTGCTGAAGGAATTCAGAAATTGTTTGGTCACATTACAGGAAATAGCTAAAAAGCAAACTAGGCACATGGTTTTAAAAACATATACCTCTATGAATCACAACCAATATCGTTTAGAATCAGAGTATTTCTTGCATGAATTGAAATGAAATAGAACCCAGTTGTAGGATGTGGCAGGCAAGTATAATTAACCAAAAGAGCAAATATGATCAAGCCAACCCAAAGTTCTTTGCATTTACATAAATACAAACATAGCGTTTTGATTCCTAGACACATTTTCAAGAGATGTGCAAGCAAGCCTCCTTTTGAAACAAAAATGAGATATGGAGAGCTCAAAAAAAGGGACCCCAAGGGTCATCTAGTTCAACCCCCTGCAATGCAGGAATAATATTTCAACCAAATTTATTTTGTCTGAGAAATGGTTGCTTAAAAGCAAAGGGCATCCCCAACATGGAAAGCATTATCACCAAGTGACACTGCAAATCTTACCACATTTGCTTATAGTTTTAGTTCCCATTGGTAGTAAAACCTGAAAGATACAGTGACAGATGTTCATCTGCTAACAACTCCAGCTAAAGAAAATAGTAAAAATGCAGTCATGTAGCAGCCTTGAACTTGATTCACATACCTGCCAAGGATCCCTTCCTACCAGCATTCACACGTGTCATGATATCATTCAGAGTCAGATCCCCAGTCATGAGGTCAGGATGGCTCTATACGGGACAAAGAGACATTCAACAAGGAGAACGGCAACCATAAAGCAAAACTGGAGAATGAAAGACACCTGTTGAGACTGAACTATCATACATTGCTTTTCCTGTTGTTTGCCAATAAAAATTATTATTTATATCAGATATACCTAGAGAAAATCTCCACTTAAAATTACAGTTCAAGCAAAATTGAACACCAGCACCTCCCCACTTGTGTGCGACCACTGACACGTGCATTGTTTTTGGTGTTGAAAGGGGTCACGGTGGGCCAGAATGGACCTGCACGCATCCCACTGATGTGCACAGCGATCCAGAATGGAACCCAAACATAAGCAGGGATTCCCCTGTACTCAGAAATCACAACACCAAGTGTCTTTGGGCTATAATCCCGAACTCTCTTCAGTGGGAGTAAGCCTCATTTAAGTCAATGAAACTTATTTCTAAGTAAACATGCTTAGGCTTGTGTGACATCTCATTTAAACCAGGGATGGGGAAACTTTGGCCCCCCAGATGTTGTTGAATTACAACTCCTTAATCTTCCTTGACCACTGGCCATATCGGTTGGGGCTGATGGGAACTGGATTCCAACAACTGGTGTGCCACAGGTTCCCCACCCCTTGTTTAAACTTTCAGTCTTGCTTTCTGTAAGGCAGAATAAAAACCAAATTACACCGTCATGCAGCTAAGGTACATCATTCCAGCAGGTTCCAAATTGTCTCAAGTATCCCAAGCCCTGTCCAGGATATAGGCTGGATTCCCAACTTGCCACTACAACCTCTTCCACCTGAACACCCCAACTTAACCTACAAATGAAAAGCAACTGAAATCTCAACGGAATACTTTTGCTCCCATACTGTACTGAGTCTGCAGTGTAAGATCAGCTTGCAAATATTACTGTGGCTGCAGGGAAAAGAGGATTAAATTTTCTCTCAAGCTCCCTGGACTTTGTTTTTTAAAACTGAAAATCTGCTTCTCATGACATATTCATGCTGTGATCAAATGCACATCACCTGGAAGTAAACCCCACTACATACAGCGGAATGTACTTCCAAGTAAACATGCTTTAGGATAGGACTGCTAGCAAGGAAGGAGGGGGGCCTTATTTTCTAGGTCCTTTGCTGCAGAAAGAGGCACTAGCAAAAGAGTACTAAGTAGTAGTGGCCTCCTTATGGTTTCCTTACAGGTTGGCGCTTGCGTTTTTCATGATGTTTTTTCAGTATCATCTTCAGGTCATTCTCACCAAACTCCAGTTTATCTAGGGGGAAACAAAGTCAATACTATCAAAAGTTTGCTGTAAATCTATTTACATAACACATTTAACTGAAATGCTTCCAACAAGCTTTAGGTGCTTACAACCAATTTTTCTCAATTGACTATAAATACCCATCAGCTACAGCCTATGGCTTGCGAAATCTTCTACTATAAGATCGAGGGGGGAAACAGGATCTTATACTTTTTCTTTCAAAGCAAAAAGCCTTTATAAATCAGCATCTCCATTAGACTGCCATAAATCTAATTTAAAATACATTTTATTTAGAAAAACAAAGACATTTTCACTTGGTGGCATAATGCAGATGAATGGTTAATTAAGAAGATACAAAACGAGCCTTGACACTTCAAAAAAAAAAGTATGTCAATGTGCATTAATATAGGGCAGCTACTACATGAAAAATGCCAATACATTTGTTTATTGTTGGCAATATATGTTAATACATGTCACTCAGTTATAACAGTACAATTTTAATTGTATTGTAGTATTGTTTAATGTATTTTATATGTACCTCTTTTGTTGCTCTCTATATTGTTTGTGTATGTGAATGGCCTGACTGGCTAACAAGCAATAAACCTGGCTGGAAAACTCGGTTGGGTCATGGATTGAGAGCAATAACGCCCAACATAGGAGGAAAAGAAAATGGCCTTTAACAGTCTTTAAAAATTGGAAGGAGGTGGTCTCTAAATTCTAAAACTAAGAAGGAAAATCCTGTGAGAAAACATCTTTTTAATGTATAAAGTTTTCAAGGTAAGTCAGACTGAGATACCACTTGAGCTTACCTGCTGTTTTCATGTCTTGGGTTGATAATGTGGGGATTACTCTGAGAGGAACAGTGGGGCTTGGGCAATGGGCTGGAGAATTTGGAATCCAGGAGCTCAGATCTGAAATGCAACACAATAGTGAGGTTTCTACAGGGATAGTAGCAGCACAAGACTCATTTTTCTAGGCAGCAGATGCACTCATACATCCAAGTTATTTAGTAATTTTGCTTTTTCAATCAACTGAGTTGAAAAAGTATGGCTCTTTTGAAAGGGGAAGTACTGTTAATCAGAATATTTTCCTAATTGTAGCTCTAAAACTTATAAAGCCAGCCATGATGTTTTAGTATGTTAATCTGACTGAGAAAAATATTTAGGTTTATTAGAAAGCACCCAAAATAAAGAGCTCTGTGAGCATAATTTTAGTTGAAGGATAGTAAAAATGTTGAGAAAGGCAAACTGGAAATAAGATCTGCTCACTTCTCAAGCAGAACAGGGTTTAAGAAGAGGGCACCAGAGGGAAATCAAGAGGAGGACTACATTGATAGAAAAGCTCACCCAGAAGATACACACATACTTAGAAGGACATTAGTCCTACAGATGTTAAAAAGTACTATTAGCCTAATCTTAAACATGAATATGCTTAGAGCATGAAGTTTTCCCTGTATCAGCAAATGTACATTCAGCCTAGCATTTATAACCCATCTTCCATTAAAGTCATGCTACAGTATATGGTACAAATAAAAATATCCATGACATTGCACCATTTTTATAGGGACACATGTCCCTATAAACCCACTGTTAAGGACATAGTAACAGTCTCTTGGATCAAGCCAATGGCCCATCTAGTCCGGCATCCTGTTCTCACAGTGGCCAACAAGATTCCTGTGGGAAACCAGCAAGCAGAACATGAGCACTCTCCCCTCCCATGGTTCCCATCAACTGGTATATAGGCAAGTGTATATCATCACTGATTTCCATGTTCAGGTTTTTAGCTGATACAGCATTAAGGACTTCTCCATCCACTCTTCACTTAAGAAGCTTTTGTTTATTCTAAAGAATACCCTGCCATTACCTTCTTCATCTGAGGATAAGGTGGTATCTCCACATTCCTCTTTCACTTCCCTGAGGATTTTCAGGAACCGTCGATGTGTTCGCCGGTCCCGTTCCTCAGCAGCACAAGCAGCTGCTGAGTATTTCCTCTTCAGGGCCAGATCTGGACCACCTTTCCTTGCAAGCTCCAACAGATGCTGAAACAGACATATGCATAGCATCATACTGAATCCCATCTAAGCTCCTGTGACTTACAAGAAACATATACATTAATTTTGTAATGTTTAAACAAAAGCCCATCATGTAAGTCACCATGACAGCCGAGTGGATGGGGCAAGATACACATCTTCTTAATGAGTAATATGCAAGGATGGAGGAGTTCTAATATTCAGGGACCAAAATCAAAGCCTTAGGAACCAACATGACTTCATTTAGGCACTGGTCCCTGCACGATGCATGCCACTACAAAGGCTGGGATCCAAAAAGCTAATAATTGTATGCAGAAAGGAGTGAACATTCCCAAAAGGTTTAAGCAAATCAAAACTTTTAAAAGGAGACTCCCATGCTGCATCATAAACGGCTTTCAGAAGTCCCTTCATTTTCTAATATTTACTTTGGTATGTGGCATAGGGGAGGGGTCACTGCTCAGACTTAGAACATATGGTTTGCATGCACATGCGTTAACTCTTGGCATCACCTCCAATGAAATGGTTCTCAGAGTGGTCTGTACCCCAGACAGCTGCCACCAAAGGAAACCACACCAGGCTAGATGGCAGAATGACCATATGCATTAAAGGCAGCTTCTATGTTCATAGTTACAATGGTGCTCTTTAAGAAACCTCAAGCATACAGACCCCTTAAGCGCTGAGAGCTAGTTTCATAGTTCTTCGAATACTAGCCTTGTGTGAAGACACCTGGGCAACCAAATGAGAGATTTCTCCAGTTTTAGTGACAAACACTGCACTAAATCTTATATTCTACGGAACATTTAGTTTATTCAAATGCTTACATTCCGGGAGGAAAGGATCTGTTTCAGCAACCGGTAGAAGTACTGCTGTTGGGAACTGAGGTAGCGCTTGTACTGAGACTTGAAGCAAAGCTGTCGATACTTCACCACTTCAGGATTGAAGTGTCCATCTGTAACAAGAACATGTACCATGGTTACTGCTGTTTTGAAACCTGCTGCCTGAAAGCTATTTTTTATATTTTATCCAAAAGCTGCCACATGTCAGATTTCAAGAGAAGGAAGGCACTTACCCCACCTAAAAAAACGGTTATGCAATAATCATGTGTATTGGGGTAGAGTAGAAGGCACTTTACTAAGGATCAAGAAGAAATTGAATATCTAACTTTTACCCTGTCAGTGGGACCCTGACCACATAGAAAGGGGAACTGGGATAATGCAAATTGCTGATGCTGGACTTACGACTGAATAATTTCAACACACACAAGGAAAGAAGGAAATGGGATAGACTTCCCCTTCCTTTCCCTTCTCCCCGCCCCCCTCAAACTGCAGGACAGGACAGAGATTGGATGAGACACAGAGTGTGAATGTATTGCATATGGGAGCACTTACAAATGTGCAGCACTACAACACATACAGCAGCAAATAATGAGAAAAAAAAGGTGACTTCCACTTTCAGGACCTACAACTTGTCACCTTACATAGCGAAGTCAAGAAGCCAGGTTAAAATACAGACAAATCTGCCACTGACCGCGGAAGAGTTTCTGGGCAATGTGCAGGGGGTTTCCAAACCGAAAATTCTCTCCACTGAACAGGGACAGGATAAGATTATTCTGATGTTCAGTGTTGCTTTCTGGGAAGTGAGGCAAAAACTTTTTCAGGTGTTCTCGTTGTGAGTCCGTCAGCACTTCCTGCCATGTTGAAAGACTGACAACTTCAAAAAAGATTTCAGGCTACAGAAGGGTGGGGGGAGAGAGAGAGAGATATGAATGAAATAAAATCCTTCAAATGTGATCCAAAATTCCACTTTTGAGAAATGCAACAGTATCATATAAAGCTCCTCATTTTTGTATTTATACAAAAAAGAACAAAATGAAAATTGTTATGGACTAATAATATAAACTAAGAAAACCTGTTCTTTAGCAGGAAAAGCTGTTAAGTTACAGTATGTTCCATTAAACACTGTTGAAAGGCTCTGAGGAGTTTACAGACCCAATGGCGTAGTTTGCACATCAAGGTTAGCTGTGTATAATGACTTACTGTGAACAGGCAGCATCTTATGCTTGCTGCACAATCACTCATGCTTCATTGAAGCTTGGCTTGTCATTAGATCTGAACCTAATATCTATGATTCTCCGGAACAACTATGATGAACAAGGCTTCACGAGCATTGTTTGCTTGGGAGAAAATACCATGATCGCAGGTACAGATGTAATCTATGTTTCATAACTTGTTGCTCCTGCTTGCTGCAAGGGAGGAACTAAGCAGGCAGCGATCAAGTAGCATGCACTAACATGTCACTCAATCACTGTTATGTCCAGGGTCAGGAACCTTGGCCCTCTAAATGTTGTTGCACTCCAACTACCATCAGCCCCAGCCAACACAACCAATGGTCAAGGATGATGAGAAATGAGATGTGCAATTAACTTTGGCCTATCAGGACATGCAAATTGGGTTACTTAATGGTTTCTTACAGACAATGAAAGCAAAGAAACATTATTTGGGTTTCCTTCACAAAGTCTTCACATCAATTGCCATATAACCAAGGACTGGATGCTGCCCAAGTAACAAAACCCTGCTGCCTCTCTCATGCCCTACTTGCGAGCTTTTCAGAGGTATCTGTTTCTGAAGCTGTTCCTGTCTAATTTAGTTATCAAATGTTTGCTGAGATGCCACCACTTTTGAATTATTCCTCCAAAAGATAGCAATGGTTCCTTCTCAGATCACACTGTTGTTTTACACTATATGGGGGGGGGGGGAAAGGTTACTCCAGTTCTACTTACATCTTCCAAGAGATCTTCTGGCAAGCTAATTCGAATGGATCCCAGCATGCAATCCTCCATAATCTGTGTGCCATTTCCTTCTCCAGATGGCCCCAACTCTAATGGGTCGGTGAGCATGTGATCCAAAGAATCCATTGTTCATGCCCTAATGAAACTCTAGAACAAAAAGAAACTTACTGTAACCAAGAAGTTATTTTCACAATTCCGCTATAAGCAGATTTAATATTAAACAAAGTATATTTAATTATTACAGACCAACTCAGTTGGCACTTATTTGAAAATCATGTTTGTGTGTGTAGCTCTTACTGCTCTTAGAAAAGATTGTTGTTTAGTCGTTTAGTTGTGTTTGACTCTTCTTGACCCCATGGACCAGAGCATGCCAGGCACTCCTGTCTTTCTTGGAAAAGATAGCCCAGTTTATCACGTCACACTTTAAAACATACTGTTCTACTACAGTATAGTATAGTTTGTTCTCTGTCCCTCTCTACAAAAGCTCTTGCAAAAAAAGCTCAGGTGTGCTTACCAGGAAGCAGAAAAAGAAGCCTTGCTGAATTCCTCAGGATTTGTGTGTGGTGGAAGGAAAGTAAAAACATAATAGACAAAGTGTGAACTGCTGCCAGAGAATGCCTAGTCAACAGGAGGTCTTTCTTAGTTACAGGTAACCAAGGGAGATGTGTTTTTTGCAAGCCTGTTCTATGATTTGAGTAAATAAAAGGTGTAACTATTTATTATAGAACAGCTTCTAAAGAATTACGTCTATGCATACAGAATAATTTCAGTGTCACAACAACAACATTTAACCGAAATAATAAAAATACATTATTATTTGGCAAAAGAATGTAATTCATGTTCCAAAATAATTATAGTGCCATGTCTTGAGGAATTACTAAAAAGGAAAGTTCATTACTTGCAACTGGTGATATTTACCTTTTATTTGAAGAACACACAGCTTCTCCAGCTAGGGACTTGGAACATCAGTTACAGAGGATGGAAGCAGACATATAGCTGCCATCTGAAATATATTGGTCCTGAGAAAAAGATTTATTCTCAAATGAACAAGAGTCACATTTTAAAAAGTGTATTTTATTAATTGAATATTGCCAAACCAAACAAATTTCCACGGAGTGGTGGGGTTTTTTTAGTGCCCCGTTACAAAAACAATTTATCAAAATGAGTACACCTCACTTATCTTTTGACAGAAATTCAGACAATAAAAAATGAAGTCTCTGTCTTCACCAATGTTTTGAAGAAAAAAGGGAGGGGGAACCAGAAGTTTATTTGCTATGCCAGCAATAAAAATTGCAACACACTTCTAGTCAAACAGAGAATTTGCACTTGAGCCCCAGAAGAACATTTGGTTGCCCACATTGCTGGGGTTCTTGTTGCCATTTGGCTAGTCTTGGGTAACATTGGTCAGTCTAGGTTAACGTTCATTAACTTGGGAACTCAATGAGAACAACAAGGCATTCAGTTTCTGTGTTTCAGTTTCTGTGGTCATGCATCTTTCTACTTTTATTAGGAAGAGTCACTGGCTCTATCTAAACCATGGTTTGCTCAACAAATCAAGAGTTGTCTCATAGTCAAGCACATAACCTACAGCTCATTTCACTAGCTTGTTTTCCAGCTGTTCTTACCTCGTGCAGCTTGGTAAGCATCGCAGTGGCGAAACAAACCAAGATTCAATAAGGCTGTTTGATTCACACATGACACCAAATGATGGTTAAAACAAGCCACAGTTCATAAAGCACCAACAAATCTTGGTTTCACTTTGTGGTTTGCTGCCAAAAAGCAAAGCATGGCTAGTTTGACCAGTCTGAATATTCTGGGAATAATTTCATCAGGAAAGTGGCACACAAATAAACAGAGGATTACGATGAGCAACATACAGTATAATCAAATTAAACAACCAAGTGATAATTCATAAGGCCCCACAATAATATACAAAAATAACCAATTTTAAGCATTGCAATCTTCTAATATAATATGCTGCCAAGTTACTAAGGAACAGATTTTAAGAGTTATGTTTAGCACAAATACTTATAAGAACTGTACGTGGTAAATTTCTGGTAATTTATTTATTACATTTATGTACCACCTTTTCCTTCAATGAGCTCGAGATTGTGTGCATGGTTCTCCCCCTTCCCATTTTATGCTCACAAAATCCCTGTGTGCTAGGTTAGGCTGAGAGACAGTAACAGGCCCAAGGTCACTCAATGAACTGCATGGCCAAGTGGACATTCAAACCCTAGGCTCCCATGTCCTAGTCCAACACGCTAAACGTCATACAATCCGGGGTGGAAAATTTTTCAGAGCTTTATTTCTCCAAATAATGCTTTCCACTTCTTAAGTTCATTAGTAACAATGAATGGAGCTTTGTTTATTTAATACAAATAAAACAGACATGCTAAATTATATCACTCTTCAAAACATTCCAAAATGTTCTGATGAAAAAATTACCACAATTTTGCCACAATTTTTGTCTGGAAAACAGTCACCACTGCAAATTTCATCTTAGAAGAGGCTTTCCCTCCTTCATAGGAGAGAGAACAGGGGATTGCCACTTCCAAGATGATGCTAAGAAGATCTACATGCATGCATCGTACAAGGCAGGCACCCCACTTCCACTGCAACCCTTCCACCAGCAGTTGAAGACTGCTTTATTCTGGCAGGCTCTTGGGAACAGACTGTTTTTAAAGGAAAGGGCTTTTAGTAGTACAGTGGTACCTCGCAAGACGAATGCCTCGCAAGACAAAAAACTCGCTAGACGAAAGCGTTTTTTGTTTTTTGAGCTGCTTCGCAAGACGATTTTCGCTATGGGCTTGCTTCGCAAGATGGAAACATCTTGCAAGTTTGTTTCCTTTTTCTTAACACCGTTTATACAGTTGCGACTTGACTTCGAGGAGCAACTCATAGAACGCGGTGTGGTAGCCTTTTTTGAGGTTTTTAAAGACTTTGGTGATTTTTGAAGCTTTTCCAAAACTTTCCCGACACTGTGCTTCACAAGACGAAAAAAATCGCAAGACGACAAAACTCGCGGAACGAATTAATTTCGTCTTGCGAGGCACCACTGTACTGTTTTGACAATCTGCATTTTAATATATAAAAAAATAAAAAATTGTCCAGTAGCATTTTAGAGACCAACTTTCACGTGCATTTTAACAGACTTGGTTTTGTATTGTTTTAATTCTCCTATAGTTTAATCACTTTTGAACCGTTACCTTTTATGTATTTTTAGCTTTCCATATTTCACCTGCCCTGCTTTAATTTGTGTAAACCAACTTGAGCCCTGGTCTAGGAAAAAGACAGGCTATAAATAATAACAACAATAATCCTTCATCTATGTTATAACCCCATCCTGTTTTGGAAGGTCACCTGACTCTCATAGGAGCAGCTTTTGGGAACTGCATGGCTGGACAGTGAGAAGCGGACACCCCAATTTTGCACGAATAGATGTGTCTTCAGCCAGCACAAAAAAAATAATAATAAAACCCCCTAATATATATATATATATATATATATATATATATATATAATAATAATAATAATAATAAAACCCCCAAAACACATGCTTCCTCATCCACCCACCCACCTTTGGGAGAATTTTTCTCATGATACAAGTTTAGCCTGTCAACTACACTGTTAATCCATTCCCACTGCCAACAATTTGATGAAGCAACTGCCCTTATTGTCTGCACAGCCTGGTTAGGTTGTGCACCTTACAGGCTTGCACAGGCAAGAGCAGAGGCAGCCCCCTGCCCCGGAGGAACTTACACTCTTAAAAAAGGCGAGGAGGGGAGGCAAGGGGAGGGCCCACGAGCAAAGACAGTCCCCCCCCCATGCACCTCATTCTTGCCCCCCACAAACCCGCCTCCCTATCCTGCCCCTACCTTCCCCACATTCCCCCAGGTATATCTATTCGCGCCCCCTCCCCAAAGTTCTCAATGCCCCCCTCAAACTTTGACCCACAGGAGACCTTCAGCACCACACGCGCCCGCCCCGTTTGTTACCTCAGAGGCCTCTGAGGTGAGTACGAGGATCCGGCCCCTCCGCGTTCCAAACAGACGCGCCCCCCCCCTCGAACCCCCGCTCACCTGCACCCGGCTCTGGCATTCCGTTTCCAGGTCGAGGTGGTGGTAGTGGTGGTGAGAGCGCATGCGCCGACGCACGCGAGGCCTCCCCTTCCAGGCGCGCGCGCCGTGGGCGCGCCCAAGCTTGAGCCTTCCCTGCCTCCCGCGGAAGGAAGGAAAGGAACGAAGAAACAAAACGTCGCGCATGCGCGCCTCCTCCTCCTCCTCCAGAAGGGCGAAAGCGCGCAGCCGCACTCGTCGTCGTCTTCTTCGCATGCGCGGCGGCGGTACGGCGCGCCTCGTGTTCCCTGTTTGCGTCTCCAGCGGCTGGAATGATTGAGAGTCCACTGATTGATTGACGGCAGGGGGCTATTTCTGGGTCTGCGTGTCAGGTTGCAGCATATATGATCTATTTGGCTATTTTATTTCGAGCATTTCTTTTAGTGCATGTAGAATTCTTAGTGCATTTATTATTTTAATTTTTGTTTTAAACAGATGTTTTTAGTGTTTTAACTGATAAATTTATTATTTTGTTGTAAACCGCTTTGAGGTTTCTGTTTTCACAGTCAATTTTATGATTGTAAAATTTTATATGTTTATGAATATATATAAACACACAGTGCTTTTTTCTGAGGTATGCAGGGGTATGCATACCCCTAAACATTTTGTGATTCTGTACTTTTGTTCATTTACTGTATTTATTTTTCTTGAACTATAAAATTGTTTTCTTGAGTCAAAATGAGAGTACCCCTAAACATTTGGGGTGGGAGAAGCACTATATATACATACTGCTCTTCAGCCTAAAAGGCTCCCAGAGTGGCTGACATCAATTAAAACAAAATGGTCCTGGAGGGTGGAATCAAACTCAGATGCTAGTTCTTCAACAGTTCTAAAAATGACTAGCTTGCATAGTTCAGAGGCAGGAGGTGCCTGTTGGAATAAGCCTTGCTTCCCATGTCCCCCACTGCGGCAGCCTGGTGGGATGGCTGCTGCCAGGTGACAGTTGAAGGAAAGGAGGCCTCATGGAGCTGGCCAGCCAATCCTATGATGGGAAGTCTGATGAACACCTTGCAGAGGGGTTTAATCAAGTGCTGCTGATCTTAACAGCAAAAGCAGCTTGTAGCACCTTGAAGTCGGGTCCAGTCTAAAAGCTGATGGCTGTGCTATGTAATGAATTTGTTAACATGCTACAAGGCTCTTTGGAGCTTGATGGAGCTTCCTTCTGGGTAAGGGCATACAACGGCAGCCTCAACCCAGGATGCGCACATATTTAGAAGTAAGGCTCATTTCTCTATCTGGGTAGCTGGTATTCAGCAGTAGAATGGTTCTGAAAATGGAGGTTCCAAACAGGTGTAACTCTGAAGATACATTTAGTCAAGTCTGCATTTGGTATGTTTAGCTTTCTGGGGGGTGGGATGAGGGAACAGAAGTTGTAGTTTTATTTTTATGTGTATTCTAGCCTTGTAAGCAGCATTGTGTTGTTAGAGTATGTGGTATAGTGGTTAGAGTGCTGGACTAGGACCTGAAGGAAAGGTTGGATATGAATGTAATAAAATTAAGTCCCATAGAGCTTGAATGAACATCAAATGTGTCATGGGATGAGATTGAATGCCTTCCTATTGTACTAGGATATATTTCATTTGATGCCTAGCTTACCCTTATCTGCTCTTGGAAGAAGTGTTTTGTGTTTCTAGGCAAGAATGTAGCAATGGAATGAAGCCTTTTCGTTTTGCAAAAGAGGCAGAAATTCGAAAGATGTAGGTTTCTCCAGTATGGAGATCCAGTGGGCAAAGCTTGCCTTGCTGAATTTCTGCCTGTCACAAAGGTACAGGAGGAGCTTGTGGGCTATGGCCAGTGTTAGCCCTCACAGAGTAGATCCATTGAAATTAATGACACTAAGCCCATTAACTTCAGTTTAAAAAAAATGGTAACAGACCCATGAATGGTTAAATCCAGTCAAAGGCGACTATGGGGTTGCGGCGCTCATCTCGCTTTCAGGCTGAGGGAGCTGGCATTTGTCCACAGACAGCTTTCTGGGTCATGTAGCCAGCATGACTAAACCGTTTCTGGAGCAATGGAACACTGAGATGGAAACCAGAGCACACGGAAACGCCGCTTACCTTCCCGCTGCAGCAGTACCTATTTATCTACTTGCACTGGTGTGCTTTCGAACTGCTAGGTTGGCAGGAGCTGGGACAGAGCAATGGGAGCTCACCGTGTTGCGTGGATTCGAACAACCTTCCAATTGGAGAGCCCAAGGGGCTCAGTGGTTTAGACCACAGTGCCACACGCGTCCCTAGAAAACTTTTGCCATGATTCGGATTTGAACTGAGGTGGAGGGCCGTGATCGTATGGTGGTTAGTACTCTGCGTTGTAACTTCAGTAGATCAACTCTGAGTGGAACAAACAACTCTGTATATTTTTGCATCAAGTAAAATGGCGGAGGGACTTCTGACTGTTTCCTCCCCAACACACAATTTATTATTTCTATAGCCCTATCAGGAAATTACAATGCATACAAATAAACAGGAGCCAAGGCTGATTTTTCTTTTCTGGCACTGTTCATGTACTTTTTGACAACTGCAGAGCACCGAGAAAAGCAGCAGTTAAGGCTTGTCACATCACTGAATGTTTATACTGAAACAAGTTTTGCCTGCTGATTCTGCCGATTTATGCAGCTGCGCCAATAAAGGCACAGGGATCCTCCTATTAAATTCCACTCTGAAATGCACAGGTTCAAACACTGCTCTGAAACTACTAGACTGCTTTAACACATTTCTCATGCATAAAATGGTAGCTGTTCTAATTCCTGTCACGAGGGAATGTATGCATGAGCAAAATAAGCGAAAAGACCGTGCGGATGGATCCTCTGTTTACTTAGAAGTAAGTCCTACTGAGTTCAGCTGGGGCTTACTTCCAAGAAATCAGGTGCAGCGCTGCAGTCTCATAAAAAGTGAGCATCGATGCCTGCAGTGCATGGGTCATCCCCAAACTATAACCCCCAGATTCCCAGGTATATCACAAAGAGGTGAAGGTTTAAAAAATCACACTGTTAACCCAGGGCAGATAAAGTTCGTTATTACAACCATATTGCAGCAGGCATGATTGGTGAGAGTGTGGGATATGCTAGCCCTGCAAAATAACACTAGCAACAAATCAATATAGTTTATATATAAAGGGGCAAGGCTTTCTTTTGACACCTGGGAAGGTAGTGCAATAATATTAGCATGCTACATCAGTCACTGAGTGTACAATGAACATAACACTACTGAACAAGACTAGATCAGCACATTGTAGTAACTTGTGCTAGGTTCTTCTTTCATTAAATGTTGTGATTTTACTGCCCAGCTTTTAGCAGTTTTAAAGAAGAAAAGGACTTTGGGTTGTATCTAACGAAGTTGGTCCCTGTTTGTACAAGAATTTCCACTCGTGCAATGGATCCCCCACCTCTCCTCTGTTTGCCCCTTGCACATCCGATTCACATATCTGTTCATATCATAACATATCTGTTACATTGGTCACCACCATCCTTCTTACTTGGTGGCCTAGTGGTGTAGGTGAGAAGACAAAGAACAAGAAGCTTCTGCCCTGCGGTCATGTAACATTGTTCTGCTTTTAGCAACAACTTGGAAGAGCCTTGCGTTCCCTTTCTGTTTAGGGTTTATAATTTTGTATGTTTGCGAGGTCTAGTGAACACATTCTGCTTTGCTAAATCACAGAGCACCTACTTGACCGATGTGGTGATTGCTGTACATCTTTCCAGAGTGGCTAACTCGAACTAATAAGGTATGTGGGGGGTTTTTAAGACAACAATATTGCGTTTCACGGAATCAAGCTGTGGAGCATTTGCCATTTATCGAGGAAGGCATCTCCCTCCTTCCCTGCTCCCGTCTGCATTATATGTATGTCCATTTCACTGGAATTAATTGGATTTTCTTCCAGGTAATAGGTTTATGACTAAGGTGGCAGGCTGATTTTGTGATGGCCGAGATGGCCCGAACAACTTCTGTTCCTGTTTAAACGACTTAACACTTCAAAACGAAAGGATGAAGGTGTTCCATATACAATTCATCACAGCACCAGAGGGTTGAAGAGGCCTGGAATAAAAGCAGTGTATTACACAGCGGCACTCCAGGGTAGTATATATCTCCCAACAGTAGTAAAAAGGAATCTGTAGCTTCTGTTTGCCCGAATATTGCTGTTGAAATGATACTTCCCAATTGGTTTAAAAAGCAGACAGACTCCTGAATGGGGCCAGCATGCAAATGAAGTGCCTTAAAGAAACAGCTTCTCCTTTATCTGGTCCCAAACTTTATCCTTGTCTCACCTGGAATGCCTCTTGTAGCACAAGCTGCAGTGAAATGAGGGGGGGGGGGACCCACAAGATCAGAACAGCTCTCTTGCACAACCCCATGAATCTCAATAATATGCCTTTCACAAGGGATGCCCCGGGCGTATTCAGTCAGGCAGCTATTGTTTTTAATGTCTTTTGTTGCTGCCCTGAAATAGCGATTTGCTGTCTTTGTGTTCATTTTCCTGAGTGCAAGGCTGATCATTTTATGAAACAGCCCAGTTATTTGCAGTTTTTATACAGCGCCTAGTAAGGGTGGGAGAGGAATGAATGAAATATTTCAGGCAGCAGAAATACAAGATCTCCAGCTATGCTGAACTGAAGGTTGTGGATTTATCATCCAATACTGTGAAGTAAAGGGGTCCCTCCAACAGCAACTGTATAAAAGGAACAAAGTTCAAAGCAGTTATTTTAATAAAATGCACTTAGGTTTCAAACCCCAGCCCTGATACAAGTTAGTAACATATACAATGAAAGCTGCCGGACACATTAAAACATCACTGAGCCTTTTTATTGTTTACTAGGGAAAAGGAATCTTTCGCCCTTGTACAGAAGGAACACCGTCAACAAGGTGAAGGTTGAAACTCAGTGTTACCTTAAATGCTCCTGTGATTTGAATAGGTTTGAGACTTGGGAGGGCTCCAAGATAGCTTCCTTCATACTCTCCAGAACTGAGTACCAGGACAGTGCAGACGGCATGTAAACAGTTCACAAGGTTCCAAAAATAAAATTTTAAAAAAAGAAAAGAAAAATAACTTAACTGCTTCTGCACAGCTTCACAGTTTCACTGTCCCAACTGTCCCAAACACTGTGGGAAACAATGTTCAGTAATTGCTCCTTTCCTTTCAGGCAATTTTCCTATTTATTTCTCTCCCCCCCCCCCTTCCTATGCTGGTATATTCCTTTCGTCCATGGCTACTTAAGAAATTAAGCCAAAAGAAATGTAATTAGCTACTGAGACAGACTGCTTTTTAAAACTGCAGGTATGAAACACATACATGAGACATATTCTGCCAGCAGTTACGTGTTCAGCAAACCTTTCCTTTCATTGTTGTGTAGGCTTCAACAAATGAAAAATAAGGGTTCCCCTGGAATAAATTAAAAAAGGGGGGGTCCAGAAGAATCTTAGTTTCCATTTTGTTTTACACCATTCTTTGTTCAAGAGCTCCGGGAATTGCTGGCATCCTAACAGGGCTGTGAGCAGCTTTAGGTATCATTTAGACCTGAAATTCTGCGAATTCAGCATGAGACGAGGAACTTCAAGTTATACAAACAAACTTGTTAAAACATCTCTTAGTGCCTCAGATATTCAGGATTATGAATCTAAAAAGTCAGCAGATTCAGCTGGATCTCCTCCTTTCTCTGCCACAAAGGAGAATTCATGGCTTTTCCGTGTGCACATCACTGCTTCCATTGCCATTGGTTGTGGTGGTTATGATGTATTGCGTTGTTTGCTGCTGATTCGCCGTTTGTGATTCCAAGGAGTCAGAATGTGTCGGTGGCTGAGACAGACCCACTTCTATGCTACTAGAAAGTGAGAGGTTTGGCTTTACATCCAAGTCAGATTGACCTTCAGCTAATACGTAATGTGTCTACAGGAAAAGAAACCAACATAGGTTATCCTGTTTTTAATATTTTTCTCTCATATCCTCAATAACTTATTTCTGCCTCAACTTTGGTTGTTGTACGTTATGAATACACAAAAAATATAGGTTACGTCAATAAAAGTAGGAACTGTAAAATAACCTGGTGTTTGCTGCACCCTGTGGCACACAAGTGATTTATTATTTAGAGCAGGTCTTCGAGCTGGGTTAGTTATTCCTTAAATGTTCCTTGATACAGTAATCCCTCATCTTACATGCATCCGACTTGCCTGATTTCAACCATAAGTAGCTGAAGGTGGGCTGGCTGAAACTGCACAAGTCCCAAGCAAGGCGGAGAGCCAAAAAGCTCGTTTCGCACCAGGTCCACTAGGGGCTACCTGGTGTGAAAATGGTTTTTAAGTGCTCCACCTTGCTTGCTGGGCAAGGCCAACTCAGCACACTGACTACGAAGGCTCTGGGATGCTCTCACAAGTTAATGTGAGCATCCCTAGCCTTCCAGGGCCAGTGTGCTGAGAGGGCCTTGCCCGCAAACAAACCCAAGAGCTAAAAAGCACACCTGCTGCTAAAAGAACTGTTAAGTTCTTGACCTTGCTTGCTGGGCAAGGTCCACTTGCTGCACCAGCCCTGGGAGTGCCGGGGATGCCATTTTCACATACACATATACCTTTGAACCAAGATGAGGGATTAGCATATATAAAAGGGACGAATTAATATTTCTAAAATAACAGATTTCATGAACATAACTGACTCATTCTGCTAAGCATACATGTGATCTGACTTTGCCAGAATAAGATGCAATTTTACTCTTAGGCACTCTCAGTCCCCACATCCATAATATGGGATTAATCCTGGAACATTTAGAAAAAGCCCTATACAATAGCTTCCAGTTATTATTACCAAGAATTCTGAATGTTTCTTTGACCACCCATAATAATGCTGCTTAGGAGGTATGAAACATATTTCAAATGTTCCAAGTGCTTTCCTTATATTTCCTCAGTCATCTTACCTGGGCGACTGTTTTCACTTGCCCTGTGTTCACTGTAGTGACAGGAGTTCCTACGGCTGCCTCCGCAATCACATACTGGCCCTGTGGGAGGGTCATCATCTGAATATCAGAGGCTAGAGGGGAAAATTCAGAAGATAAAGAAATAGAGTTAAGATGTAGTCTTAACCTCACTGAATTTAGCCCCAGGCCTGCTCTCATATAAGGAGGGCAGGACTCTCACTTAAACACCATCAATACAAAAAAACATTCAGAAGGTCAAAGTAAGCCTTGTGGGTTTACCTGAAGCTCACTGAAATCTACATTTCAGCCTGTGGCTTTTAAATATAAATATATTGAGAAGATCAAGTCTGAAAACACTTGGCCCTAGCATCTGTAGGCTACAAGTACTTTTAAAAAACAAAAGGTGCCTTCTGAGATCTCTGTAAACTCTTTTTGTGACTTGTCAGAGCTAAACCTGGGACCTCCTAGCATAACCCCTCCAGCCCTAATTGTAATTTTTTTTACAATTTTTTACAATTTATGGATGAAATTTAAGTATCATTGGCCTTCTAATAAAGGAAGCAAGGAAAATGTGCCTCCCCACCCTCTCTTGTAGTGGTGTATTAACATAAGCATCTAGTGATGCTTACAAAATTTTATCAGCTGCGTGATGCTATGAATATTGTTTTCAGTTTACACAACACCCTACTCAAAGCAATGCAATTAGAACAAGAAGTTGGCCTGCTTGTATAAGACGTCAGAAAATGTATGGCTTGTAGCTCAACCTGGAAAATAAAAGACTTGGATATGTAATACAAAGGAGCCTTACAGCTGTGCTTCTTTAAGGGGCTTCTCAACCATTATTTATTAAATCACAGCTTGGAAACTGCGAATGAGGTGCAGGCGCTTTCTAACACCTCTGAGAGCAAGCGGTAGCAGACCCTTTTTGCATACTTACGATAGCTGCGGAATGAATTCCATGAACTGGGAAGATATGCTTGCTGGACCGAAGAACCTTGCTGTGATTGGAGAGTTTGGCTTTGTGACGAGCTGGTTGCCTGCATCTGGGAAGGGCTGAGCTCCTGCTGAGATGGTTGGGATGAAGGACTTAAGGGCTGACTTCCCACCTGGAATAACAGAAGTGTCAGTTGCAGCATAGATCTTCAGGATCTCAATACTATATTAGTTACCTTACCTCCACTTGAAAGGTCCTGTCACTAATCTTCTCAATCAGTGAAAAGCAACAACACAAGGCAAGACAAAAGTTATGAATATAGCACTTTTCACCTACAGCAAATTACAGCAACAACTTTCCCATAAGCGGTGACTAAATCTACTTTCACAACTGAGCTACAAACACCACCTGTTGTTTCAGTGCTTTTGCCTTGGAACTAATAAACACAATTTAGGCCAATCCATGCATACCTCATATTGTGCTTTGCTTTACCACACTTTACAGGTGCTGTCCCTTACAAGGGCGCAGGTGTAGCTGTAGGCAGCCTGGCCCCCTGCTACCACCACTGCCCCTCTTCTGGCTATAAGAATAGAGCTCGCTAGGGCTGGAGATGGGTTTTTCCACTCCCACCTCTGCAGCCAGGGGGTGCTGGCTTAATAGACTACAGTATAGTGTGCCTTTTATATGAACTGGGAAGCAAAAATTTAAAAAGTGTGGCTCGCTTTATTGCGATACTTGCTTTACTGCGGCAGTCTGGAACTGAGCCTGCAATATCTCCGAGGTATGCCTTTACACAGTTCTAATTTATAAACACTGGTTTGGGGTTTAAAGCAAACAAAAAACAAAAAACCCTCAGCCAAAGCAGCATTTAAGGGCTTTTCATTGTTTTTCTCACAACAAGGGTGATAAAAAGCAACTACAGCCTGTCCTAAAGGTAAAGGGACCCCTGACCATTAGGTCCAGTCGTGGCCGACTCGGGGATTGCGGCACGCATCTCACTTTATTGGCCGAGGGAGCCGGCGTACAGCTTCTGGGTCATGTGGCCAGCATGTCTAAGCCGCTTCTGGCGAACCAGAGCAGCACACGGAAACGCCGTTTACCTTCCCGCCAGTGTGGTACCTATTTATCTACTTGCACTTTGACGTGCTTTCAAACTGCTAGGTTGGCAGGAGCTGGGACTGAGCAACGGGAGCTCACCCCGTCGCGGGGATTCGAACCGCCGACCTTCTGATAGGCAAATCCTAGGCTCTGTGGTTTAACCCACAGTGCCACCCGTGTCCCTACACAGCCTGTCCCACTTATCAATAATTGCAACAGATTTAGCAAAAAGGGAGAGTGTCTGTATGTACACACTGAACGCATTAACACAGCATGGCTTCAGCCTGGAGGATAGGACCAGCGCTGCTTTGCTTCAGTGAATGGAGCCCCTCTAAGCATTATTGCATCCTCAAACTTCTATAACAGCTGCCTCCCCCCCCCCCCCCATTTTCATCAGACAGACCGAGGAAGGCAGAAGCTAAAATAAAGAATTTCACATTTCTGTTTCGTTAGTCACTGTAAGAAATAACTAAATAATGTATATATGGCTGACCTGTGAAGATGCTGGGGCTGTTGGGCTTGATTCTGTGACCTGGATATGCTGCACTTGGATGGCATGCTGGGCGTATGTCTGAGTGTCCTGCAACTGTCCGACATCCACTGTGGAATGTTGAGACTGGTGGGGTGAGGTAGCCTGGGAGGAAAGAAACATAAAAGCACAACTCCGTCCCGTAAATGTTTGATGTCCTATTGTGTTCTGATTTGTTGGAAGCCGCCCAGAGCAGCTGGGGTAACCCAGCCAGATGAGTGGCATCATTGTCATCATCATATATGATGGGGCTGTGGCTGCATTTAGTTCAGAATTGCTACTCCTTTTACTCCAGGGTCTGGATTCACATGTTATTGGGGCTGAGGCACAATTATAGCTTCCCTGTAGCTTTATCCCACTCTGGTCTGGTAATGTAAGAACACAGAAACTATTTGAAAGATGCAGGAGTGAACAATACAGTGGTACCTCGGGTTAAGAACTTAATTCGTTCTGGAGGTCCGTTCTTAACCTGAAACTGTTCTTAACCTGAGGTACCACTTTAGCTAATGGGGTCTCCTGCTGCTGCCGCGCCACCGCCGCGCAATTTCTGTTCTCATCCTGAAGCAAAGTTCTTAACCTGAGGTACTACTTCTGGGTTAGCGGAGTCTGTAACCTGAAGCGTCTGTAACCAGAGGTACCACTGTACATTGAGGATTAGGGTTCCTTCTGCATAAGTCTATTGGCCCACCATGGCAGGTAGCCGAAAAGAATGAAATAAAAGCCTTCCAGATGGTAATATTTAGTCTTGTTTCCCCAAAGTAGTCAGCAAGATGGGAAGGAACTACAGCGTAATGGCAGAGCACACCCTTTGCCTGCAGATGGGCTGAGGTCTAATCCCTGGCATCTCTGGTTAGAAGGGTGTAATACTGCATGGCAGGACTGGGAAACTTCTGCTTGAGACCTTGGAGAGACGTTACCAATCAGAGCAGACAGTGCTGGGATACATGGCCTGCTTCAGGATAACCCAGGTTGACAAGCCACTGAGTATCTCACAAACGGCCCCCAAAATTGTAGTGCCTGGGGCTGAAAATCCAAATGATGGCAAAAATAAACTAAATAACAATTTGCTGACCTTGAGAGTACTTCCTAAACCAGCCACCTAAGCAGGCCACATTGCCCTGCCTAATTCTAGGGCTGCCCTTACTGTCCTCTTGTGATTCTCATGTGCTTTCTCATTCATCTGTTATGGGAACAGTGTGCAATCTTGTCTTGAGGCAGCAGCAACCACATTGCTACCATAATGTAACTAATGTCAGGCCTAATGCCTTGGACATAGTGCCTCTAGAGGCTAACATGATACGAATATATCAAGTAATAATGAGCCATCACTGGTCTAGCAGGGCAGGGTTGCTGATTAATAAACAATTTGAAAAAAAATCAAACTCTCCACTTAAAGCTAAACAAGAAATTTACCACCAACAGGAGGTAATTATCTTGATTTGTTCATGTATCTGAAAATGCTTTTAACATTTTGATTAGGTGTAGAATCTTACACCAGGGAAACAGAAAACATTTCTAGACTATTACTTGCTAAACAAAGCCTAATTAATTTTAGCCATTTAATGAGAAATAACCACAAAGGAAATGCAAGACTGCAATAAGATGGACTCAATCAATGTTCAGATTGCTTCAACAACAGCACTGTTTAGCCAGTTATCAGCAGCAACTAAAATTATAGGGCTGAGAAGATTGTCTGCTCTGCATTTTCAAATCTATACATCTCATGTCTTTCGCAGCCTACCTGAAAGGCTGACAAGTAATTATAATTTATTTCATAGTTCACTCTCCCATTAACCCTGCAAGGTGATTTCTCCCCTGCCTCCTAGTCACTGAGTATTTTGTTTTTACATTGGGACCACCTGTCAATTCCATCCCTCCAAAGCAGAGGCCAAACTTTACCTCCTAACGTGCACTATGCCCAGTGCTCACTGCCACCATTAATCTAATCTGATCTGTCTCCCACCCTTTTGCCAAGGAGCTTGTGCATGGCATTTTCCTTGCATTTTAAAAAAATCTTCACTAGAAACTTGTTAGGCCGAGAGAGAGCGATAGGTTCAAGTACACTTGGGGAGTTTCATGACTGAGCAAATATTTGAATCCAGATCTCCCTGGCCCAAGTCCAATACGGTATCTATTACACCCAACTGGTGGGCAATTCATGCATCTTCCCCAACCCTCTGGTGGACCTTTCTTCCCTAGTTCACCTTCAGGTGATGGTCAGTTTTCTCAAGAGTGCCTCTGAGACAGAGGCACAGTAGAGGCATCCATGACACCGAGAAAGACAAAAGCAAACCAGACAGAACACTCACCGGAGCCACTTGCACAACCTGTAGTATGTGTTGAGGCTGCTGCAAGCCGGGGATGTACTGGATTCGCTGAAAATCGCCCTGCGGAGTTCTGTAGTCGGTGGTCAGTGTCTGCGACAGTTCTGTCATGGCTTGGGTCAGTAAATCTGTTGTCTGAAGAAGGGGAAGATAGGCAGAGGGATAGACAGGCGAACACTTGGCAACCTGGTAATTATTTCATTGCACAGGACATAACTAACAGAAACCTATAACTGAATAGTTAAAAGAAAACCTTACACGCAGCTTCCCTCTACCCCAATGGTGAGGCCTAGGCTATGCGGATGACAGTGTGCCACAATCAGAAGAGGTATGCTAGAAAAATGGGCCTACTCAGCAAACATCTCCAGGTGTCTTCTGCAAAAGACCCTAAGCCACATTCTGTAGGGCATGGGTGAGGAACCTCAGGCCTGTGGGTCAAATGTGGCCCTCCAGGCCTTTGTCTAAATCAGTGGTTCCCAGCCTTTTTTGGCCATGCCCCACCTAAGCATCTCTAAAATCCTGATGTCCTCCCCCCCATGGCGTATAATTCTTATTATTCAGAAAGTGAATTCCTATTCATGTGGAGGAAGCCTAAAAGGCTATTAACTGTTAATAACTCATTCTCGAATTGCTCCCCTTAAAAATCAAATTGCCCCCCTGTGGGGGGATGCCCCACATTGGGAACCACAGATCTAAATCCTTTACACTCTCCACAGGCCACCCCCTTACAGTCCCAGCTTCTCGCACTCTTAAGATATTTGCTTGTCTGGATGGAAAACAGAGAGGGGTGTGTGGGTAGAAACAAGCTTACTGTACAAAGGTTAATTTTACATCTGTTGCTCTGCCTGATTTCGCACCTGGTCCTGCCCTCCACTAGCATGTGGCATTCAGAAGGCTGCCCAGAAGGGAATGCGAGTAAAGTTCCATCTGCAGGGCAATGGTTTCGAAATTTCCTGCTCTCAAGGAACCACTTTTCACATTCATCAGTCTGCTAAGAAACATCTGATGTGGGAGAGCCTAATTCATACTTTGTGGGAGACTGGATAACTGTATCACACTCCACTTCAGGCAGCCTTTAGAGTTCTCAGAAAACCCAACATGGGACTTGTGCACTCCCCTGCTCCCCCTTCTTCATGCATGAGAGAAGGCTGAAAGCTTCAACTTTCATTTTTTAAGTAACTATGGTTTCCCATTATGTCAGACTAAAGGAATTGTGGTTTGTTCTGACTGTGCTTAATTAAAGCAAACCAGGTTGTCACACTGTGATAGGATACCTTGGTTTGTTTTAACTAGTCACAAGGAACCATGGTTTGTCATTTGGTCGGAACTGGGCCATAATCTTCTGGAATTTCCCAATGGTTCTAAGATAGCTCTACTTCTTTACATAATTTTGTTATGTACCTTCAAATACTTACCACAACGGTCTCCCCAGCAGTGCTGTCAGAAGTTAATACTGCAGGGGTAGCACTGATTACAGCTGTTGTCAACGGTACATGTATCGTGTTAGTTGGAATCTGAGCAAACTCAGGGTGTTTCTTGCGAATGTGTTGCACCATCTTGGTCTGTGGAGAGGTGGAAAGTAGATAGATACAGGATAGTTTGATGATGACAGGATAGTTTGATGATAATGAATTAAATTCCTATACCACCTTCAAATCAGTACTGACCACCGAGTGGTCATTTTGCACAAGTGGCTTGGCTAGTAGCACAAAACCACAGCCTTTCATTGTTTTTTATTTATGGGATTTATGGGATTTATAAACCCACTCTTTGCCAGATGGTACCTGGGTGGCATACAACTAAAAATGATTAGCTATTCAGCACTGTGAATAAAAAGCTATGGCACTTAGGTACAAGGCCAGTCTCTATAATCTAGCCATTAAACCATTCCTGAAAGGAACAATACGGCTGCAGTGCAACCTACTAATTGCAGGTGCATCATTGCATAGAACAGCTATGTGTGTGACAACTGGTGATATCTACTCTTCCTTAGTGCCTGGATGCACGACTTGCTCTGGAAGGATGCAAATGGGATGGCCTTAAGAGGTAGCTATCTAAGGAGGGCACTTGTATAGCAAGCTAATGCCTAAAAAGGATCCTTAGTAGTAAAAGCACTAGTTAGTGAGGTGAGCATCACAATCACGACGCAAAACCAAGGAACTAACTGATTTGAGAGTCATGACTATCAGTCCCCTAGTCTAGTCTGCCGTTTAATGAATGAGGTACATTTAGGCATCTCTGCTGCTTGATAACATGTAATACGAGAATAGACATATTGCATCTATACATTAAAACCTGTTATTGCTGAAAGTATCCATGAACAGTACGCACATTTGGATGGAGTGATAGTCCCACAGTACCTTACTGCTGTACTGCTTGGAACAGTGAGGACAGCAAACTGGCGGCGTTGCTATTGTGCCCGTCAGCTGGGTGTGCGTGCTTAGCATGGGATCTGGCTCTCCTGGGCCTGCTGGACGTAGCTTTCGGATGCTCGGAGGGAGCTCAGCACCTGGGTGGTTTTTCAGGATGTGGGCTTTGCGTTTGCTGGCGCTCTTGTAAACCTGTGAGATGAAGACTTGGACCGTGAATGAATAACGCTCTGCTGAAAGCAGGCATCTATCTCCAACCACACAATATGCAAGCCTCTGTAATAAACATCCTCAGCAGCTGAGTGCCGTATCAGATGCATGGTTTTCTTATACGCATACAACTCGCATATGCAGATTTTGATTGTTATCCGTGTTACAGAGCTATAAAGCCCAGGGATGGAAAACCTGTGGAGGCTCTCCAGATGTTGCTGGACTACAACTCCCACCATTCCTGACCATTGGCCATGCTGGCTGGGGCTGATGGGAGCTGAAGTCCAGCAACATCCAAGGGCCACAGGTGTCCCATCACTGAGCCTTTCGTCTGGTGTTCTGCATCACTATGCAACATCACACATTTCTATGCCATATAAATGAATATAGAACAACTACCACATCAGCATGAAAAAGTCAATTAGCAAGCACTTGAAATCTACTGTTCAAGCCCTGCTCAGGGAAGTTTTTAATATTGTATTGTATTGTGTTTTGATTTGTTGGACGCCGCCCAGAGTGGCTGGGGGAACCCAGTCAGATGGGCAGCATATAGATTATCATAATCATCAATCTACCCATTTACTATTCTTTCACCATCCAGATTCTAAATACAATAGTTAAATGACATATTTGATAAATCTCTAGTATGCACCGATGCAGACTTTAGTTCTAGGATCCTACACAATATTTACTGATACAAACTTTATGGAGTACCTTACAGAACAGAGCATAGGTCCGTGACTGGTATTCTGAGCTTATTTGACTCCAATTCAGTTTTAGGAAATACTATGCTAGGTAAATATTTTCTCCTTAGTTCTCTCAGTTTTCCTGATTGTGCTCCCCTGCCTGACACTAGGTCAATCTTTCTGATTAACATAGATCGACTTTGACAAACATAGGCATTCAGTGTGAAACTATAGCTCATTCAAATCCTACAAATTCCAAGTGGGAAAATGACTTGTTGCTTGTTAAGAGTGAGACCCTTCTACACCACCCAACAGCACAATACAACAAACCTCCCAATTTGTAAAGCACCTTGGAACCTCTTCTATGGAAATGTGCTACTTAGATCCCAGGAAGTAGTCTGTGAGCTCAGACCCAAACTTCTCTTCTTCAAGTGCTTTCCATTTAATTTATTAGAGTGGCAGAAATATTTTTTGGTCCTCTCCTCAACAGGAAAAGAAATGAATCAGAAAAGGGGGAAATTGCAAGATCTGTTACAGATTTATACATGGAGTATGATTCCATGCACGCACCAAGGGATAGGTGGGTTCATTTCATACCTTATCACAGTACTGACAGAAATAATCTCTGTTGGGCTTGATGATGGGCAATGTTAGCTCTGGCACCTCCTCTATTTTCATGTCTGGATGTCTCTTTGATAAATGATTCACCTAAGATGAAAAAGCAGCGGAATAAAAAACATGTTACAGCAAACAGCTAAACAGCTGGCTCATGTGGCCGTGAGGAACAGGAACGCCTGTGCTTCAAGCCACTGAAATGTTGAGAACAAGTGTGGCCAGAGGGTCAGACTAGACCAAGGAGTCCCAGGTTCAAAACCCCACTCGGGTCATGAAGCTCCCTGTGTGACTTGGGCCAAGCACCTCCCAGCTTAATCTACTGTTATAAAGATAAAATGTGTGTGTGTAGAACAATGCACACCACTGCTAAGCTTTCTGGAGGCAAAACAGAGCAACAATGATATGAATAAATACATATGGCTGAGTGCTACAGACCTATTCAGAAGTGCTAGATCAGTGTTTCCCATACTTGGGTCTCCAGCTGTTTTCGGACAATTCCCATCATTCCTGACTACCTAGGGATGATGGGAGTTGTAGTCCAAAAACAGCTGAAGACCAAAGTTTGGGAAATACTGTGCCAAATCTATCCGTTGTTTAAGATGGTGAGCATTCATTTGCAGATAATATCAGCAATGAAACCAAGCTATCAAGCAGCCATTTAATAGACCTATTTCTATATCAGCAGGTTATGGAAAGACAAACAAAATGGCACTAGAAGATAGGTGCCATGGTGAATGATCATGTTTTATTTTTTGCAGTCTTAAATTGTAAAACTGGGAGTCCCTGGTTTAAATCTCACCTCCCTCGCGAGAAAGCCTGAAGCCAAGCAGCCCTCTCTCATCTTCAGTCTCCCTCCTGACCTGATTTCCAAGGCTCTTGTAAAGATCATTGTGATTATGCATGTGAATCACTGTTAACTCCTTGGAAGGAACTGTATAAAAGCTAAGTGTTATTATCACTAGTATGAGGACTGGAAAATGCTGAAAGCCTAGTCTGATTTACTAAAGTGCCTAAGAAAGATGTCATGTGCCGCAGGGCCAACTCACACCACCAAACAGGAGCATTGTGAATAGAACTTGAGTGAATCAGTATGCTTAGCACATGCCCAAGCAGCTGTGTGATTTTTTTTCAACATGTGCTCAGCTTGTAACTCATCCTGCACTGTGCCACTGCAAAATGTCTGAAAGCAAGTGGGTGCTGGCACAGTAAGTCGTACGAGCTGAGCTGTCAGGTGGGCGCCTGCTGATGCAGCCATAGATCTGCTTCAGGCACCTACCAGTGCCACACAAGCCAGATTCACACTGCTCCAGCTTGTCCACACAGGTGTAATGTAATGTCTACACGCTGCTCAGCCATATCAAATCCACTGAGTTAGGGAAACACAAGTTCCCTGGCAGCATTTCCAAATAATTCCAAACCGGCTAATAAGCTAAGCATGTGCTAGCAAAATTTACAGGGCCATAGAACGGTATCGGCCTGTCCAGAGAGAGCAAACACTTTTCCTGGACTTGTGGCAGCTGCTATATTTTTCTCTGCAAACTGGGGGGGGCTCATATCACTCACTTGCTTCTACTACTAGTAGTAGCTTTACAGACCACTGCATGCTGAATTTTCTGCCTAGTATTCATGCAAAGAGGCCCAAGATTGGACAACCACTCTGACGAATGGGGAGAGTGTAGCACCTGAATCTGGGAGAGCAGATCCTGCTCAGCTGAATGGATAAGTCTTTGAGCAGCCACCCACCGTTTCACAGGATAACATAGCATAGAATCACACATGCGAAACTGAGAGTACTTCCAGACTGTTGCTATTTTCAGCAAATTTAGGTTGCGCGATGAAAGGTGATCTGGTGCTATAGCGCAACAAAGCCATTTCCCCAAAAGATCAGACTTTTCGTGATAAGGGAAGTGGCAGGAAAATGCATTGGAAAGCGTGGAATAAAAGCACTTGCTTGGGCACATCATCTAAGCGCCACACAAACAAATCAGAATGAATGCTTGTTAAATAGCTGGTGTTGCCTAAGGTCCCTGAAAACAAATCAAGATGGTTGCTCAATAAAAAGGTTATTTGGAAGTGCCCTGAGTGCCTTGGAAGATAGGAATGTGATAAATGATATGGACAAGACTGAAGAACTGAAAGAACAAAAGAACTTTCACTGACGGTGCAACGGTGAGGAGTGAGTTGTCTCTGCACCAGTGTGTTCCCTGCTCTAAATTTGCATGTGTATCTTAATAAATAACACAAGCTCACAGAGAAGGTTTCTTGCCTAGTGAAACCAATTCCCAATAGGCAGAGATTGACTGGCTAAGACAGGCTTCCTCAAACTTGGCCCTCCAGATGTTTTGAGACTACAATTCCCATCAGCTGTGAGCACTGGTCCTGCTAGCTAGGGATCATGAGAGTTGTAGGCCAAAAACATCTGGAGGGCCAAGTTTGAGGAAGCCTGGGCTAAGATCTCAAGCGAAGCTGGGGCGTAGTATTATAGAATTGTAGTGCTGGAAGGGACCCTAACCATCATCTAGTCCAGGCTTCCTCAAACTCGGCCCCCCAGATGTTTTTAGCCTACAACTCCCATGACCCCTAGCTAGCAGGACCAGTGGTCAGGGATGATGGGAGTTGTAGTCTCAAAACATCTGGAGGGCCGAGTTTGAGGAAGCCTGATCTAGTCCATTCCCCTACAATGCAGGAACATGCACCTGGTCCCATACAAGGTTCAAACCTGCAACCATGCTCTAACCCAGTGGTTTTCAACCAGTGTGCCGAGGCAACTTGGGGTGCCTTGAATGCTGGTCAGGGGTGCCGTGGGCAACACTGTCTCTCTTTCCTTCTCTCCCTCCTCTGATGCCCTTTCACATCTCTGCCCTCCAAAGGCTTGTGCAGCTGTTTGTTGCAGCAGCCCTGGCTACAAACTCTGGAGGGAAATGGTGCCTCTGGGGCTGGCCAGGGGGTGCTGGTTGCCAGGAGCCGAGGCTGCCTCGGAGTAAGCAAGCAAGTGGACAAGAAAGCCCAGGCAGCCAGCCAGTCCACCAGCCCTTTCTGTTGGGAATGGACATACAAGTCCCAGGGCCCCGTGGGGCAGTGTGGGGAGGCACCTCTCTTTGACGCAGGGGGTGCAGCTCAAGAGACCAGGGGTGGAAGCAGCGGCTGCCCAGAGGACTCCCAAGGAGAGGGGAGAGGAGGCTGAGGGAACACTCCCCAAGGTGTGAGAGGCTGCCAGCTCTGCAGGGAAGAGGTGACATAACTGGGCTCCTGAGCCCCACAGGGGTGGCTGCAGAAAGAATGTAGTTGGCCCAGGGAACTGTGGACTCAAAAAGGTTGAAAACCTCCGCTCTAACCAACTGAGCTATCCCTGCAGCCCTTCCAGCATCCTCACACTAACCAGCATGCCTCGCCTCCGGAACCCCATCATGCACAGGCGGCACTTGAACATGAAGCTCTCGTAGTCTGTGGAGGCTATCCGAGGCTTGAACGTTTTGGAGCGGCTAATTCGGTCGGCTTTCTTTGCTTCTCTTTCCGGATTGTGCATTCTCTGCATGTGCTCCCGAAGTTTGTCCTTTCTCTGAAAGGTGAGGGATGGAAAAGGAAAATCACAATAATCAGATGGGGGAAATACTTGCGCTTCCGAGTTACCTACACGTTACTGAAAGACGACACAATGCTGGGCAAATCACAGGGTCAAAAAATAAGGTCAGCAAAGCAGAGAAAGCACTTTGGCACTTGAGGGAAGGTTTTCTAATGCAGAAAATGGAAAACCTTTCCAGGAGTCACTGAAGTTGCTTGTTAACAGCACTGCTCACAACGAAAGAGAAAGAATTCTTCACCACTGTGGTCCTACCAGCATTTAGGCCCATTACAATAGGTCAACCTGACGCATCATGTACATTACATTAATATTTTTCTTCCATGTTACTTGTGTGGCTGAGCACTAGTAAGTGAGTAAGTGCAAACTGAGATTCTTACTGTTCTTACACAGCTCTATCAAGGTATCCCCTTCATGGATCACTGCCTTGTCGTGGCGAAGGGGCTTGAATAACTCCAAGAAGCTATGAGTTATGCCGTGCAGGGCCACCCAAGACAGACAGGTCATAGCCAAGAGTTTAGACTAAATGTGATCCACCTGGATAGAGAAGGAACTGGCAAACCACTCCAGTATTTTGCCAAGAAACTCCATGGACATAAAAAAGGAGAAGCTTTGAGAAGTGAGAGTTTCCAAGGCATGCTCTGGTTCATGGGGTCACAGAGAGTTGAACACAACTAAGTTGACTAAACAAATCAAGGTATAGGGTGCTTTGCAGAGTGCCACAAGCTGAAAAAACACATTCCAGGCACAAGGAATTTAGAATTTAATGTTGATAACAAATGGACACATTCCAGATTTCAGTTCACTGCCAGCAGGCCTAATTTCACACCAGAAAATCTCATCCTGGGTTGTAAACAGCCACTTACCCAGTCACTTGTGGCATTTAAGAAAAACCTCCAAGATTTACAAAACTTGGTTCGTTTTCTTTCCTAGCATAGGCACGCGATGGCACGAGAGCATATAAAAATTTGTGTGGTATAGTGATTGCTACAGATTTGTTTGGAAGGCTGGTCTGATCTCATAAGCAGAAACTGTAACAGAAATATTACGTGGACTTGTGTACTATGCTGGAATAAAAAGGAAGACATTTGTGACTCATTAGTTTGCAATATATTTCTAACGTGACTTTTCATGAGGAGTCACTTGCTCACAAGTTGCTGAGGTAAAGCACTACCCACATGCTTGCATATGTGCACATTGCAAAAAAATGTTCACAGTGTGGGTTGGTGTGTGCCAAATTCAGCATGACTCTGTGTGCTGGCAGATTATGTCTGTTTGTGAAAAATCAGTTCTGGCGAGGAGAAAGAGAAAGCTGTCGCTCTGTCCCTGCCTGTAACAGCACATGCCAAACCTGTTGACCACATTACCTTGAACTGCTTGCCACACGTAGAGCACAGGAAGTCTTTGCGGTCCGAGTGCCGCAGCATGTGGAGTCGCAACTTGTCAGGGCGGCAGAAAGCCTTGTCGCATTCGGTGCACTGGTAAATCTTTTCTGAATGGAAGCTGCGTACATGTTTCTTCACCTGCGAGAGATTATCAGTGGGGAAAACCAAAACGTTATCCCTCAAACATAACAGCAAATGGACCAACAGGCAATTCCACTTAGTGGCACTAGTGGGAGACTCTACTGCTGTTATTGCTCAAGTTTCTTCCTTTGCCGAGTATCCATCTGCACATAGTACTGTAAAAGAAACCTTGAACCATTCAAGAAAACACAACACCAACTGATTTCTTTGCAATCCAGTTCTAAAGAATTCTAAGCATCCAAGAGACAAAGAAGGACAACTGTGAAGAGCTCTTTGGCCTTTTCCGGCAAAACACTGTATCTTTAAGTGGCAGGGTAGGGGTTGCTCACAGCACCCACAGGGAAGGGAAAGGAGCAATGTGAATGAATATTCACCTGTTTATTTGGGAAACAATGTGGCCTTGCTCAGAATAGTTTTTGACAACATCCAAAGTGTTGTGTCTACTACTGTAAGCAGAACACCATCCAATAAAAGGAAAGCATTTTACCAAACCAGCATCTTGGAATTATCATAATTAACAGAACAGGAATACCCAAATATGGTCACCAGATGAACTTTATCTAGCTGCCAGTAGCCCCACCACATTTTAATCAAGATGTGTGTGTAAAAAAAGTGCTCAAACTTTCATTTATTATGAAAACAAATGAGATACTGTGTACTTCATGCAACTACTAGGCTGCAACATATTCTTTGCACATTGTTAGAAATGCACAGAGCAAATCAAATCCCCGAGGGGCTCTTTTCGGAAGCATATTTGCTCCTCAATCCCATCCCCACTGATGACCTCATACCATCTCAATGCACAAGTTCTCTTCCTATTAAGTCCTGTCTGCTAGGTAATGCCATTTTTAAAAACAGTTAAGTCTACAGGCATGACCTGTTTTATTTTAAATTTAGTACTGTGGTTAGTGATTTTAGGTGGTTTATGATTATTATAAGTAGTAGTAATAGTATACAATTTGGTCATCTGTTAGTGGCATGGATTATTCTGGCCCACAGACTAGTGGATAGTACTGTGGCCTTAGGAAGAGAGGAACTGGCAATTGGCAAATGCTGTTATCTAGGATATATCCAGTTAATCTGGGCCACTGATGAGCATGAAAAATGCTGGCTGTGGATAGCTGCATTACTGGCCAAAAGACCGAGTTTTGAAGCTTTGGGGAAATGATCCTCCACCGCACTTTCATCGGTAATTATCGGGATTGATGACACTGCATGACTGAGTTGTCTTTTTAAAAAGATACAATGATTAGGGAACTATAATCGGATCCAGAGATCTATCAAGAGTTTATGATTCAGAGAATGGACAAAACGAGTGATGAGCTATTTGAGAGAAATGGGAAGTAGAAAGAATATTTATTTTGTATGATGACAGAAGTAATTGTGTCTGTGATCTTTGGTCACTGAAATAAAATAATTTGAATGTGTTCATTTGTTCCCCTTCCTGTCACTTGCAAGAGGTCTTGATCTGAACGGCTGGCCATGATGGCTGATGTCATGGACTGGCTGGATGCAGAGGAGTGGGGGGGGGAGGCACCAGTTGGAACCCCCTGGGGAAGCAGGCTCAGAGCCAGGTGGTAGGGCGACGATGAGTAGTGAGAGGGAGAAGAGGGAGCAGACTGGGAGGAGATGTCGGGAGCTGAAGAGGCAACAGGGTTTAGTGAGCAGGAAGAGGTTTTGGCAGAGAGGAGTCCAGAATCAGAGGCAGGAGCAGAGGCTGGAGAGGAAGGGGGCCAAGAGGCAGAGAAGAGGCAGGCTGGTGAGGAAGCCAGGCTGTCTCCCCCTCCTGCTGCAACCAGCTCCTCTCCCCCCTGGTCTCCCAGAACTCACAGAGAAATGAAGAAGGTGGAGCAATGAGAGGCAAGACAGTGAAGCCTTAGACTGCTGGGGAAGGAACTGGGGAGCAGTGGGAAGGTGGGAACCTTCAGTCCTTGCAGCTGTTTCATTGGGGCAAGACCTACTGGGAAGAGTTGCTGTGACCACTAGGACTGAGCTGTTTTGTCAAGTGCTTTATTGTCTTATTGCTGCCCCATGCCTGATTCTCGTTCCTCACTGATAGCTGTGCTCTGCCTCCACAGTTGGGAGGAAGCAATGCTTTGGAATACCAGTTTGCTGGAAACCACAGGAGGAGAGAGTGCTCTTGTGCTGAAATCCTGCTCGCGAGTTTCCCACAGGCATCTGGGCCAGACTAGAGGAGCCATTGGCCTGATCCAGGAGAGCTCTTCTTATGTTCTTAACTACACAAATCAAGAGCGGCATTCATTCATTTCAAGTACTTTCTGGAATCAAGAAATCGGCTTACCTGTGTACTTTCTTCCTACTTTGTTTGCCAGACAATGGCCCAGACATTGGAAATATGCCTGAGATACCATATATACTCCAGAGCCTGGGGCTGTGGGGAACAGAGGCTGACCTTGCCTTTGCCAGTGCACATTCTACCCCAGGGAACTTCCCTGCCCCTCCCCCTGGACGCTCAGGTGCAAGATTATCACATTCTTCCAGGGTCCTCTCAAGTGAATGCAATACGCAAACAACTACATCACAGAGCTGTGATTGAGAATTGTATCCAGCTCTGTTCAGCGTTTGGGGGGTAGAGAAGTCTCCCCCACACCTCTCTCCCCCAAAAAAGTACTAAGTGGTACCAAGAAAGAATCCTGCCTTTGTTTCATCCGAGTCGCAACAGGATCTCTGATAAAACATCCAGTGAAACCTCAACATCTGAGCACTAAAGATAAAACAGATCCTACTTTTTTTTCCAGCGCTAATGACACCACAGAGGGATTTTGTTACTTTATCTTTTCAAAGCAAGCACTTAGGGAGTTGAAAAGTAATAGCCACTTCACAGATAAAACATATTTAATTATGCACACAAAACTGCATGGAATGGGGTAGTAAAAAATTCCAAAACAGAAACAAAAAATGTAGCGGCTCGGATCATATATTAACAGCGCTGTAGCACCATAAACGTTCCCACAGCAAACCAGCAACATGTGGAGGATGTGTAGGCATGTCTTGAAAATTAGCTGATGGTTAACCAGTTTCTTGGGCCAAAAGAGTCTAAAGATGCTGGCTGTTTTGAATCCAAGGCTCTCTCTAGCTTCAATGCCAAAGAAGCGGTTGCCTCGTTGTGGGGGAGGCTGGCTTAGACTAGCCACCAGTTGGGTGGGGAGCAGATTCCTGGTCCTTGGATCCATGGGCCTCCAAAGAGGAACCTCTTCCTTCAATGATGGCACAACAACAGGAGCTGAAGGCTCAGCCTTCAACACAGCTGAAGCCAGACCTGTCTTGGAATACATCTTAAACCTTTTTGAGATCTTAGACTGGACCCTGTCAGACACCTGAAGGGCCTTCTCCAACAATGAGGCTCAGTTTCTTCTGTGCCCACTTTGTAAACATCTGGCAGCGATGACAAGTGTCTACTTGTGACAACCAGCATGGTGAATGGTTAGAGTGTCAGACTATGGACCTGGAAGACCAGGGTTCGAAACCCCCCTTGGCCACGAAGCTCACTGCAGGACCTTGGGCCGGTCACTCTCTCCAGGATCAAATTTTAATTTGCAAGATGGAGCGAAGGGCACAGTTTGTCTGTTTTTGAAGCTATTTTGTTTCTAAAGTGCTACTGTAATGAAGAATAAAATAAAAGTATCAGAATCAGAGAACTGCAGAGGTGGAAGGGAGCCCAAAGGCCATCCAGTCCAACCCCCTGCAGTGCAGGAATTAAAGACTTCCTTTCCAGAAACAAAGGATAGCTTCTGTCTGTTAAATAGTGTTTTTGCATTTTTGTAAATATCCCTAAATGCATTCAATTTATTATTCAATTAATTGCTATGAAGGCAGATGATTAATCAATTAAAATGTTGTAACTGGTTTCTAGCCCTTGTTTTAATTAATAAGTCAAGCTGTCAAACCCTAGCACTGAAAGCGGAGTAAACTCTCAAAATGCATTTCATAAATGACTGTGTGCACATTTTTTCCTACACAGAAATTACTGTGCAAAGGAAAGGTCTCAATTAATCTTGCAGCTTGGGACTCCTTACGAACTCTCAGTTGTGAGAAAACAAAACAACAAAAAGGCTCAGCTAAGAACAAAGCTGGCAAAAGCTTTAGAAGTCAGTGCTTTTGATTCAGTCAGTGCTTTTGATTCACCTACTACTCACCTGGATAAAATCCGGAAAGCGCTTTTTACAGGTAGGGCAGGTGAAACAACCATCGTTAACGTGGATCGCCACGTGATCTTTCAACAGATCCAAGCGGTCAAAGGACTCGGGGCAGAAAATGCAAGAATAGGTCTTCTGGTCCAAGTGGAACTTCATGTGACTCTCCAGGGCACTGGTATTAATGAAGCCTTTGTTGCAGATGTCACAGGTCAGAGGACAATTTCCTTCCCGCCCGTGGAACCGTAAGTGCTGATCTAACTTTTCCTTATCACGGAACGCCTTCCCACAGTGCAAGCATTTGAAGGGACGGAATGACTTTCGGATGAACAAGTGCTGGAGAGCTGCGTTCTGAAAAGATACATTAAAAAAACAAGCCGTGTCAACTAGCTAAGATTCTAGCTAGCTGTGTTTCCATAAAAAGCACCTAGGACCTATCTGCAGTCTGCACACGGAGAAACAGAAAGAGAGGTAAATGGATTTGCCTAAGGACACAACGGTGAGTCGGCAGCAGAGCCTAGGAAGACACAGGGCTTTAGTGCTTGAATTATGACTTCCCATCATTTGCACCAAGACACATTTTGACAGATTCTTGCCCTGATCTAGCAGTTTGTGGCACCACACATAGATCACTGGGTTGCTGCCCAAAGCGACTCTCCTGTGTCAGGTTCCCCCTCCTATTTCTGTTAAGGAAACACATAACATCATCATGTTAAGCGTTTCCTCCTCACCTAGCAAACCCCCTGCTTGCAAGCAAGAATGTGAAACTGGGTAAGGGAAACCCCAGATGCGTGAAGACATCACATCTGGAGGAACACTTTATGCCAGGTCAGATTAATTTGTCCATCTAGCCCAATAGCTTCTGCTCTGACTGGCAGTGACACTCGGGGATTTCAATCAAAAGAAAGAAAGGGAACCCCCCAGGTGTTTGAAATGCAATTTATTCCGGGCCCATTGCATTATGGAAGAAATCCTTCCATGGCGGAAAAACAAATGGCAGTAATTCTCAGCAAACGCATGGTGACTCCTATTCCCTGCGAGCTGCCAGGGACTGAATCTGTGACCTTCTATGAGCATTGCTACCACTTGAGCTATAGTCTCCTTAACTACAGATTAACAGGAGGGGAGAGGCTCTCCAACCAGCACAAGTTGGCCTAGCACAGAGATGGGGAAACTGTGGCTCTTCTGATACTTCTGAGTTCTATCAGCCCTAGTCCACATGGCTAATAATAAAATAATAAAAATAAAAACCGGGCTCAGGACGGCTAGCAGCAAATATAAAGCACTGATTAAAATGCGACTTAAAAACAGCATAAAATACAACATAAAATGCAGCACCAATATCAATAAAATTCAAAAATCCAGGAGTCTTTTTTTTGGGGGGGGGGGCAGTCAGTAGACATCAAATGATCACCAGGGGTAACAGGCCAAGTTGGTCCTACTAGGGCCAGCAAGGAGACCAGGGAAGAATTTAAACATGGGGTCCCAGAAAGGGTTTCTTCATAGAAGAGGAAAGGGAATAGAGGATTAAAGGTAAAGGTAAAGGGACCCCTGACCATTAGGTCCAGTCGTGGCCGACTCTGGGGTTGCGGCACTCATCTCGCTTTATTGGCCGAGGGAGCCGGCGTACAGCTTCTGGGTCATGTAGCCAGCATGACTAAGCTGCTTCTGGCAAACCAGAGAAGTGCACAGAAACGCCGTTTACCTTCCCGCCGGAGCGGTACCTATTTGTCTACTTTCACTTTGACATGCTTTCAAACTGCTAGGTTGGCAGGAGCAGGGACCGAGCAATGGGAGCTCACTCCGTCACAGGGATTCGAACCGCTGACCTTCTGATCGACAAGTCCTAGGCTCTGTGGTTTAACCCACAGTGCCACCCGCATCCCTAATAAGAGGATTAGGCTAATTCAAATTGAAAGCCAGGCAGAAAAGCTCTATCTTACAGACCCTGCGGAAGGAAATCAAGTCCTACAGGGCCCTAGTCTCGTGGCACAGAGCATTCCACCAGGTTGGAGCCGTCACTGAAAAAGCCCTGGCCCTGGTGGAGGATAGACTGGCTTCCTTAGGGCCTGCGACCTTTCAGCTATTATTATTCATGGACCTTAGGGTCCTCTGCGGGAAATACCAGAAGAGGCAGTCCCGTTAAGTACAAGGGTCCTAGTGATCACGGCTGGTAGGAGTTGTAGGACAACGATATCTGGAGGCCCAAAGCCACCCCACCCCAAGCTTGACAGCTTCTGGTCCAAGAATTGCAAGAGGCAAGCAAGTTACTCATCCTTTTTGCCAGGCAATGAAAACAATGCTTCAGCTAACTGTTACGAAGGTTTCACAGGACTCCAGCTGAAACTAACAAAGGATTCTGTTGAGAATTAAATGCATGCCACAGTGCTTTTCCCCCCCAGGGGGTAATCAAGGATACGCAGTACCGGAACCTCTTTTTTTGTTGTTAAAAAGTGTGGCACTTATTGTAACAACTTAATGGTGAGTACTGGTACCTATTTTTCTAGGGGGGAAAGCACTGGTCTCCCAGATTATTCAAAATCTGAGGCATCCAATAGATTAGGCACTAGAGCTGCAGTTCCTTAGATGCTAACTTGAATGCTCTGGGACTGCTTCTTTCCTTCTCAATGTTTTGTATAGCTGAGCAAAAAGAAAAATTCAGTTTTCATTCTGTTAATTAGACGTACATTAGAGAACCCATCATTTTCTTTTAAGTATGACTCATGATCTCTGGAAACCAAATGAATCTTAACAATGATAGTGTGAGGCAAAATATTAACCACAAACAAAACATTACTTATTCAGACTTGGGAAAACACAGGCTAATCAAACTTAGTCACAGAGAACAAAATGTGTTTAGTAGTAGAGAAACTAACGATAATTGGCTGTCATTAATACATGTGACAAAAACTCATTTAAGTAATTATGGAGTTTTTTGTCTGTAGCTTTCTCCTTTCTTGGAGCCATTTTGTCCCTTTTGTTTCTCTTTAAATACAATTACAAATACATGCTATACTTAATCTGTATGCAGGTTCATTATAGCAATAAAGGGACATTTTACTGTACCAAGCCTGGAATCACAATTAAAAAAGGGCAACAGGTAAAATTAATGCCTCCAGTATAATATTCAGGGTTGATTTAGAGTCACTAAACTCAAGGGGAATTTTTGCATGAACTTAATGGGATATAGATTGAACTGAGCCACAATAGTCTTCTTCCCACCCTGTGTGTAATTTTGAGGGTACATGCATGATTTCACATCACAAATGAGTTAATCTAGAACAACTAACCTCTACTTTATTTATGCTCACAAACAACACTGCAGATTTGGACTTAACCATTTATCCACACTGGGGAGAAATGCATCTTGTTTTCTGCTAGTGCAAGATCTTAATTATGCACTTTTCAGTAAAGATAGATGTAACATTAGGATAGTCAACGTTAATTCTTCTAAAGTCTTTCAGTTACCATGGCTCCTATTCAGTCTCAAAACTGAAACAACCAACCGAAAGGTAAATTGGAACCTTGCTGCTAAGGTGTTAGCTTTGTTGCTGCAATAAAAGCCTCAGTGCTTTTTTAATAAAATAATATTCAGATGTTTGCTACATGGTGGAAAACAGAAATGCACTCCATCCACCGCAAAAGGTTGGTGGGTTTTTTTTTTTAGATGGAAGAAGAAAACAAGTCACTTTCTATATCACAGGGCAATTCTGTGTGGGCAAGCACACAACCTTGCAAGTTTTTTGTTTGTTTAACTGAGAGGCACATGTGTCTGTCTTTAGCATTCCAAAGATTATCAGAATAATTTCAAGAATGGTTGACTTTTCTGAGATGCAGGAAGCGAAAGGGAGAGAAGGGTATTTGTGATGTCACAGGTGCAAACCAATAGGCACCCACCACAATTAGCACTTGTTTCCCTAAAACAAAGGAAATGACTTTCACTTGATTCAACCTTAAAAGGTAAAGGTAAAGGGACCCCTGACCATTAGGTCCAGTCTTGACCGACTCTGGGGTTACGGCGCTCATCTTGCTTTATTGGCCAAAGGAGCCGGTGTACAGCTTCCGGGTCATGTGGCCAGCATGACTAAGCCGCTTCTGGCAAACCAGAGCAGCGCACAGAAACACCGTTTACCTTCCCACCGGAGCGGTACCTATTTATCTACTTGCACTTTGAAGTGCTTTCGCACTGCTAGGTTGGTAGGAGCAGGGACCGAACAACGGGAGCTCACCCCATTGCGGGGATTCGAACCGCTGACCTTCTGATCGGCAAGTCCTAGGCTCTGTGGTTTAACCCACAGCGCCACCCGCGTCCCTCAACCTTGCCTATACCCAAAACATGTAGAACCACTTCATTATTTCTTCACAGCTCAGCCTAGGACAAAAAATAATAATAAAGCATGTGTGTTTGAGGGGCAGTGAAGACACTATCACACCACCTCTGTTGCTCTTCAAATGCTATGTGTACCTTCACTCTTAGTATCCACTTACGTTCATTTTAAATAGCACTAAAAAAAAAATCCAACACACACTTATGTCCTTCTAGATTAACCCATTGCAACAGAGTCATCTCTCTTAATCTCTGCTTTGGCTTCAGTGGGAACAGTTCACAGCTGGCTTTGCAGCCTTGCTTCCAAGTGTCCTGCGTGCTTCAGTAATTAAAGAGGAATTCTGATGTTGGCAGGTAGCTGGCGTGGGAGCCATTTCTATATTTTTGTACATGCAATCTCCAATTACAAGACACCAGCCCAGCAAAAGATTGAAAAGGCAGCAGGACTCCATATACCCCCACCGAGTGGGAGAAAACAGCCAAGAAAATTTGCACTCTCGGGCTGCAATTTCTCTTCTATTATTAACCATTGTCTGTTTTCCACTCTACTTCTCAGACATTAAATATTAATTCTGATCCATACCAACAAGGAGGGGGGTGGGGAATCGCAGGGCGAGACAGAGGAAGCAACTGTATTTAACCATGTAAGTTATTAGCATGCACCGCACATCACCACACATCAGGCTTGTGGAAACACTTTCACATTCCCAAGTTAGCAGTGCAACTGAACTGTGGTGAAGGAAAGTTTAATGCCACATGGACAGAAGCTCTGCTTGGAATTGGAAAGTGCCTGTCAGGTGCGTAGAGCTGGGGCTTGAGAAACACCTGCCAGGGTCTCTCCTTCAGGTGTCCTACTCAGCCTCTTAAAGAAGGTGCAGGGCAGCGCAAGGCACTGCAACATTCCCCATGGTCATAAATGTTTGTTGAAATCTGTTTAGGCTCCTTCAGTTCTGGCTATAAAAGAGAGAGAGTATTTACCTCTGCTGCTATACAGTGGTACCTCGGGTTACATACGCTTCAGGTTACATACGCTTCAGATTACAGACTCCGCTAACCCAGAAATAGTGCTTCAGGTTAAGAACTTTGCTTCAGGATAAGAACAGAAATTGTGCTTTGGCGCATAATGGAGGCCCCATTAGCTAAAGTGGTGCTTCAGGTTAAGAACAGTTTCAGGTTAAGTACGGACCTCCGGAACAAATTAAGTACTTACCCCGAGGTACCACTGTATGAGGGACAGCTGTTGCACAGCATACTATAGCTGCAATCCAAAGGGCTACATGGAAACTGGTTTCCCCCCTCTCATTCTTACACATCTGTCTCCTCGCACTGCTCTCAATGGTTAGAGCACCGTCCAGAGTAGCAATTGATGATGCCCAAGGGGATATGGTCAGAAGGAGAATTTAGACTCCCTTTGGGTTACCTATAGAAGCACCCAAGCCGTACAAGGGAGTCTATGAGCTCACGGTCCCATCTGCACTATGCATTTAAGCCCCGTGATGCTGCTTTCAGCAGCTGTGTCTTTCCCCAAAGAATCCTGGGAACTGTAGTTTTTCAAGAGTGTTGAGAGTCGATAGGAGACCCCTGCTTCCCTCCCAAGGCTACAATTTCCAGACTGGTTAAACCAGTGATGGCCAAACTTGGCCCTCCAGCTGCTTTGGGACTACAACTCCCATGATTCCTATCTAGCAGGACCAGTGGTCAGGGATGATGGGAATTGTAATTTGGGGGCAAAACTAAATTTGAGGGCGCTGGGTGGATCTTTGCACCCCGGCGGCACATGTGCTAAAGACTTCGCTGGGTCTACTCTAGGTAAAGGTTAGCCGAATGCAACCCCATGGGGCCCCAAGAGAAGTGTTTTTCTAGAATGGGGCCTTTCAGAACTAAGGAGCAGGTGGCTGCTGTTGTTTTCCTGTGCCTCTGCTGTGTCCCATAGGTATCTCTGTAGTTTCAGCCCGAAGAGCCTCGGCAGGGTACAGCAGCACTCTCCCCTCCAGCAAAAGGTATTCAGAAGCATACATACAATGGAGGAAGAATTTGTCCGTCAGGGTTGGTGGACCTTGCTAGCCTTCTCCTCCATGAATTTGTCTAATCTTCTTATAACACCATCCAAATTGGTGCCCATCACAACATCTTGTGGGAGCAAATTCCATAGTTTAGACTATGCACTGCGTGGATAATGCTTTCTTATGTCTGCCCTGAATCTTCTAACATGAATGACGAGGAAGCATGGCCAGGATTCAGCAAGAAGACAGCGAGATGTGGCATGCCAAAACTGCCAAGGAGAAAACTCAGCAGAGAGGCTCAAGCAAATGAGCCTCAACTAACACAGCAGAAGATGGAAACTGCAGACAGCAAAGTGTAATCATGCTGCAATGCGAAATACACAAGCAGACTACAGATGCCTATATAATGTAGTCCTCCAAAATGTTTTCACATAAATGATGCATTTAAAAACGACACCCGGCCTTGAATACTCAGATACTTCTCACAACATTCCATTAGAGATTCTAACCCAATGCATTTGAAGGTGAAGTCAAAAGATTTTCAGGGTTGATAAACAGTTCTTGTCCATGGTTATGCAAAAAAAAGAGTGATTTTTAAAAATACACTTTTGTATGCGAGAAAGCTTACTGTAAAACAAATTATATTTTAAAAACCTATTTGATATGCATTGCTATTTCTGTATCGGGGGAGGTGAATGTTCTTCGGCCAATAAGGAAGCATTGCCAAGGTGTACTCTTAACATGCCATCTTGCATGTGGCGCAAGTTCTTTGATGGTGTTGAATTCACCCCGGTGCAATTAACTTGCTCAATCTCTTTTGTTAAGGCATCCACACACTTTTTGAAAAAGAAAGAAACGCCAGCCCTCTGAAGCTACAAGTGAATGAAAACTCAACCTGTTTGCAGCTGTTTCTTTTTGCAACCAAAATCTTACGCACAGAAAGAAGGATGGGGTATTTAAGCTGCACAAACTGATCTTCCAACTGAACAGTTTGGAGGATTATTTGTCTTAATAATTTCCCTCTTAAACTTGACAAAAGAGTAGCACACAGTTGCCAGAAAGCATGGGCTCAGAGTATTTGTTTTTGGTATACAGAGTTCTCAATGCAGGCTTTAATATTGCAAAGGTCTGCAACCCCCCGCAAAAGAACTTTATCATTAAAAGAAATCTTTGCCTTCGAAGGAAAAATGGATATGGGCCAAGGTCATGGTGCCTCTTTGCCAATGTCTTCCAACAGCAAGAGCACAGCGACATACACACAGATGGTGCTGCGAGCAGCCCGCTAGTCCACCCCACTTCATGCGGCAGATTGGAATACGTCTGCCTGCCAGACTGGATGCACTAGATTCCCAGGAAGGACTAGCTGAGCATCATGAATCTAATCAACTTCAATTGCTGCCCAGTTCCTCCTAGCATCAGGAGAGGCACCGAGCAATTTGTGTGAAGTTTGTCTTTGCAGCGGCAGTGGGATGTGCTCAGCCTGAAATGTCACGCAAGAAGTTTAGAGATTGACACCAATTTAAGGTAAAAAGGTCAGCAGTAACCAGCAGGCAAATCAAGCATCCGCAAAGAGGCAACCATCTCTTAGCGCGAAGTCTGTCTTCTTTTTATGAGCGATGAGATGTTCTCTGCCTGAAATGTCGGGTGTAGGAAGTTTAGAAGCTGACACCAATTTCGGGTAAAAGGTCAGCAGTAACTAAGAGGCAAATCAAACCTCGAGTGGAAAATGGCTAACGAGGGGCTGTGCATACTTTACAGCAAACCACCCTTCCCCACTTTTGAACAAAGGACACTAATTCTATACCCCATATAAATTATGAATATTAAATATGTATGTCTTATCTGGCAAAAGTTACTGTTTAGAAGACACAGATTTTCATACAATTTGGAGCAGGAGAGCAAGAGAAGGCAAATAATGACAGGAATAGGGAGGAAAGGTATGGTAAATAAACCAACATAGATGGCTATGGAAGTTATCTGGGGCACTGAAACTCCAGCCACTGACTGCTAGGTCTATCAGTTGCTACCTTCTGGTGTCTGAGTCTGTGCCCCAAAATGGCTAAAGCTCTTTGTTTTACAACGTGAAATCTGAGGTTCTCGGGGCATCAGTTTTTCCACAAAATGCCGGACTCCACACTTACAAATAAGGCTACCAATTATTCTTACTAGCCCTGCTTCTGAGCCTTAGAGCAGGGGTAGTCAATATGGTGCCCTACAGATGTTGTCGGACTACAACTCCCATCAGCCCCAGCCAGAATGGCCATGGTGTTTATTAGATTGCAAGCCTGCGGGAAGGGACTGTCTGGTTTTAACAGACTGTATGTATGCCGTTCTGGGAAACTTTTTTGGCTGAAGAGTGGTGTACAAATGATCTAAATAAATAAATCATCAGCACAGATGATGAGAGCTGAAGTCCAGCAACATCTGGAGCACAGCACATTGGCAACCCTTTCTTTAAGAGATTAGCCTGACATGCATTAATTAAGGAGACAAAATCTTTTAAGCCTGGAAATATAATTATGGGGTGGGGTGTGGGGGACATTGCCTGCTTAACTTCTGCATATCAGTCTGCTGTCTAAAGGGGTTCGAACAGAGCCAGTAAAAATGGTGATGACCTTAACAGTAAACCCACAGACACGCAGGGAGCACACAGAGCCCCAGCCAGCTGCTGAGTTCTTCGCTTACCCGGATACGCTTAGCTCTCCGCATGTCGTCTGCTGTCATTGTGCTCTGGGTAGCCACCACAGTCTGTTCATGCGGCTGGAGCTGTAAAGGGTGGCTCTCGGGCTGCTGATCCAAGGATGATGGTGTCTCTTGTGGCACCGGTGTTTGTTCCTGTTGGTCTAGTCCGTTCAGCGTGGCTTGCCCAGCCTCATCAAACTGCCCCTTGCTGGAGAAATGCAGCAAGTCCTGAAATTGCAAATCAAATGGATGGTGGTCATATCGCTGCCCGCCGTATTATGGTATAGCAATGATGGTTAGGCTACACTGGTTTTGCAGAACTAAGTCCATTTCATACCAGAAAAAGAAGGGGCATGGTTTTTTATTTTATTTATTAAATTTGTATACTGCGTGACAATTTAAGATAGTCCTCCTTGTTTTGCTAATTTTTTGCAGCACAGAATTGCCGATGGGCAAATGCTGCTGAGGATATTTCTGATGCAACTTCAACATCCCTTGTATGTGTTCAGCACAGGAAATTCATTGCTGACAGAAGCTACTGAGATACCCCTTCCCAGGCTAGTTCTGAGTCAACTTTATATGGACTGGGGGAATGATCAGGAAAGCAGTTAAACAAACTCATGCTCCCAATTTCATTGGAAACGCCTTTGCCTGCTCCTACCAAACGATACCTGTGTCCCTTCCGCACATTTTCCTCCATTTTCACTGGTTACTTCTAAGCGCATAAATTTAGGAGGGCGACCCGGTCGCCTGCCTGGTCCAAATCTTCGTTTTCCTCTTCCACGACCTCTGCCTCTTGCTCTGCAAAATATATAGGAAACTGAGTTAGAGAGGGGAGCAATCTGTATTCCTAAGTCTCATGGGTCCAGTCAATGGGAACAGGCTGTACAATGGGGCTTCCAGAAATGAACAGCCAGAGGCTTCCAGGTAGCAGGCCACAAAGGCTATAACCCTCCCCTCTTGTTTGCCCTCAGCATCTAGTATCCAGGGATATGCTTCCCCTGGAACATAGTCCAGATCACTGTTGTAAACATGAACATGTCAGTTTAGATCATGGGTGAGCAACCCGCAGCCCCAGGGTCACATCCTCATTTAATGTAGCCCCAAATATCTCCTGAAATTGCCCCATTCTTCCATTCCATCCAAGGGTTGTATCCAATTTGGCTTTACTCAGAGTAGTCCCACTGGAATTAATGTGCCTAACTTAGCCATGCTCATTCATTTCAAGGGAGCTACTCTGAATATGACTAGCACTGGAGGCAACTGGAAGCTATACAGTTGTACCTCGAAAGTCACTTCCGGGTTTCAATCGTGACCCAATGACTTGGGTCAACCTATGAAACCCTAGAATGATCCCTGAACACCTCCTCTATCTCCCGCTATGCAGCATGGGGGATTCCAGAGGTGAGCGGCAACATACTATCCTCCCAGTCCCAAATGGACCTTGGGCAAAGGGGAGAGGCCTGAAAGAAGGAAACAAATACAATAGCCCTCCTGCAGTCAAGGAAGGCACCAGCCTGAAACACACTCCAAGTGGACATTAGAGGCCATTCTGCCGTTTAGTTAACTGGTTATGGTCCTGACCTTTTGAACCTCTGCAATACATAAATGTGCCCCACTCACTTCTACATGGCACAAGAGCAATCCAGCCCATTAGTGGAGAAAGGGGCTCTCACCTTTGAGCTCAGGAGATTGTGGCACACAACCTTCAGGAGAAAATAGTCTCTGTACATTCTTCTTAGGAAATCAAACTCTCTCTCTCTCTCTCTCTCTCTCTCTCTCTGTGCTTTCAAACAAGAACCTGCAGGGAACAACTCAGCTTTGAAAAGCTGAGGTTCTGCACACTTATAAATACCTGCTGAAGAAATCCAGCTTTTCATCATGGGAGTTCAGGTGCTGCTGGAGCTGCTCTGAGCTCATGAACCGTCGGTTGCACTCATAACAGGGCCAGTTTTTTTCTTGCTCTCGGAGAACTGCATTTTCAAGTTAGACCAATCGATAAGGACAACTTCAGACGCCACCAAGCTTTTCAGATTTCTACCAAAGACTCCCCCCTCCATCCTCTGTACTTTCAGGGGGCCACAGAGATCAGAATGACTAAGGAATATGCTATATACACCTTTTGCTCATAGTCTGTCTTTTATTCCCCTCTAAACACGGGTTAGGCACACAGAAGAACATAGAAGATTATAAGAAGACAGGGAATACTACATCTGCATTCCCTCTTGTTCTTACACCTTACAGAAGTGCTCAGCTGCTCTGTAGTTTACCTACTGGAAAAAGCCTTTCTGGCTGTTGCTGTAACTTAAATTCTGCACTCCAAATAAATTATTCACTACTACAACATTTATTTTGCATAAACTCACTCAGTTTGAATATTTTACTCTGAATTCAATGGTGGTTTGTGGGGGTTTTTTTTTTTGCATAACATGGGATTTTTGGCCAGGAGAGGACAGGAATTAAATGTATAAGACTACCAAGGACAGTAGGAATGGGAATGGATGGGAGGACATGCCTGGAATGAAAGCAGGAGTGTTAGGTAATCAAGCAGGGTCTTTGCTCCTGTCTGTTGCAGCGTTGAAAAATACTAGCAGCCGGTTGAATATGGTTACTGCACAAATTGCTTGAAATATACATGAGCTGCATAGATTGAACCCAGGATCAGCACATTTTCAAACCTATCTCAATCATGAGAACTAGATGCTTGAATTTTTGTTTTAAAGCAAGTGCAAATTCTGCACCATAGTGAATCACAGACAGTGAAGAGCTCAGTCTGTAGATAAGACTAGATTTCTGAGGTTTCATTTCTATCAATCTTTCCATGAAGCAACTAGAACTTATATTTGTTTTCAAGCTCCTTTTTTGCATAAGGACTCGGTCTGATAGTGTCTGTGCACCATCCATCATAGTGATGGGAACGAAAAGGGGGATTTTGTGGGTTACTTCAATTGTAGGCCGTGTTTGCCAACAGCAGCTATTACCATGTGCATCAATAAAAGGCAGCCTCTTTTCATGTGTACCACTAATTATGTAGAAGCATATTTAACAACAAACAAAATTTGGCAATGCAGCCTTAACCTAGATCCAATTATTATTTGAGTCTATCTGGAGCTAGGCATGCAAAATTCCACCTGCTAGTGCTAATTCAGTGCTGCAATATACCCTATGATTTAAACAATCAACTGGAAAAGTAAAGGAGATAAATACCTTTCCTTTCCTCTTCGGATACATCATGGATTTTCTGATTGACAAATTCAGCATATGAAGCAGCATACCACACCTGCAGCCAATTCATATGGGATTAATTAGAATTTTCACTGGAGAATCTAAAAAATTAACTGCTTGTCTATTGCAGCTATATCCTGCCCTTCCACCAAGGAACTGAGGGCAGCATACACAGAGGCCATCTTGTCTGAGAGATAGTGGCCTCTCAGCATTGCTAAGAAAGCTTCTTGGGTGAGCAGTGACTCCAAGCCATGCCATCCTGGTCCAAGTCTGACCCTCAATTCACTAAGGTAAAGGACCCCTGGACGGTTAAGTCCAGTCAAAGGTGATTATGGGGTGTGGTGCTCATCTCACTTTACAGGCCGAGGGAGCAGGTGTCTGTCCACAGTCAGCTTTCTGGGTCATGTGGCTAGCATGACTAAACCGCTTCTGGCACATGAAACACCGTTTACCTTCCTGCCACAGTGGTACTATTTATCTACTTGCGCTGGCATGCTTTCGAACTGCTAGGTTAGCAGGAGCAGGGACCGAACAACGGGAGCTCACCCCTTCGTGGGGATTCGAACCGCCAACCTTCCGATCGACAAGCCCAAGAGGCTCAGTGGTTTAGACCACAGCACCACCTGCGTCCCACCTCAATTCACTACAACACGTCTGGGCAGACAGTGGAATAGGATCTACTTGTAGATCTGCAAAGATTTCAGACTCCCAATTGTTTAACAATGACAGCAACAAAATGATTCCACCCACCCCTGCTGCCCAAATTATACAGCTGAAATAAAATGAAAAGCTGGGATGAGGATAAGCAAGAGTAATTTTTTTGTGCAGAAGGACTGCGAGTTCAATTCTGATACTCAAAGCAAATCCACAGGCTCAAGATTATATAATTCCAAATATGCTGTTTGCACTAGGCTCCAGTGAGTGGATCTTAGGGAGTTCTAGTAAAAAACAAAGTCTACCCACTACACCACACTGGCTCTCACTTGAATCAGCTAGCATTTTAATATTCATTTTATACATGGGTGACACTGACATGAAAGAGAAAGAGATGAATTCAAGTACACATGTCTTTAGTAGCTCCAAAAGTGATTTTTTTTTGTACAAGTGTCAAGAGGCCTTTTAAGTGTGCCGAGCCATGAATATTCTGAAGAGGCTGTTACTATAACAATTTATTTCATCTTATTGCACAGACAGTGTGACTGAGTGGTTCGACTCTAATCACAAATCCTCATTCACTGATTGTCACAATAGTGAAAGTACGGCAGGAGGGGCAAGCACTTTCCAAAATGCCATAAGTTATAATCTGGGGAGGAAGGGGCAAGAATACATGACTCTCCTTTGTGTCTTGGATTACATTTTTTCATGTGTTCTCCTGTAAAACCATTAAAAACAGTTGAAAACAATAAAACTATAATTCTAGCGGCTGCGCTTGGGGAATGCATTATAGGGTTCAAAACGAGATAAAGGTATGTCCAGAACACGTCCAGATGGACAATTCAAATGAGGTGTGTGTGTGTGCGTTTGTGTGTGTGTGTGTGTGTGTGTGTGTGTGTGTGTGTAGTCCACAGCATCATCTCCACCATCCTGTGGACCAGGGGTGCCAACCTGAATAAAATATTGGGGGGGAGGCAGATAAACCCTGCCCTACATCATAGGTCACATGACATGACACATGCACACTATTTAAATGGCAATGCCCAGTCGGTGGAAGAAGATTGGAAGAAATTTAAAGACTATTTACAGAAATATTGCAAAATTAATAAATGTTAGAATGATGTCAGAATGAAATTAAGTGGTCTTAGCAGCAATGTTATAAAGGTGTATGTACAAATGGATTGTTAACAGATGAGAATCTAAAGTTATAATATGTTAAGTTAAAGGATTAAGACAAAAACAAAGAGGGAAAGGAATTGCTGAATTAACTAATAGAACTGGAATACAAAAAAGGGAGATGTGAGGAAGTGAGGGAAGTAAGGAAATGAAATGTAAGTTATGGAAAGATCGATGTGGTTTTTTTTAAAGTGTTTTCTATCTTTTTTCTGTATTTTGTATTTTGTATTTTTTTTCCTTTTTTTTCTTTTTCTTTTCTTTTTATCTATGTAATTTTTTCTTTGAAACTTTAATAAATATCATTTAAATAAATAAATAAATAATGGCAATGCCCATTAACTTTTTTTTGGGGGGGGGGTACAGGGCCCTCAAATATTTCATTTGGTGGCAAAGGGACCTCAGCCCCTAGGAGTTGGCTCGTATTCTGTGGACAGAGGGAGGGAGTGGCCAAGTCAAGAGCCGATGCTGGATCACACACTACAGATTCCTTCTCGGTCCTGTCAAGATCTTGCACATTTCAAGGACTTGCAGGATTAAGGCACAAGGCAGAAAAGGAAGTGGAGAAGGCAAGAAACAGGAAAAGCCCAGATGGCGGCACTCATCTTTTGACTGCCCTCCAGATCTCAAGCTGTAAGCTTAATATAAAAAGCTATTCTCCCAACTGTTCCAAGTTCCACTTGATTTGTTTTAAGCATGGGATAAAAATAACTTTGTGGTGATTGGACTCACAAGCAGAAAAGTCAGATTATCACACGCACAGGCCAAACTGCAAACCTCAAAGGTACGCTTATTGAAGTAAATGGTGCCTCATTAATTGAGAAAAGCCAATCCCATTCATGGGCGGGCAGGGGAAAGTGCCACAAAGGGGGAAAGGGAGAGAGAATTAAAAGTAAACCAAGATGCTTCAGTGCATACTGGAGGTATATGATATCAGGCTCATCTCAACCTCCAATTTGCTTACACATTCAAGGTGAATCAGTGGTTGGAGTGAAGTGAAAGTCAACAGACCCAAGAAAGATCAAGAATTCTTGACCCACATTTCCAGCATAAGTGAACAAATGGGCTGTTATTTCTGGAAGGTTCATTATCCTATAGTGATTCAATACAGACAACAAAACATGTCGCCCATACACCTTGGAATGCCATGGTTGTACAAATAGGGCAGACATCTCAGAACAAGAACCATGGGAATGATGAATGAATAAATCAAGCCCTAAGGCTTTATCTCTCTGCTGAGTAGTAGGGAACTCTTCTTGAAGGTTGCGAAGCTGTGCTGTTTGACTCAGCAAAAAGAAGATATATAATGCAGGTTGCCCCATACCTTGAGTTCCTGTTTGGGCTCCACATTCTTAATCGTTGTGTAATAAATATGGTGGCCATACTGGTAGGCGACCAGATTCTGCTCCAGGTGATTCTGGGCTGGCCGCACAAACATCATCCAGTTGCAAAGAGCCTCGCTAGACAGTTCAAACCAGAGATCTTCCTGCAGACCCCGGTCTTTTCTGTCACCTTTGTCAAGGGACACCTAAGGCAAGATAAAATATATTATCTATAAACATATACACACAAACAAGAGGATGTCGGTGAGATGTCGCTGCTGTGTCCACAATGGAAGAAACAGTTTGCATCATAAATCCAGGTAATTAGAAGAAAAAGGGTTTATGGGGCAGACAGAGCATGAAGCTGCTGAAGACTGGCATTTGTCAGCAGCTTTTGTTAGCTTGCATCATAGTCTTGGTTGGTGAAGTCATTACAAAGAGTTATTATCTTACAGGTGATGCTGTGCTAATTGAGCACCAACCTGCAGGACTGGGTATACCTGGACCCATTTACATCTATGGGCTTAGCATAGATTACTTTATCTCAGGTCATTTATTTCAGCTGATTGATTCAAGAATGCAATCTATGCTTTCAACTTTTTGAAGGCATCTTGCGAAACAGTCATTTTTTAAGTGCACTGGGCCTCTGCTTGTGTGAGCACACGTGCATATATGTGTGTCTATCTGTCTATCTATCCATCTATCCACACACAAATACACAATTTTGGCAAGTTAGCACATACAAATAAATAATACTAATATGTATGTGTATTTACACACACACAACACACAAACACTTTCAATGGTGCCATGACCCAAGGGATAACAATGGAAGGCCTGATGGAGGCTGCTTGACCACTCCTCCCCAAGTTTAAGTCATGGATGGGGTCAGCTGTGGTGAGGAGGCAAAAATGAATGCGAGTTGAGGTGGCCCCTAATTCTGGAAGGGGCTGGCCCTGACCTGACATAAACTTTGCAAAGGAGGTGTTTTTGAACAGCTGGAATTTGAAGCCCCTTGATTTGAAGTTCAGTCCCATCACTAACATTTGCTGTTAAATGAAACTTGAATTCCGTCTGCAGAGATCTATACTTACTGCTGTCACTGTGAGCCCCCCTCCTGAAAATTGAAACCCAAAGAGGTTATAGAACTCTGACTTCCAAGTACCAGAGCGATTTCAATACCTCTGTGAGTCAGTGACCCATGCATCTACATATAGACAGAAATTTATGCCCATTGTTTTCACATTGTGTATCTCATGAAGTAGGCTCTTGTCTTCTAAAGCTCATGCCACAACAATCAGTCTTTTATTTAGCACAAGACTTATTGTTGCTCCTGATCGTTATGAGCTAGTTCTCCATAAGGAAGTGGGATTCCTGCATACTGAACGCCAAGATGCTTCTGGCACTATATGAAATGTCTTGCCTCTCCTCTATTTGCACTGTGTACTGGATGTGTATGATCACATAGTCGTGTTGATCCCATTTCTTGTGAGTCCCTGGAGTTCCTTCCAGGGAAATTACTGTACTGCACAAAATGTGTGTCTTGAAATGTGTCAGTCACACAGTAAATGCATGGTGCCTCTTTACCTTTAGATGGATATAGCAGTCTTTAAGCTCTGACTGCCTGACCAGGGGTCCTTCCACAGGGCCAAACTGTGTGCGCTTGGGAATGCGCCGCTTGGAAAACACTCCTCCCAGGAATCGGTCTATGTGAAGCACCAAAGGAAGGCTGGCTCTTGCTCTGGTCAGTACAGGCCGGTTTGGGATCGGGTGCAAGGGTCCATGCTTTGGGCAAACGGAGGGGTGTGCATTATTACACTCTTCACACCCTGAAAGACATAATTGGAAAGGAGAGGAATACATGACACAGTCCCACATCCCATTTATATTAAGGTTACCAGATTTTTTTTCAATGAATCCAGAGACACTTTTCAACTTCAATGGGTTCTGTATGGGGACTGATTTGTAAATCTGGGGACTGTCAATGGGAAACGGGGACGTCTGGTAACCTTAATTTATATACTAGAAGCAGGAAGCACAGAACCTGGAAACTCTCAACCAAATTCTAGCAATGAAGGCCTCCACGTTCAGAGTAGCTAAAGGACACCTATTGTTTGAAAGGGTTGTCCCCATTGCACAAATCCTCAACCTCATGGGCTTAGTTGGAATCAATCCATCTCCAGATCAGTTGGATCTCTGGGATAGTGGAGGAAAGATTCTCCTCCTCTCCTGAGAAGCAGCAGCACCTGGCTGTTGACTTTTAATGCAGAGAGCTTTGTCCTAAAGATTCCAACAGGGAAAGGTTGTAGAAAAGCTCAGAGGAAAGTACCCCAATCCCACTTGGCTTGTTCCACTGCCTTCCACTCCCCTCTGCCCTCCACCCCCCCTGCACAATTCAGATGAATAAACGATTCTTCGCGCGCACCCCCACTGGTGCTGAGGAGGCAACTTGTGCCAGCACTAGTAGCATTGCACTAGATCCTGACTTAGGCCACTGCGAGCACCTGACTAAGTAGACAGATCTATTTGTAGATCTCTGGGTGATTTGTAGTAGATTGCCAAGGTTTTCTTGACTCCCAATAGTTTAACAACAATAGAAACTAAATGACTATCCCCATCTTTATTGGGCTACTAAAATGCAGAAAGCTAACCAGGAGTAAGTGGATTGGACTGTGAGCTTGGTTCCAGTACCAAAAATCTTTTCCTAGAGTCAGAACGTGCTCAGAAACAACTTGCCATAGGAACATAGGAAGATGCCTCACACCAAATCAGATTGTTAGTCCACCAAGCTCAGTGCTGTCTGCACCGATTGGCAGTTTCTCTCAGAGGGTCTCTGACATGGATCTGTGTCCAGTCCTACCTGGAGATGTCAGAGACTGAACATGGGACTTCTGCAGATGCCCTGCCATGGAGCTATGGCCCTTCCCATATTCTCTAATTCTAAATGTTAGTCTTTGGTGCCTGGCACTGGTTGATAAGATTTCAGGGTTCAACTAAAAACAAAGTAAATCCAACAAGTGACCCTACTTCTCTGGTTCAGTGATGCTAGTTTCAACACTCCCCTTGCTTCCAAGTACCGATTCCTGGAGTGCAATTCAAATGAAATGGCTTTGGGTTCATTCCCATATTGCAGTGGTAAGCCAATGAAAGGAAGAAGAGGCGTAGCAAAAACAAGACACTCTTGAATGCTTACACAGGTCATTTGGGTCAAAGGGATGAGGTGGATCTGGATCCCATTCATCCATGTCGGTATCTTCTCCCTCTTCTTCCTCATCTTCCTCATCCTCGTCGTCGTCATCATCCTCATCATCCTCATCATTTTCCTCTTTCGCTTCCGTATCACTTATTGGGTTGTGCAAAGGTTCTAGAGGACCAGACTCATCCACGGCCTCCATAGGAGGCAAAACTTGGCTGTGCACTGGTATTGATACCTAGGGAGGGGAAATCAGCAAAAATGTGCTGTGATCCAGAGCAGCAAACCAGAAAATAATAGTGATCATATCTCAGCTAATACCAGTGGCATCTGGGGTTGTACCCCTTGCTAGCCCTGCTCAGAACAGACCCAGGGAAGTCAAACTGCTTTGAGTTTTGTTTTGTTTTTGTTATTACAATCAAGCGGTGTGCTAAATTTATGAATCAAATAAACAACAAGCATGACTAACTCAGGTTCATTCATTTAAATGGGTCTGTTCTCAGTAGAAGTTAGTTGGAAATGACCCAAGATTGGAGAAGATGAGGGATACCTAAGCAGGGCTTCAATTTTTGCCTAGAGCAAGTAGGACAACTTGGTGGTGTGAGAGATGGGTGGTAGGCAGCATGGCGGCTGAATCCTCTACTGCCACATTTAATGTTGAAAGGGATGCACGCTGGGCCGGCCCTACCATCAGGGCGATGGAGGCAGCTGCCTTGGGGAGTGGACACTAGGGGAAGAAAAGAAGTGTTGGAGGATAGCACAGGGTGGATCACACAGGCTTTAGTTTGCTCTTTAAGCTGCCCTGCTGCCATTGGACACTGCCACATTTCTGACTACAGGTGGGCTCAGATCTCATGTAATTCACTCTCCACATTGTTCAGGCATAGGAGACAATTGCCAGGTGGGGAACTTTACTAAGTGTGTGAAAATATATCTCAGAGCTATTAAGGGTCTGGTGGACAGTGTTACTCTTGATTCTAGAACAGCTGGCTTCAAATGCTTTTGCAACCGTGAACACAGTAGGCATCTTGAGCCAAGTCACCGTCTCAGGTCTATTTGCTGTAAAGTGAGAGAACAGCAAGAAGCTGCTTTCACGAGACCAATGTCTTATTAAGCCTTGCAAAAAGTATTCAGCGCACTAATAATGATGGAGACTGGCAAGAAGGCGGCATTAAATCAGAAAAACCTTTGGCTCCCCAGAAAGGCTTTTTGCAACTCAGCTTACGCCTTTCCTTATTCCATCTCCAAGTGAAGCCACCCAGGGTCTCCATTTTCTGCTTTAATTAGTTTGACATTAAAATATGCCCTCAAAATGGTCCTGGCTATAATTTTCTCACTCCATGAAAGCAAGAGAAAACAACACCAATGCACTCAAAACACAGGGTTCGGTTAAGAGACTAGCTAATTAAAATCTAAAACCTTTGTAACAAAAAGCAACCTCCTAACTGCTTAAGGGCAATGGGTGCTCTAATTTTAAAGAGTGTTATATTTTATTTTCTATGAAGAGAAGAGTTAAATGCCCATAGTGCACTGCAGATGAGGCAGAAATCGGTATAATAGGTGTGTTGTGTAGGGGGAAGGGAATTGCTGTAAGAGAGCTTAAGGAACAGGCTACACACACACACACACACACACACACACACACACACACACGTCACAAAGCATTACAGTCTTTCAATAAGTTAGAAGTGAAACCTCAGTGCTAGGCATGCTTAGAGCTATGTATATTTGGCATTTAAATAAAATGAACCCAAATTCTGGGTCAAGGTAGCCAAAATGCTGCTTTTTCAAATAAACAAACAAATAAATTTGTGAGCTGAATAAATTATGCTAAATTCTTCAATCCAAAACATGGTGCGAATAAAAATCTGCCTGTGCTGGTTTATTATACTTCTTCTAGGCCTAGCTGGAGAATAAAGTGGAACGCAGATGAAGTCCCCACAGACTAGCTGCAGGAATGCTGGCTTCTGAGATTCCAAAAGGCATTGCCAGATGTCTATTTAAGCTTATCTTCACAGTCAACAATAAGGACTAGACTTTTGTAAATCAAGAAAATCTTTAATAAAAATACATTTTAAAAAAACCAATAAGGACTAGAAACCTGCAGGGTTTGCTGTTATTGCTTTTTATAACAGCTTATTGGAATGCTGAATTTTGCACTAAATAACAGAACTCCCTGAGGGTGTGGCATGACTGCAAAAGTATAGAATGCACATCAGCATTTTCCAAACCATGTTCTGAGAACACTTATAGTTTCAAAAACGCTTTAATGTTTCAATTTTTAAAAAATTTTTTAATGTTGTATTTTAATTTTGTTTTTAAGTTGTAATCATTCAACTTGTTTTTATTATTGCTTGTAAGCCGCTCTGAGCCCGGCCTTGGTTGGGGAGGGCGGGGTATAAATAAAAAAAATATTATTATTATATGAATTCCTCAATGGCAGATAGGCAATCTGTAATCCATCTTGCCTACCACTGTCAATCCTTTCTGTACTGACACAGGTAAATGTTCAAAAGACAGTTGAGCATAATTTACCAGGTGAGAATTTCTGGTTAAATTATCAGTTGTGTTTTTTTAAAAATAATAATAATAATCTACCATGACTGGCCATGAATGAATCAGTTATCTCTTATCGTCATTATTATTTAATTGTAAAAAATTAATATTACTTGGTTGCTTTTGACCTGATCTTAGTGTAACTCTGCTGAGCAGTTTTAGAGTTTCTGCTAAATTCCCTGATCCGTAGCCACTCAGAGGTAGATTTTTACTGTATATGCAGCTTATTTTATCTAGTCCTATGAATTATTAATAATAATAATAATAAATTTTATTTATATCCCGCCCTCCCCAGCCAAAGCCAGGCTCAGGGCGGCTAACAACAAACAAATAATCAAACAATCAAATAATCCAACATTCTAACATTTCATTATAAAATTAATTAAAATCAAATTAATGGCAACCGTTAAGCAAAGTTCTGTGCAGGTTGCCGGAGGTGGGAGTCAGGCTGGGCCCTGACCAAAGGCCTGGTGGAACAACTCTGTCTTGCAGGCCCTGCGGAAAGATGTCAGGTCCCGCAGGGCCCTAGTCTCTTGTGACAGAGCGTTCCACCAGATTGGAGCCGCAGCCGGAAAGCCCTGGCTCTAGTTGAGGCCAGCCTAACTTCTCTGAGGCCTGGGACCTTCAGGATGTTTTTATTTGCAGACCGTAGGTTCCTCTGTGGGGCATACCAGGAGAGGCGGTCCCATAGGTACGAGGGTCCTAGGCCGTATAGGGCTTTAAAGGTTAAAACCAGCACCTTAAACCTGATCCTGTACTCCACCGGGAGCCAGTGCAGCTGGTATAGTACCGGATGAATGTGATCTCGCAGCGAAGACCCCATAAGGAGTCTCGCCGCGGCATTCTGCACCCGCTGGAGTTTCTGGGTCAGTCTCAAGGGCAGCCCACGTAGAGCGAGTTACAATAATCCAGTCTGGAGGTGACCGTCGCGTGGATCACAGTGGCTAGGTCAGGGCGAGAGAGATAAGGGGCCAACTGCTTAGCTTGGCGGAGATGAAAAAATGCCGCCTTTGTTATAGCTGTAATCTGCGCCTCCATAGAGAGGGAGGTATCGAAGATTACACCCAAACTCTTAACGGACGGTGCTGGCACTAATTGCACCCCCGCAAGAGATGGGAGTTGCCCCCTCAATCCCATATCGTCCCGTCCCAGCCAGAGGACCTCTGTCTTCGAAGGATTTAACTTCAACCGGCTTCCGCGTAACCATCCAGCCACAGCTTCCAAACATCTGGTCAGTGTGTCTGGGGCCGAGTCAGGATGGCCATCCATCAACAGATAGAGTTGGGTGTCATCGGCATACTGATGGCAGCCCAGCCCAAAACTCCGGACAAGCTGGGCGAGGCGCATAAAGATGTTAAAAGCATCGGGAGAGTATCGCACCCTGAGGCACTCCACACACCAAGGAGTGGCGGGATGACAATTCCCCCAAGCGCCACCCTCTGTCCCCGACCGGAGAGAAACGAGCGCAGCCATTGAAGGACTGTGCCCTGGATCCCCACGTCGGCAAGGCGGTGGTCCAGGAGTTCGTGATCAACCATGTCGAAGGCTGCTGACAGGTCTAGAAGAATCAGCAGCCCCGACCCGCCTCGATCCAGCTGCCTGCGGAGATCATCTGTTAGGGCGACCAGAGCCGTCTCGGTCCCATGACCAGCGCGGAAGCCAGACTGGAATGGATCCAGAGCCGAATTACACAAGTTTGATTGTTTTTAAATTATATCCACCTTTACGAACAAGTTCCCCTGAGGGGGCTAACTACAAAAAAGGAAAGAAATAAAACAGTAATACAGCAAATGAAATATGCAGCAGACAGTTTTTTTAAAAGGAGAGTCAAATTAAAACCAAACCACAAGGACCTTGGGAAATAAAACAGTTATCAAGTCACATCCAAAAGGTGATAAAAAGGGGGCTGGCAGGGCACTGGGAAAGGGATTTTGCAATGCTGGAGCCACCACAGAGGAAGCCACGTTCTAATCCCTGCTAATCTAATCTCTACCAGTAGTAGGTGAGAGAGCAAAGCCATTGAGGCAGATAGTAACATTCTGGTAGGGTGATGCGGGTTATCCTAATATATGGTTCACTGCTGATGCGATGTAGTGCGTAACTGGTGCTGCCTTTGGAGCCATTATTTTACCTCTGGGCTAACCCTCTTCCCCCTGCTATTTTACACCTGGCTCCAGGTGGCTTCTGAATGAACACAACAAAAGCCGACCCTCAAATTTTTATTGGTTTGTTGGGTCCTGGTTTCTTTTAATGGGGGCATGAAATGGAGAGTTCAAATGTAAAAGCAATGGGGCACCTGGCAACTTACTCTGTCTGCTTGAGGGTCCTGCTCCAGAGCCGCTGAGGGGTCGGCAACGCTGCCAAGCACAGAGAGGTGGGTGGGATTCATGCTCTGAGCAGCAGCAGCAGCAGCAGCATCAGGAGGAGGAGGAGGAGGAGTAGCAGGCAAGAGCACAGTTACCTAAAATCACAGGCACTCGTTTTAGTCCTGTGGCATCTCCATCATTCAGATTTGTCTGGCTACAGCAAGTCCTGAAAGCCAGGTCTTTTAGGTTGCAAAATACAGTATCCGAAAGGTGTCTGAATGGGTAGAGGCAGGTGTCAGTAATTATTTAAAACTTCGAGAGACAATGCAGATATAACATCCCCCCCATCCCTATGTGAGTTTCCTTTCTGCTATAAAAATACAGTGGAGCTGCCTGTGTAACTGCTGTAAGTTAGGAACTAGAGGAAGTGGCCCTATCCTGAGTCAGTCCTCTGGTCCATCTAACTCAGCACTGTTGGCACTGACAGTGGCTCTCCATCACTACCTGGAAATACCAGGGATCAAACCTGCGACCTTCTGTATGCAGAGCAGATGCTCTACCACTGAGCTACAGCCCTTCCCCAAGTTAATGTGGGCCTTTACAAATGATCCAGTACAGGTCAGAAACAAGTTATATTTATTTATTTTATTAAATGTGCACCCTGCGTTTCTTCCCAAAGCAGCCCAGGGTGGAGATGCCAGTTTGAGAAGGGCGAGGGAGTTGCCCGAGGCGTGCACAATGGCATGTTGCCAAAACTCATATTCTACAAATCCTCCTTTCCCTCTGGGTTGATAACTGGGGAAGGGCGATGGCAACCCCCCCAAAAAAGAGCCTGATTTCGACTAGAAGAAACCTTGTGCTGCTGTTGAACCCCATTCCAGAAGATGGTACCAGTGTGTCTCCCCTGGAAAATTATTATTACAAGATATATATTTAATCCTTCCAATATGCCAACCCTTATAGCATCAAATAGCTGTTCTCCCTTAGCCTTTTCAGCTTTATCTCCAGAATAGCTGGAAATCATGGCCGCAAAAGGCTTTATGGGATAAAGTGACCACAAATAAGGGGGGGAAGAGAGAGAAGTAGAAAGGGGCTGACGTGAACAGAGTGGTTTTTCCCTGTTGCCAGGCACACACCCACAAGGCATCATTAGCACACTTCCAGGCGTGCTGGCAGGGAGGAGTCAGCCCAAAACCTGCCACTGCAGGGTATCAAAACAGCTTACAAGCAAAAACACCCTTAGTGAACTCTTGTTTCATCCCGGTTACATATGTTGGGAGAAATCAAGAGATGAATACACTAAGGCTTTTGAAGCGCTAAGAGTTCAATAAGTCTTTCCAAAAAAACAGCAGGGACCTTGATTATTATTTTAGCAGCTAAAGTAGTTCAGGGAATTCTCACAGGAAGAGGGTACATGCAACACCTGCAGGGCTAGCAGCTGCTCTAATAAAATGATAACCACTCACAAACAAACTGGAAATCTCTCCATGGGAACATTTGGTTTGCCAAGAGTGCTGCTGTCTAAGCTGCACAGGGCCTTTAGCAAGAGGACTTAGGATACAACGATAACGCACTCGTGACACTTGCATGCTTTTCCTATTATCATCAGTCAGCGTAAGGAATGCATGCACCATTGTTAAATATACATGACCTGCATCACATACGAGGGGATGTGTGTGTTTAGGTTGTTGCTACTCTTGACCACTGCAAGCCTGCTGAAATAACACACGCGCACAGAAAGAGGCAGGGTGCAATTTGTTTCTTCTGGCCTAAAGAAAAGGGACTGAGGGAAAGACTTGGATGCCATCCTGTTTTTACCACAGAACAGGAATGTAGCATGTTGCAGCCTTCATGTCATGCTGGTTAATGTCAAATATGTGGCATTGGACTCTGTCGTCTGTGGACTCCTGTGTCTTGACTTCGAAAAGTTTGAGAGATGTTCATTCCTTTGGCCCACTCATTATGCATCTCGCTTTCCACAGTGAAATTCAGAGTTATTGTATTTTTCCAAGTTCTTTTGGTTATACTGCTCTGTAAAGCACCATATACAATGATGATACTAATAATAATAGGTTTAGGGGAAATGTGGGAAAATGGGCCTGTTTGTATATTCTGTCCCTACCGTTTGTGTTGAATCCACCCCATCACTATTTACTTCAAATTAAAGGCAACATTCTTTTGATCCTGAATATTGTTTTTTATTCTTGTTTATAGTGAACATTTTATGCAATTTTTTTTTACAAAAAAACTTCATAGAAGCATAGAGTTGGAGGGGATAATAATAATAGTAATAATAATAATAATAATAATAATAATAATAATAATAATTTATTTTCTCAAGGGTTAACAGAAGAAAGAGCTATCAATCTGTCAATCCTTTCCATGTCCAAGCCAGGTGTTTATTACGTGCCCCCTTTCTCTTTTTCCATAAATTAATTCTTCTATTTTTGACCAAAAAAACATTCAAAACTTACATTAACATTTTTAAGAAATGCAAGCTTTATCAAACATTGATATAGCAGGTGTATGTTGCCAGTAATTCACATGTATTCCTTCCCACCATCTTTTCTTCCTTTAAAACATCATTCATAGTTTTCAGCTTATTGTTCAGTCCTTCCACTGCTTCCATTTGCCTTTTTAGTGTTTGAAGCAAAAAGGATTCAAATTCAAAATGATTCTTCATGACACTTGCCTTAATAAATCCTGTCATGCTGCAATTCTCTAAATTTGTCTTTCTTATTGCTGCTCAATGAACACACATCTGTTAAGCGTGTTTTTCTTTGTTGTTCTTTTTCCCAAATAAACCTGTATTTTTTGTTTGTTTGTTTTACTATGCTCCTAAACAGTTTACTAACATACTTCCTCTCTTCTTCACTGCTGGCATTTTCCTATTGTTTTTGTAGCTAACCTTGCATTATATGTTTCTTAGGATGCAATCCTGTACAGTACTTGAGATCTGCTTGCTGATGGGCTCTGGCAGAAGCCCCACAGCACCAGTAGCACCTAAGATGCTTTTTAGGGTATACTTGAAGCTTTTGCTAGAAACTACTTTGGAAACCAAAAGAGCCATCTGGGACTAGCAGGGAGATGGAACAGGGTGACAGGAACGAACACACACACACAAACCCTCTCTGGGATCCTAATCCTGGACCCCCCTAACCCAGGCAAGGACCTTCCCAGCCCACTAGATCTCTCCCAGAATCATTGGCTAACCACTCTCTTCCTCCACCCTGACTTGGCCAGGGCACTCTCTGCAGGGCCCATGAAAATGAACCTGATCTGAAACAGAGATTGGGTCCATTCAATTTACCAAAGGCCTTGTTCAGTGCCCACAAGTGAGCTCTGGGCTTTACTGGATATGAGGTAGAGATACAATATTCCATTAAAAATAAAAAATGCCTGTGCTTCTCATATTTTTGTCTTTGGACCAACAGCCTGGCTACACATTACACTCACCAAATAGAAAACTGCCAGGCTATAGAGAGCTCTGAAGGCTTCCTCCCAACAGCTGGCAGTCAAGGAAAGCTGAAGGCACCTCACTTGAAGTCATACTAAAAAGGAAAGAGACATTCTAGTTATCTCATTCAGCTAATCACCCCAGCTGGTTGGGGAGCAGGGGAGATTAGATGAGAGAGATGAGAAAGAACCACAAAAGCCCACCAGGTAGCTACCTCTCTTTCTCTCTCAGTATGAATACGTATAAGCTAAAAACCCTCCCTTAACTGTCAGGAGGGAGGCTGGAAAATTCAGAGCCACCAGAATCCGGCTGCTTTTTGCTTGGTGAGGGTAGCATGAGGCCAAGCACTAAAGCATCAAACCATTTATTTGGGGAAATCCCTTCCAAAAAAACAGCCCAGTGTCTTCTAATCAGTGGTGGGTTCACACCTATAGTACCAGAGGTTTCCAGAATATTAACTGAAATGTATCGTCTCACTTTATAAGACGCTAACACAGCTATCAAATCATTTCGAGTGGCTATTCCACAAACCTGTGTTGTACACAGTGGTTTAGGACTGAAAGGATCTCAACTCTTGGACCTTAACCATCCCATTTTCTGTGCCATGGGAGATTAAATGAGAAGCTAGTTCTTTTCAAATACAGGGTCCCCCCCCCTCCCTTTTGCATCCTCGAATCCTCACATCCCCAGTCCTCAATTTCATGCTACTCCTAGTCAATTTCACACTAGTGAACACATCAAGCACAAAACTAGGACTATATACATCAGACACAGCAGCAAGTAATTGGAATTTTTAGCTTTTACAGTTATATCCCAAATAAAAACTCGAAAAAGCTTCTGCCTGTATAAACGAGGAAATTCTGTTATCTCCCAATTATGTGGGTGTACAAACAAAACAATAAAACAGGTTGGGGGTTTGTTTGTTTTTTGATAACTTAAATGAAAGATATAGTAGTATTTTTTCAGAACAGGAAATCTTAGTTAAGCAGTCCTCTTAACATTCTTAAAACTGACCTTACAGGACATTCTTTAGTTTAGACCAGGGGTTGTCAGCCTGGTCCCTACCGCCCACTAGTGGGCGTTTCAGGATTCTAGGTGGGCGGTAGGGGGTTCTAGGGCACGAGCTGAATCCTCCTTCCATCGAGCACTGGTGGGCGGTAAGGAAATTTTACCATCCAGAAAGATGCATTAGTGGGCGGTAGGTATAAAAAGGATGACTACCCCTGCTTTAGCACACTAGGTGGCCTTTTGTCATGTTAGCTGGCTCAAGAGCACCTTAACAATTTAAGACACCTGCTGGATGAAGCCAAAGGCCCACCTATTAACTCAGCATCCTGTTCTCACAGTAGCCAACCTGATGCCTGTGGGAAGTCCATGAGCAGGACCTGAGTGTGGCAGCAACTCTTCCCACTTAGGATTGCCAGTAACTGGCATTCAGAGGCATATGACAGCCATTGATAGCCTTATCCTCTATGAATTGGTCCAACCTTTTAAAGCCACCCAAGTTGGTGGCCACCTCTAATCTTGCAGGAGGGAGTGAAATTCGTAGTTTAGCTGTGCCCTATGTGAAGAAGTACAGTGGTACCTCGGATTGCAAACGCTTTGGGTTACAAACGCTTTGGGTTACAAACTCTGCTAACCCAGAAGTAGTTCCTCGGGTTGCAAACTTTGCCCCAGGATGAGAACGGAAATCGCGCGCTGGTAGCGCGCTGGCAGCAGGAGGCCCCATTAGCGAAAGCACACCTCAGGTTAAGAACAGTTTCGGGTTAAGAACGGACCTCTGGAACAAATTAAGTTTGTAACCCAAGGTAAAGGTAAAGGGACCCCTGACCATTAGGTCCAGTCATGACTGACTCTGGGGTTGCGGCACTCATCTCGCTTTCAGTTTCCGGGTCATGTGGCCAGGATGACTAAGCCGCTTCTGGCGAACCAGAGCAGTGCACGGAAATGCCATTTACCATCCCACCGGAGCGGTACCTATTTATCTACTTGCACTTTGACGTGCTTTTGAACTGCTAGGTTGGCAGGAGCAGGGACCGAGCAACAGGAGCTCACCCCATCACGGGGATTCGAACCGCCGAGCTTCTGATTGACAAGTCCTAGGCTCTGTGGTTTAACCCACAGCGCCACCGCGTCCCTAACCCAAGGTACCACTGTACTTTTATTTTGTCTGGTCTGAATCTTCCAACATTCAGCTCCACTAGATTTCTCCACACCTTCTATACAGAGCTATCATAGAACTGCAGAGTTGGAAGGGACCCTGAGGATCATCCAAGTCCACCCCCCCCTGCAGTGCAGGAATATGCCATTGTCCCAGAAGGGGATCAAACCTGCAACCTTGGCATTATCAGCACCATGCTCTAACAACCTGAGCTATCCACTCACTTACCATTTTTCTAAACTGAAAATTTAGGTTTCTCTGTGATTGCCACCGTGCTAGAACTGCATGACTATGGTAGGAAACAAATGAGTCCCTTCAGAAAGGTGAATGTACATTCACGCCAATCCCACTATAATCTCTCGTGAACAGGTTTTGCAGAGACAAGAACAGGACAAAATAAATGCATAGCCCATCAACAGACACATGTAAAGCTCAACCGAAAAGCCTGAACCTTACCTGCTGTGTCGCTGCATCCTGCTGGACGTATGCCACTTGGGACGGGTCTGTAAACAAAGTCTGAACAAAATAATAAAGAATGATTAAGAGGGTCTCGGTAACGCTTGGTTATACGAAGCTCACAGTGACAGAACAAACTTGCTGAAAGGAAGGTGGCATTGGACAAATGGCTGATTCCATTCAATTTCCATAAGGCCAGTTACCTTGGCCACTACAGTGTATTTATGAAATGCACTCTTAGTGCCAACAGTCCACCTATAAAGTGTGAGGTGGACTTCTGAAGGTTGTAAGCAAAGCACGAAGCACTTGCAATTGAAGCTGCAACATGCTAGGGAATGTGTTCAGAAAGGACTCGTAACGGTGTCCTACATGCCAGGTAATGAAATTCCTGCTGATTTATTGTCCAAGGTTGTTCCAAGGGGTCAACACTGTACCTATATACAGAAGTTGGGTTTGTACTGAGATTGTACTAACACGCTGCCCAGTGGTGTTCACAGAAAGGAGGAGGATGTTAGTTTCTGTTTCCTCACTGTGCAGCTGCTTGCAGTCACAGGACTCTGTTTACATTCCACAGAGTCCAGATACTGTTGGATTCTCACGGGAAAGGGAGACGGGATGTGATGTTACTGGTTTCCTGTTTCCTTTGTTCCTTTGCTTTCTTTGCTCAGTTGCTCTCTGCTTCTCACAGACAGGAGATGTATATTTCTTTGCTCTCTGTATAGCTTAGTAATGAAGTATGGCAATGTAGCCCATACTACCTCATCCTTCCGTTGTGGACTTCGTTGTTTTAATGCTCTGCTGGGAGGGCTCAGAGGAAGATGAGCCTTATCAGCTCGAACGACCGGAGCTGAAATCCCAATAGTGGTGGTGTTACATTGACAGAGCAGCTTCCATCTCGAAAGCACTTAACACAAATTCCAAATTGTAGCAGGTTGTTTGCACGTGCTTTCTCTCTCTCTCTCTCTCTCTACGTCAAGACTCAAGAGCACTCACATTAAAGCTTAAAAGCAAAATCCTGCTTGACAATTTAAGCCAAGGGGTAAAGAAGTAGAAGGACCTGATTAAAACAGGAACAGTAAAGCACCCAAATGGAGTGCAATTAAGATGGGGGGGGGGGGAATAGGAACGGCAGCGTAAGGAAATAGAGGATGGACTGGGGTTTGGGAATTTAGTAGGCTACTGTTACCAGCAGCTATATGGTTTGTCTAAATTAGAACAGCAGTTCTCAAACCATGTTCCTAGGGTTCATTAACAGCTTTTTAGAGGTCTCCCAATGAGAAGATCAGTAACAATAGATATGCTCTCCTGAAAGACAGCTTTCCAACCACTACTGATCTTCCCCAGCAATGTGCAAACACAGAAGTGTTGAGTGTGATGTTGCATTTCCATCTAGAAAGTACTAACACAAATTCCAAAGTGTACCAAGTTGTTTGTGGTTTCTCGCTCACTGGAGAATCCAAACAAGTCTGATTAGTAAAGATGCAAAGGGCTGTTGCTCAGCAGCACTGCAATGCTTTGCATGCAAAAGGTCCAAGGTTCAATTGGTGGCATCTCTAGGCAAGACCACCATCTGAAACCCTGCAGAGCTGCTGCCAGTCAGTGTAGGCAGTACTGAACTAGCTAACCAGTGGTCTGACTTGTGTCAAGGCAGCTAGCTCCCTGTGTTCCCCTCCCCCATAAATGCACACCCTAGAACAGGATCCAAGGTCCTCCGCAATGCACAAGTAATGCATAGACCATGCAAACAAATCATTGTTTCAAATATTTCCTAAAGGCACCAAGTTTGAAAACCTATCAATAGATTGGTCCAGTTCAAGTCTACAGACTAGTACAATTGTTAGAAAAATACAAGTTCCAATGCCCAAATTATTAGTAGTTACCTAAACTTGGCTATGCAAATAAGGAATCTGAAAAGAATGGATTAGCAACTCCCTTGTTTTACAGAACACTGTGATGGCTGATATTGTTGCGCTGATTACTCATGTCATCTTTTGAAGGGGAAAAAAGGCTAAATTATTCCAGTTTCAGAGAAGCGAAATGGACAGGGCTTCATACTCAATAGCCTCCCAGCATTTTTTGATTACAACATCTGCACTCCCATTTAGCATGAAAAGTCCAAACTCCCCCTTCGCCAATGGCTAGATGATTATGCACAGCTGAGGACTATTAGGCATTCACACAGCTTTGCAGGCAGCTGGCCCAAGTTCTGAATGAAATTATTGCTCTTTGCAGCCACGAGTAGACAAGAGACAGGGAATGTGAGATGTCACATGCCTGAGTGGCTTCCACGGGGTGGATGTACACCAGTGTGTGCTCCGAGGTGTCCACAGAGGTGTAAGATGTGCCATCGGCAGTGTAGACCACCTGCTGCGAAGGACGGTCCTGATCATCGCTGTACACAATCTGAGCCACAGTTCCACCTTCAGGGACAAAGTGGACCTGGAGAAAGGGAAGGTGAACAGGGGCAGAGAAGAAATGTTAGGAACTGTCCAGACACAAAGCTGTGCATAAGTATGTATGGTAACACTTACATACGTACAGGCTACTCCCAGTTCACGTGGGGGTTACATTTCAAGGCACTGTGTGTGTCAGTGCAATCATGTATATCTGAAACACCATTGAAAAAGCCTGCAAACACACACTAAACCTCTGAAAACCCCTGAAAAAAACACCTTAAAAACCAGTAGCACTTACCAGACTGGTCAAACTCCACAATCACTCCTTCCAAACCTCCCTGTTCAAACAGCAACTCTCCACAGGCCTCAACAGTCAGTGCAAGGGCTCCTGGGTTTGCTAGGCACTGTTTGCGTGCCTTTTTTGCCCCCTTTGGGCTCTTCTAGTGCTGTTTTTGCACTTTTATATTCACTTCTTCGTTCAGCACAACGCACGCTTGCGTGGTTCCGTGTCAACTGCATGCACATAAATGGGGAGTTGCCTGTGTATCCCTAGTAATATTCCAGACTACATTGGCAACAGAATCAGCTCAGAAAAAACCAAAAAACTAGGTGAATAAGAAAGCCTAACCTAAAATGCCACTTTTGTTGAAAATTTGGTACTGAAATCACCAACAGTTCAATCCAAGACCCAGTTCAACTGGGATATTTTGAACGAAATCAGTTTAGTACCATTGAGGTCAATTACAGCTGTTTTCTTTCCTAAAAGGCTTTGCACCTCTATCAGCTTCATAGCACATAAAAATCCAATAGATATAATACTTGCAGGCATGTAGGTGAAGGGAAAGAAACTAGGCCTGTTGGATTTCTACCTGCTATGCAGCTGTTAAAAGTACAAATCCTGTATCAAGGGAAAATAAATAATAATAATAATAATAATAATAATAATAATAATAATAATAAATAATAATAAGGGAAAAGGGGACAACCCTAAGGATACTTGGCACATATGAAATTTGAGCCTAATTATTAATCTCCAATGGCCCTACCAATACAAAACAGTCCTTAACAACTATTTTGTGAAGTACAGCTATTAAGTTATAAATGACAGAATGTGCTATCCTCAAACCCTCCATTTCCTCTCTTATCTAAGTATGTATAGTATTACATTATATATGTATAAGAAATACAACGTAACTTTTTAAAAGTAATGTAGACTGATAAGATTTATGGGAAAGGTGATATTTCTAATAAGCTGGAACACAAATGATAATGTCTCTTTTCTTTCTTGTGTTATAGCCACTTTAAAAAAAAACAATTTTTTTTTAAAACCAACATATTTTATTTGGTGTATCTGAAACCTTAGGAGAACTTCATAGAACAAAATCTATAGCAGGGAAATTTCTGTATCATGCAAAAATCGAACCCTCAAGACAGCTTCACATATCTCCAATAACTACACACACAAATCCCTTTAAGAAGCAGTTTGAGCTACTGCAAGGATGCCCTATTCATATACACAGACTGCATGAACATCAGCAGTTAGGAAATGCAATAAGCACTAGTCACCTGAGCAGTATTCTGCTCCTGCTCAGCTGATTCAGACCACACCTGTGCGGTTTCCTCTTTCAAGTCGATGTCGTCCCTGCTGTCGGGCTCCATAGTGTGATAACTAATTATCGAAACTGAGCTTGGCTGAAAAGATTCATCTGGCTGTTTTGTCTCGAGACAAGGTAACCTTCTGTACCATAGCTATACAGAAAGAGAGGGGAAGAGAATATATATATATCAAAGAACTGCATACTTTACAGTAATACAAAGGGAACCATGAAACTTGACCATCCACTATACAAATAAAAAATCCAGCTCCCTAGGCTTCATTGGGCTCTAGTGTGGAGCTATACAGAAAGGGAATAGCTCAGTTGTCCATGGTTCCCATTTATTTCTATGGGAGAAAATGAACATGCAATCTGGGTCACAGCAGAGAAAGAGAGAGAGCAAAACTAGATGCTGCAATCAGTCACCATGAGCAGCTAGGCAGGTTTAGCTGCCACTGCAGTAGTGTCTCCAAGTTCACCCTGAGAATTTCTGAAATATACAGGCACTTTTCCACACACACAACCTTTGGTGGGCACAGTGATGGGCATCTTGCTTCTACCATAACAATACCAATCCTTATTTATGTAAATATAATCAGAGCTTTGGCACCTTTCCCAAGAGATGCTCATACCAGTGTTAGTTTCCTATATCAGTAGTGGGCAGGGATCAGGATAGATCTATAGTACATCTCTGATTGATTTGATCAGCAAGGGTTTTGACTTTCAAACATTCAATAATAACAGCAACAAAATAACTTGACACCACCAAATATTGCTGAAAGAAAGAAATCCTGGGGTAACTTGGGAGTGGGGTTTTGCATGTAAGGACTGTGAGCTCCATTCAGTTCTGGTACTCAGAACAAAAGCCTGGGTTTAGGATTCTTTAATTTTCAGTGTAGTGTACAGTGGTACCTTGGGTTACATACGCTTCAGGTTACAGACTCCGCTAATCCAGAAATAGCACCTCAGGTTAAGAACTTTGCTTCAGGATGAGAACAGAAATCGTGCTCCGGTGGCAGCAGGAGGCCCCATTAGCTAAAGTGGTGCTTCAGGTTAAGAACAGTTTCAGGTTAAGAACGGACCTCCGGAACGAATTAAGTACTTAACCCAAGGTACCACTGTATGTATTTTGCACCTGGCACTAGGTAATGGACTCCGCGTGTGTGTATGTGTGGAATGAATGAGAGAAAACTAAAGCAGATCCTTCAAGCCTGAAGTCTGTCCATCCCTGTCCTGGATCTCGAATATGGTGTCACGAAAACCCAAGCTGAACGTATTCTAATGTTCATGTTCTTGTGTTCTTAGAAATTCATACCCTCCAACATCTCTCTGATGAAAATAGGGACCTCCCATCCCATAATGATAATTTTACTATTTATACCCCCCCCACACCTTACTGGATTGCCCCAACCACTCTGGGCAGCTTCCAGCATATATAAAACCATAATAACACATTTTAAAAAACCTTCCCTATACAGTGGTACTTTGGGTTACATACACTTCAGGTTACAGACGCTTCAGTTTACAGACTCCGCTAACCCAGAAATAGTACCTCGGGATAAGAACTTTGCTTCAGGATGAGAACAGAAATCATGCTCCGGCGGCGTGGCAGCATAAGACCCCATTAGCTAAAGTGGTACTTCAGGTTAAGAACAGTTTCTGGTTAAGAACGGACCTCCGGAGCGAATTAAGTACTTAACCCAAGGTACCACTGTACTGTACAGGATTGCCTTTAGACGGCTCGGGGGTTGGATAACTCCATACCCTCCAACATTTCTCCAATGAAAATAGGGGTATCCTAAGGAAAATGGGGACATTCAAGGATAAAATCAGAAACCGGGACAGCTTGTCTAAATCAGGGACATCCCTGGAAAATAGGGACACTTGAAGGGTCTGGAAATATCAACCACCTTCCGGTATGTGAAGGCCACAGTGCTGTTTTCCTGTGGCCAGTTATGATGATTGGCAATTGACAGCAAGCATCCAACGCTGGCTAGTCCCAAGAACAGAAACAAAAATATATCCCTGGTGTCACTTGTGAAAGTATACTCCGTTATTCAATCCTGAAGCATTTAGAATGCAGCACACTTTTAAGAGGAGCACAAACTGTTGTATTGAACAGTGATGTTAGACCTGGCAGAGACAGACACCCGATTCAATTACCGTATTTTTCGCTCTATAACACGCACCCGACCATAACACGCACATAGTTTTTAGAGGAGGAAAATCCGTAGGCATGCCACCCGTAGGCATTCCCTCCATAACACGCACAGACATTTCCCCTTACTTTCTAGGAGGAAAAAAGTGAGTGTTATGGTGCAAAAAATACGGTATTTGCTCTGATCAATGCTGCACAGGGAGGCAACAGAGTTTACAAGCAAGTTGTTCCTGCCGATTTGCATTCCCCAAATCAAAGCAAATCTCCAGCAGACTGAAAGCCAGATTTGCATGGAAAGTCAAGACGCAGCACTGTACTTGCTTTCATGCTGTCCAGGAGGGGGTGCTCCATAGCAACAAAGTTTGCAGCTTATTTGCAGGGAGGAAACAACCAGTGGACTTGTTCGCACACTCGGTGCTATTTCACTGAGCAAATTATCTGATTATAACTAGCGTTATCCTGTTTCAAATGAGCTCATTCGATGCAACATTTCACATTCATGAATGACATTTGGAAGTTATGCAGATTACCGTTCCAAAATAACTACCTCTCGTATGTGCTCATTAGATGATGTTGAAGAGTCATCATGTAAGCATGAAATGTTACATTGAAACTGGCCTGTTGTTGTTTGTTGTCATTGTTGTTTTTTGGAAAAAACACACCCTTCAGTCCCTAATTGACTTGTTTTTATTTTTCTAGTTCAGCGTTTAACCAGCCCCTCCGCTCAGGGGCTGCTCTTCCTCCTGATCCCAAATGTGCGGTCCCTCTTGGCAGCTGAGATGCTGAGAAAGAGAGAGAATTAAAAATGAAGCTTAAATTCCAATTTACGTAAGCTCGGGAATCTTGACAAATTGCTTCCATGTACGGCTTTATCCACCCCTTGCGATTTCAACCACACGTCTCAATCTGCCACTGGGAATCTCAGAAGTGTAATTTACAGCTCTGCTGATTGGTTTAGACAGTCATTCAGCACCTTTCCAGTCCTTCGTCTCCAGTGTCATTATTAAATCACAGACTTAGGAATTAGTGCAAGGCTGAGGCCATTTGATTTTCGGCAAGTCCAATTAACTTTATTTTATACTGACTGGCTGGCTGAGCTGATCTAATAGTTAGCAACCCTTGCCAATGCACAAGAAAGCAAGCAAAAGGCTCCTCGGTGACTGCTCCACCCATTTCAATTTTAAATGCAAATCATTTTTAGACATAATTTATGCCCATATAATGGCATTTGGCTTGTAAATGAAGCACGGGGAGAGGCGAATACCACCCCTTCCATTCATCTTGCTTGCTAGCATTTTAGAACTCTTGCAGGCTCTGAGTCGATACATCCCCCCCCCCCCCCCCGCGTGACTTTTTACAGAAGACTCAAATCAATAATACAGGAAAGGCGAACAATAATGTCCCTCAGTGGAACAGTAGAAAAATCAACACGGTCTCAGCATCTGAACGCAACACGGCACTGCCTTCTCTACATTTATCGGACTGCGTATAACGCTCTAGATGCCAAACAGTGCCTGCCTCTCAGGCTTAGCGCAAGATCCCAGCCTGCCAAATGTCTCTCTCGCCCCTACCACCACACCATGACAATAAAGAGACACTGCAAAAATAGGGCACTCTGTGCTATGAAGTTCAGGAGAGCTGCAGCAGTGGTAAATAAGAAACATCCGTTATACTTTATTGCAGTTGGAACACCCCCTTAAAACAAGGAACATCTGGCAAGTTTACATGCATCAGAAGCAAACCCCAGGATAACCGATCTTAATATGCCAATACATTATTATTACATGGCGAGGAGGAAACATCCGCAAGTGTTCCAATGGCTAGGATCCAAAGAACTACTTTACGTGTGCCTAAGGAATTCCACATACCCTCGAGAATGTTTACTTTAATCCTCCGACCAAAAGCCCCCTCTGTTGTATCACAGACTACATGAGAAATGCTCTTGAGTTTTCAAACCAATTTTTTTTATACAGAAGCTGAGAAACAGTCTCCATGGGCATATATTGATAAGTGAATGATGAAACAGAGATAGATTTAACACTCTTTAGCAAGTTAAATGTTTCGACTCCTGCCTTCCTCACTAACGCAGCTGGGATTTCAACTGAGCAATGTATGCCAAGAACCCAATTCAGTCATCCCCCCCCCCCCATGGCAAAAAATAGCATGAAGGTGAGAATAGAGTTCCATCCCACACCACTGCCAGCTCCACCCAGCCATCTACAGCCCGTCTGATGTAATGGTTACAGTGTCTAGCTAGGAGCTGAGAGACCAGGGTTCAAATTCCTACTCAGCCATGAAACTCCCTAGATGGGTGGCCTTGGGACAGTCAATGCTTCTCAGCCTAACCTACCTCACAGGGTTTCTGTGGGGGTTAAATGAGGACGGGGAAGAACCCTGTATGCCCCCTTGAGCTCCTTGGAGGAAAGCGGTGGGATAGAAATGCAATAGACAAGTCTGCAAGCCTGTTCTCTGTATGCAGGCTCCAGCAGCACGTTGCAGAGTTTATCTGCGTAGAGCGGTTGCCCTCTATGCATCCCGCTTCCTGCGCATGGACACCTGACAGGTGTGCAATGTCGGAAATATCAGGCGCAGCCCTGCTTTTCCAACCATGCAATTGTGTGAGGTGGAATGAAGAGGACTAAGGGGATAGTTTTGAGATCCCTCAGAATAGAATTGTTTCTAAGGCATGTGGCTTGTCCAAGTAAGAGAGGGGTGTGTGTGTGTGTGTGTGTGTGTGTTCGCAAGTGATTTTTATAAAGTTTTATTATATTATTCCTTATTATCTTATATGGATTGGTTATTTTCAATTGCCAATTCTATTGTTAGCCACCTTCTGTATTTTTATAATGGACAAGTGGCATAAACTTATAAGCACTAACTAAATGTGCATACTCTGGTCAAGCTGAAACATCCAGGGTTGTATCCAACTAAGTTCTATTCAGATTGTACCCATCTAAATAAATCAACTTAAGTTAGTCGTGCCCATCTATTTCAATGGACCTACTTTGTGTAAGTTTAGCACAGGATACAATACAGCCTCTAGAATATGGATAGTTTTTGTGCACACGATTCTGGTGTTCTTGTTTTTTCTTTTTTAAATGACTGGTGTGCTAGTTCTACTCATCTCATACGTAGCTACCAGAGTGTGGCTCTTCCCCCCACTGCCACCTACCCATTGTAGGTTTCCAGGGAGATGACAGCACACAGAAACAAAATTTATTTCACAGAATGATAGTGTTAAGGAAGGACATTGATCTCAGCCTTGTTTTCATTCTGTGACATGACCCCATAGAGTTGAAGGGAAGTCCACGCAAACAACAATTATTAGAAAAAATTAACAATTACATTATTTCTTCATAAGCTGAAACACCTTACTATTATTATTATTATTATTATGCTAAAAAAAAAAAAATCATTTCCTTGGGCTTCTAAAATTAGAATTTGTCTCTTCCTCCCCACAGCGGGCACAGTGGAAGAACTCCCCCTCCCCATCACCACACTGCCCCTGTATAGAACATTTGTGTTTCTTTCCCTTATTATTTTCACATATCATACAGACACTTGACAGCTACCACTGCAAAACAAGGAATGCCAACAGCATGTCTGTGGCAGCCTGTGTTGGAGGGGTGGAGGGAGTGAATGCAGTCTGCTGCATTGCGAGGCTGATGCAAGGACATGAGCCAATCCCTTGCATGTCTGCAGCATCCCCCAGGCTAGCATCTTACGGCAAGGTAGCAGTGTGGGTGTGACGAGAGCAAGCAGCTATGCCGGAATGAAAGGAGGCTATGCCACTAAGAGCAGCTGCAAAGAAAGCCAGGCGAGTGGCAGGAGGATATAAATGCACTGTGTCATCATCCTAGAGTGGGAAAGCAATGCAACGCTGACAGAAGGCAGTGCAAACAGTACATCAGGGCACCAGAGGAAGCCCACACAGTTCCCTTGCGTCAAGAAAAATCTTTGTTTTAAATTCAACACAATGCCATATCGGGAGCGTTCCCTAACATCCCTTTCAGTGATTAATGACATTTGTATCCGGCCCTTCTTCCAAAGAATTCTGAGTAGTATTTTTGGCCTCACAGTGCGATGTAGGTAGTGACTTTCCCACCCCACAGAATGAGCTTCATAGCCAAGGGAAAGAGAAGAAAGGGGGGAACGAAATATGTGCTTTCCCCATCCAAATCTAAAACTCTTGTTGTTGCACTATATTGTGTGTAATGTAATATGCAAGCACAGTACTGTATTCACATTATTATGTTATGGCTTAATATTCTTGCCCTTGGCTTTAAGCCAATGATCTCTCACACAAGAGTAAGCTTCACTAAATGAAATATGGTGCGATGTAGGTGTTAAGAGGGGACGCGGGTGGCGCTGTGGGTAAAACCTCAGTGCCTAGGGCTTGCCGATCGCATGGTCGGTGGTTTGAATCCCCGCGGCGGGGTGAGCTCCCGTCTTTCGGTCCCAGCTCCTGCCCACCTAGCAGTTCGAAAGCACCCCTAAGTGCAAGTAGATAAATAGGTACCGCTTTATAGCGGGAAGGTAAACGGCGTTTCCGTGTGCTGCGTTGGTGCTGGCTCGCCAGAGCAGCTTCGTCACGCTGGCCACGTGACCCGGAAGTGTCTCCAGACAGCGCTGGCCCCTGGCCTCTTAAGTGAAATGGGCGCACAACCCTAGAGTCGGACACAACTGGTCCGTACGGGCAGGGGTACCTTTACCTAGGGGTTAAGAGCAGGAACACTTCAAATCTCACCTCCGTCATTAACTCATTAGGTCGTCTTAGAGCATAGCTGTCAAGTGTCCCTTATTTGAAGGGACAGTCCCTTATTCCAGCGCCATGTCCCACTGCTGTCCCTTATTGATAGATGTCCCTTAAATGATGTCCCTTAAATTTCAAAGGAAGCAGCTCCTCTCCCTCCCTCCCTGCCAGCCAGGGAGGAGGGAGGCTCCAACTGTGTTGCTTGGCTGTGTTGCTCACCCAATAAGAAGTCTAAGAACGACTGAGGGGTGGAGCTTGCATGCCTTGTGTGTGGCTAGTTAATGCAAGCTGAGGGTTTTTTGAATGCTGGATGCCATTTTGTTGCACGTGCTGCTGCAAACTTTGCAGTGCAAAGCCAGGCCGGGGAGCCATCTTAAGTTGAGGCTGCATAGGTCTTGTGGTGCATGTGATTCAGATTCTATTCAGTTGAACCTCTGGTTACAAAGTTGGTCCGACAGTGTTTTCAAAGCTACAAGCATGAGTTTGACCAGACTGCAGGAGGACAGGAAGACTGGAGTGCCTGGAACAGGTGAGGCTGCAGGTCCCTTATTTTCAAATCTGTAAGTTGACAGCTATGTCTTAGAGAGCCCCAAGTCTGAATACTGGTCTGCCTTACAGGGCTATATTGTTAATAGCTACTAAGGTAGTATATATATGAAATTTTTTGGAGCACTTACGAGGGGGAAACCCCTTTGAAACAGATATCATCATCAACATTCAATACTGTACATGATGTTGTGATACGAGAGCATGTAATCATTGGCTCTCTGTTGTGTCAGAATATAGAGCAAACTATGCTTCTTTCTAAAACCAACCTAAGGATTAAAATAATTATTATTCTCACACTCTAACCTCAAACCCACTTTTTTAAAAAAAATGTTGGCAGAATGTTCTCCCCTATAAAGCTCTCTTTAATCTAGCCTCCCTTCTCCTTCCAAATTATGTGAGAAGGTCATCTTTTCTCTTTTGATGTTTCCCCATCTTCTATTTTCACACACACAGTCTGTGCTGTGATTCTACTTTTAACCAGATCCCATATTACCAGCTCCAAGGGCTTGCTTAAGGAAAAGCCATGTTACTAAATTCTTCAAATTCGGTTAAAAGGAAGAAGCATGTGTAATAATACCAAGTTTTCACACTTGAAAAATTGAAGTGCAAAATACAGAACCTACTACTACTACCACTCTGCCTTCAGATAGTTGCTCAGAAGGAAATGTGGCCCTCAGGCTGAAAAAGGTTTTCTGCCCCTGTATTACAGTATCACAATGCAAAAACGGACCAAGAAGTCAAGCACAGTGGAGATACAGCTACCCGTTTCCAGAAACAACACGGGCATCTCCATGTTCATTGCCAATGATCCTACACAGTTTACACTGCTATCTCTGGGCCACCTCACATGTGACAAATTCCAACACGAGCATTAATTTCCATATGGGAAACAACATATGTTCTGATCAACCAACACACACAAGTGTTTCTTCACAGCTTCACACCATAGGAGACCTCCACCAATCAGGGCTTCCTGCTGCAAAATGACAAATGTATCTCAGAGTTTACACTGTGAGATGCAGTTTCTACTCTGGAAATGACACATGTGCAAGATATTGGACATATGTGATATGGCCCTCATTAAGATTCTACACCCAATAGAAGCATCCAAAATCACCCTTCCAGACAAACTCTAGCACTAGGTACAAACATCTCAACATAATATACTGCACAAAACTGGCTGTATCCGAAGACACAAAAAGTGAATAGAATTTTCTCCTCGTCTTTCCCAAAAGAGCATCTCAAAGTTGAGAAGTACCGGTGAGGCTGTGCTTGAACTGCTCTGGAGCTTGGACCTAGCTTTGTGAGTCATCTCAGACTGTGTGTGCTCTGCCCTCGGGCCCTTCTTTAGAAACAGAAGGTGTGTGTCATCTTTATTTGGCCAGGTTTGATAGAGTAATAGGAGTTTGTCTTTGTCTTTGTCTTTGCTTTTGCCTTTGCCTTGTGGAACAGCTTCTGCCTATTGCACTGCAGGTGTAAGCTTAGAACCCTAGAGTAAGACACAGCCACCCACAGCCCTAGTCTAGCTCTGGCAGAAAATCTCTGTAGAGTTCTAGGCCTTGTACTGTAAAAAATTACCAGCAGTTGTCTGTTTTGTGTCGTGCTAATCCAAAGCTTTAATTATCATTGGAAACCTACCCAGCAAATGGGATGTGGATACTGGGACTGAAAGAGCGTGGAATAAGCGTTAAGACTTAATTTTGATACAGGACTTTGCAATTTCGTTTTCCTCTTTCTTTATTGTCTTCCTTTCTTCATCTTTTTTCTATTTTTCCTTTTTAGATTAGTGTGATTTTTATTGTATCTTATGTGGAAAACTTTTAATAAAAATTGATTATACACGTGGGGGGTGGAAAGCTGTGTTAGGGCGGTAGGAAAAAGTTAATACAGTAGTGTGAGGGTGGTAAAAGCAGCAATATCTCCTTTCCTTGGGTTTAACCACTTTTCCTGGCATTTCCAGTGGTATAGAACGCCTTCTACAAATGGCCAGCTAGGCTGCCATGTTCTCCTAAAATACCTGTCCCAAAGATACTATTGGGAGGCAAAAGATGTTGCCCCTCCCTTTTCAAGATGACTTCTTTCAGTGTCAACTTACATTGTGAATGGCAAGACAGGTTGGCTTTTGAAGTTGGTCTATTACAGAACACTGAAATTAAGGAACAGCAAAAGCTTTGCTACATCGCAGTGGATGACAATGAAGTCCTACAGTTCTCTTTTGATGTAGTAAACAAAGATCCATCTATGTCTTCAAAAACTGAAGTGTACTATCTGTTTCAGTGATAAATAAACTAGGACCACTGAAAGAAAAGACTTCTCTCTCCAGTGCAGATACTGGTGAACAGATAAATGCATTAGGCAGCTCCTTTTCAAAAGCACCTACTAGGCAATAAACTGCTTTTATAGTGATTCAGGTGCAGGCTTAACTAATCTTCTATTTTTGTGAAATTTTGTTGGAAAATAAATCTGCTCAGACATATATTGAACTGATGAGAGTCTGAACTGGAGAATGAAAAATGAACCTTTTGCCACACCAAATAGCAATTATACAGAAACACCATTTCTCTTTCAAAGAGTCACAGCTCACAAGTGATAAATAAAGAAACCTTCACTGTGAGCTTAGATCTCTAAACCTAATCTCAGTGGGAACTAGAAAACCAGTACTATGGTGAGTCTATTTGATTCATGTTAAAATATTCTTGAGTGGATAATTCTGCTTTTAAAAAATAAATAAATCTGTAATTGAAAGGATGTAATGCTTTGCACAGGGGTAAGGATGATGCAGTAAAAAATAAATTAAAAATCCCGCTATCCTTAATAGAAACCTGTGTCTTCTATTACAACTTAGGGATAATTCACAATTCTGTATGCAGCAGTATGGTATGAAATTGCATGCTAGTACATGCAGTGGGCATGTTCATGGGGCCACAGCCAATGGACTCCCCAGTATACATATGTCCACTTAATTTCCCTACCTGGAAATTACTTTTATAGGGTTGTTGGTGACTTTGTTCTGATGCCACACAAGTATCAAAGAAGGAACCTTTCAGAAGCTGGGCCAACAACCAAGAACTCCCCAAAGATTCAGCAGTTGGCAGTTGGGGTGGTCTCAGTGGGATCCACACAATGATGATGAGGCAGTCCAGTGGTATGGTGAGGAATAAACAAGGGAGGATAGGGCTAGAGAGGGCAACCAAATTGTCACAGGATTTATTTTCCAGTGTGCTAGCTAGTTCTGCTCACAGAGAGAATGCTATTAGGGGCTCTCAGTCAATAAGGGCCATGAAGATTCCATAACCATCATAAGAATCTGGGCACTGATCCCTTATCATGCCTTCCAAGTTGGCAACGAGGTGAAGGCTTCTGCCTCTAGTCTAGGCCTTGTTCCAATCCCACAGTGGGTAGCCCTTGGCAAAACCACTTTTGGTAGCTAGGTGTAATATATGAAGACAATTTGTCTGGAAATGATTTTGGAATATTCTCCTAGGCAATTCCCTAAGAAAATATAATTTCCTTTGCATTAATCATAGAAAAGACAAGACATGTAACCACGTGGCCTAAAACTGTCCCTAAATTGGGTATTCCCAGGACACAGAGAGTCTCAGTAAAGAACATTAACAAGAAAGCATATGGAATATTAAAGGCATGGGCTATCTGTATGAGGGAATGCAATGTGCACCTCTGCACATCACCATATATGAAAATCATGTTGGTACATCTGGGGCATGCAGATACGTTTGGAAAAACACCTTACAATGCAGATCATCAGTCTTCTGCCCAATGTCATAAAGCCACTGTTTTATGTCAAAGCCTGTTCACAATATCCGCACAGTGAAGGATTTACCGTACTTGATTTAGCCCTGGGATACAGAGGAGCAGGCACCCAGGTTGGAGCTCCCTGGAGCAACTTCAGCAATTGCTATGCGTTTTATGTCGCTGCTGCCAAGCCCTGAATGCTCTTTCACCACAAGCCATATGCAAAGGCTGCAAGATTACCGCGAGAGGCAAGTTTTGTATAGAATTATGCTCCAGGTCGTTGTGCAGACTTTCAGATCAAAGTGGTTCATTGTGCTTAGAAGCAGCACCACGAACGCCTGCAAAAAGCTACATCCCACACTTAGCTTAATTATCACAGTATGTACAGGAGGGGAAGTCAGTGTACTTCCTGAGAGCTTTTGACAAGGATATGGCAGCAAAGTGCTATAGGTTTATAGCCTCATTGACTACTGGGTCATGACTGCTGTCTCCTTTCTGCATTGTCATTCATCAGGCACACCTATTATTTCAAGAAACTGGCGGTGGTGGTTTTTGGCTGGATAGCTGAAATCAGGCATTTACAACCGCAGAAATTATATATCATTAGTGGGGCAGAAAGAGAATTTGGACACAAGATTGAAACAGTGGAGGCTGTCTGTAGCAGGAAATGGCTTCAGGTAGTTAAGCCAATTGTTATCCATATGTGTTTAGCAGATTAGTGGGACAAAACCCTCCTTTGTCATGCAGAGATTATTTTTGAACTATTAACCATTAGCAAAATTCTTTCTCCATCCCACCCCTCAAATACTAACAGTTACTAGCAAAATTATGCCAGGTAAGGTACAGATAAGAGTTGTTGGTGGCACCAGAGGGAGGCAAGCACTTCCCCAAACAAGGAGCTCACACACACCCTGCCCACCCATTGCTGGACTCATTACTGATAGATTCTTTTCTTTCAGAGATCTTAACATGTGGGACACAACTTGTGCACCTAGAAATGTACTTTGCCCCTTCTGTGCCTCCCAATTTTTTTTCTGGTGCTGTCACAGGATGGGTGTTCATAGTGTACATACTTGCAGAGAACAATATATAGTGCATATATTTATGGTGTATAGTGTATGTATTTGAAGGAGCAATATGTGAACTGCGTACCAATTTGCACTGAAACTTCCCAGGCAACTTCCCTGCTTAAGTGTCCCGGCCATTCAGTATCAGGTGTGGTGGGCAGGTTTCAGACCCATTGCTATTGTCCCCCAGTGCAGCACTTTGCTTTTCTGCGTAAGAACAATTGGCAGCTATTAATTTATATGTCATAAATAAAGTGTGCATTTGAATCATGAGGGGATAGTCCACTGTCCTAAAAGATAAAAGGTAAAGGTAAAGGTAAAGGGACCCCGACCATTAAGGTCCAGTCGTGACCGACTCTGGGGTTGCGGCGCTCATCTCGCTTTATTGGCCAAGGGAGCCGGCGTACAGCTTCCGGGTCATGTGGCCAGCATGACTAAGCTGCTTCTGGCAAACCAGAGCAGCACACGGAAACACCATTTACCTTCCCGCCGGAGCGGTACCTATTTATCTACTTGCACTTTGACGTGCTTTTGAACTGCTAGGTTGGCAGGAGCAGGGGCCGAGCAATGGGAGCTCACCCCGTTGCGGGGATTCGAATCGCCGACCTTCTGATTGGCAAGTTCAAGGCTCTGTGGTTTAACCCACAGCGCCACCCTCCCATCCTAAAAGATATTCCACACCAATCAGATCAGATCTGCATAGTCCCACTTGTATTCTGTTGGGATGGAATGCTAGGGACCTGGCAATTATAGATGCAGAGCACTACTATGATGTTGAAGCATATTGCTCATATCAGTATTATAAAAGTGCCTAAATTATTATTCTACAGGAGGGGAGAGAAGCATCTACCCTAATAGCAAACTCAGGTGCTAAGACTTCTATGTACAGTAGTCAAAATGGGGCTCCAGAAGAAAAAAGAGAGGAATGTGCCCAGGGGAAGGCCAAAGTTTGCAGAAGAAGAAAATATTTAAGAATGAAAATCTAAGTAGGGGTGGAAATCATCCCCAAATAGTACAGACATGACTGAGCATGCTCAGTGGCTACAGAATGTTGAGTATCTTTGGTGAGATGGAATAAAGTATTTTGAAAGAAGGAATGATAGGCTGGCTAACACCACACTGGTGTTATCATTACATAAGATGGACCAAATGACTAAGATTTTCCAAGCACTGTACAGACTGCACCACAAAATCTATTTTATTGTTGTAGGTCTCACTTGTTTTCTCTAATTCACTTCAAGATGACAAGGAAAAGGTACCAACTTCTGTTGAGCTTCCCTTAAAATCAATGAAGAAAGAGGGAAGTCCATTTTTCTATCCGACCAAACTTTAGGACTGCTGCTAGAGTTATATAACAATATATTATACAATAAAAGCCTTCAAATCCAATAATGCAATGCATGATTAGGACATTCATACTCCTGCTCTGCTCAGTTCCATTGAAAAGCAAATTGCTAGTCACTTCTTCCCACCTCTCCAATCCCCTCATTACTTTCACACAATTTCATGATTGCAAGAGATTCAGCTCATGTCATTTGAACATCTAGAACAGGCAATGGGAACAATTTCCCTTCAAGAAGCAGACACACTCAATGATTCCAAAATAATTACATCTGCTAAACTATCTCATTTGCACAGGATTTGCCAAAGAAGAAAGGTAACTATTTAGTACAGAAAGCTACACTTTTAATTTACTCTCCAACAATTTCTTTCTTCTTTTATTACTTATTCAGCACACAAAATTGGTAAGCAGAGCTATTAACATTCTCCACAGATAAAAATAAATAAACCCCTGGTCTTAAAAGTGCCTTGCACTGCAGCTGCCTTTGCAAGTTCGTTACAATTTGGTTTGCACAGCTGGCAAGGACTGCAGGTGGCCAGAAACACATTAGAAATGTGCTTGACTACTACCGGGTAAGTTAATGTGAAGGAAATCATAATGGGTTTATTTTGCATGGATCCAAACAACAGCCAGCAGGTTTACACAATTTAATATAAAGCATATACCTGGGGAAATACAGACATGTCACCACCCACCAGCGTTATGTAAATGACGTATATTTTTGCCCTAGTCATTCTGTTTTCAAACGTGCTACAACAGCAAATCAGTGCTTAACAGTGCAATCTATAGGTGTCAATTCAGAGGTTATCTCCACTGAGTTCAGTATGTTTGTAACCAGGTATGAGTTTTGAAGCATGTGTGTTTAGGACTGCAGCCCAACTCAGGGTAAAACTACATAGCAACAGCACAATAGCAAAAAAAAATTTTTGTGTGTGTGTGTGTGTGTGTGTGTAATACCAACAACATAAAAGCCCCTGACCAAAAATATTTTCAAATTTCATTTATGTGTTGGCCATTCAATGGCTTTCCCATAGGATCCTATACACTTGCTAAGCACCCCTTTTTATTCAGGTTTTTGTAAATTCCATTCATATGTATAACTGCATCACAGTATATGGCATGTGGACAGGTATGTTTGCTGTCCTTTTCTTTTTAGTACACTTCTACACATTATGGCTGCAGAAATCTAAAGCAAGCAGCAAGTGACTAGTAAAATCCAAGAAACACAAAGAAGGGCTAAGGAGGACTTCCAGTGGTAAGAAATTAGTTCCTTGGTATCTTGAACAGATCATTGCCCTTCATCTATACCAGGGGTCTGCAACCTTTAAAACAAAAAGAGCCACTTGGACCCATTTCCGAAGAGAAAAAAACTGGGAGCCGCAAAACCATTGCGACATTTAAAGCATGCGCGCCGCTGTCCTCCGATCTGACAGCGGGCGGGAAGGTGACGTCGGGACAGTGCGTGACTAACGTACGCACTGCCCCCATGCGACGTCACAGCCTGTACAGCGCCCGCCACAGTGGGGAGTGTCGGGGCGCACAATGCGCCTCCTCCCCTCGCTGTGGGGAGTGGGGAGTGTCGGAGCCGCGGCAAAGGTGTAAAAGAGCCACATGCGGCTCCGGAGCCGCGGGTTGCCGACCCCTGATCTATACCTACTCATTCTTAGATTCTATCCAGAGATAAACTATTGAAGGAAAGGAAGGCCTCAGGTTAAGCTAAAATTTTGGGGCCCAAGTCTCTGCTATGTTATTGCCACTGTCTTGACAATAAGTACTGTTCTGTTTGCTTATATATAACTTTTTTTAAAACTGTGTGTGCTCACTGAGTACATATTAGCCCGAACACAGCCCATAATGGCAAAAAGAAAAAAGAAAAAGCATCAGCTGCCTTATTTCCAATTAGACCAAAGATCTATGTGGTACTAGACTGGGTGGAGTTCTTTAGGATCTTAGGTAGACGTCTCTCCCTGTTCTGCTGAAGTGTTTCAGCCAGAGGTGCCAAATCGCTCCTGAACACAGATACTGTACTCAGTGCCTCAAATACTGTATAGCTGTTTCTCCAGAGTCGTCTGCGACTGGACCTAACGGTCAGGGTTACCTTTACCTTTTTACATTGACTTCTGTTCCTACAGCTCTCCTATTGCATTCCCCCATTGTACTTCCTATAGTACTAATCACTATTCCAAATTCTTGAAAAATCTAGAATCTTGATAGCAAAATAAATGATGCAGTATTCGTAGCTATTTGCATGTTTGCTTAATTTGTATAATATTGTTGAACGCCACCAGAATCTCTGCACAGTGTGAGATTCTAGGGGTTCCAGGTGCTTAACAGGCATTTGTGTTTACTTTAGGAATGAGGCACAGCGGAGACTGTGGCGTGTCTTTATGACATGGTTTATTTACAAATATATACAACCTGTGCCTGTGATGGAGGGGTTAACACCCTGAAAGGGTCTTGTTTCTCCCACAGCTACAGTCTTGGATTAAAACCGAAATCAAACATTGCTCTCAAATGTTGCTCTGACTCTCTCTAGCTTGCTACCTTCCTTCTACGTCGCATCACTGCAACTCAACTCTAAACTCAAGCTTTGTCCTATCTTCCACCCCACCCCCCACTCATAACAATATACTCTAGATAAGTGTTTCCCAACCTTTTTCCGACCCTGGCCCCCTTCCGACCTTGTTTCCTTCCTGTGGCCCCCCACTCCGTCATACCGGTAGAAAGGAAACTATTTAAATGTTTTGTTTGTAAACAGAACGTGTTTTATTCATAATTTTTATCATTTCTACAAAATACAATTACATAAAATGATAGGAACATAATGAAATATTGTCGAAGCAGAAAAACATAGAATCATAGAGCTGCAAGGGTCATCTTTCTAGTGCACCCCCTGCAATGTAGGAAACTCAGCTAAAGCATCCATGACAGATGGCCATCCAACCTCTGCTTAGAAACCTCCAAGGAAGGAGAGTCCAGAACCTCCCAAGGGAGATCTATCTTCCATGTATTACAAAAAGGAAACACCACTTAACTGACCCCATTTATTTCACACAGAGGGGGAAACCTACAGATACAGTCCAAAAGGCTCACAAGGAGTTATGCATATATGGGAGAATTTTAAAAAGCAAGTTGTCCTCACTGACCTGGTACTAAAAGATCTTGTCATCCAGAGGAGCCCTGGCTGCCTAGATAAAACACTATAGTCCTATGCACCTTTACCTAGGAGTAAGATCCACAGAACTCAGTGTGACTTTCTTCTGGTTAGTTACTAGATGCAAGTCAGCAGCACCCGACAACCCCACTTGGCAAGACGCTGGGGTGGATTTCACCCCGCGCCTTGCAGAGCCGAGCTGACGCTACTGACGGGCCCTGTGCCCCCTGGCAACATCCAAGGGGCCTGATCCACTGGGCGCTGGGGTGGATTGCAGTGCCTAGTGAGTCAAGTCCAGGCTGCCACCAGGCCCAGCTCTCGTGGCAGCAACAAGCAGCTCTGGCTCACCCAGCCCTACCCCTTGCCACACCACCACCACACTTACTTGACGTAGGGGTTCTGGATCGTGGGCTCTACTGGTCAAAATGGGAGTCTCAGCAATTGCCCACTCCCTCCGGAAACAAACCAGGAGCTCAAATGAAATGCACGTGGCAAAAAGGAGCGCTAGGCGCTGGTGGGCCACCCCCTTACCCACTTGTGATTGGCCAAGCGGATAGCCAGGCAGTCAGGATATCTTTTAATTTAAAAAATGATTCCCCTCTCCCCGTCACTTCCCTCTGTGTCCCCCTAGCCTTGTGCTATGGCCTCCCATTTACGTGATTTTCACCTTTGGCCCCCTTGGAATATCCTGGGGGTCCCCAGGGACCATAGATGTGACACATGGGTTTGCCTGACTCAATTTCTGTTACTTTGATGCATAATTTAGTACACAGAGTCTTGCTTCTTGCCATGTATTGGTACAAATTCATGTAATCCTACATAAGAGGGGATTAGAATGAGCAAGAACCTTGATCACTGCCATTTGTAGCAAACAGATACTGTTTTTTTGTAACTAAAAGAAACCGACTGTAGTGAACATGTACTTTTTTGTACAGTATTAATCGTGATGCATCTTCCACATTCAGCACCCGGGGAGAAATGTCCTATCTATATGTTTCAATTGTGGCAATTTATGGTTCACTTTCCCCCTCTCAAGATAATTCTATGAAAAGCATTCAACCTATCCCAAAAGACAGCAGATCCAATAATGGCTTTATTTTCCCCAAATGAACAAAAATATCCAAAAAGTAAAATGACACAGAACAATTCTGAGTATATCCACTATGTGCAGGTTAATACATGGTGGCAGCTAGTGATTGAAACTGAGATGCTGAAATCAATGTAATTTCTCTTTCCATTAAAGAGACTTGGAACTAAGAACATAATGGGGTACTTAACATGGATAGATGGCATAGGCCATCACTCACTTTCTGAATGCACTTATAAAATTCTTTAATAGCCAGATGTTTAGAAAGCATCATATCACTTTAAAATAAAGGAAACTAGAATGAGAAAGTTACATGTAGGTAGCCATGCTGGTCTGCTGTAGTCGAAACAAAATAAAAAAATTCCTTCCCGTAGCACCTTAGAGACCTACTAAGTTTGTTATTGGTATGAAGAAGCGTGCATGCACATGAAAGCTCATACCAATAACAAACTTAGTTGGTCTCTGAAGTGTTACTGGAAGGAATTTTTTTATTTTGTTTGGAATAAGAAAGATAAGCCCACTGGGGCAATGGCAGGGGTAGGACATGAACAAATCAGGGGTGGTGGAGGAACTTATGGTAAAAACATACCAAGTATGGCTACAGCCCAACACAAACTGGTAAATCATGTGACCAACACCATGCCAGTGACGCATAACCTGGGCTTCAGGTACTGAACAGAAAGCAATCATTGGCTATGATGATCTATGGATGAAGCTATAACTCACCACTGTACAGTTCTTTGGCACCAGCCATATACAGCTAGTATTGGAATCAAAGTAGAAAACAAATTCAGTGTCAATCACAATGACATTCAGAATGGACCCCTTGGGTAAAACTGCATCTTGCACTGCAAACATGGTTTATGTTTTAAAAAACTGGCCTGTTGTATCTGCCACCTTAGCTCTGCCTTTTTATCATAAGCTCTTCCCCGACTCCCCAAATTGCATTGTACAACTGAATCACGCGCTTGCATGGAAGTGCCACAACTCATGCCACCCTGCTGCAGCTTCTAAGGACCACCTGCTCCCCCACTTCCCAAGATGCCTTGTATCCCTTTGTGGGTGGTGACACACCCAGTTTATGTCAATACTACAGGGACTGCAGTAAAATGTGCAAGTACTAATGAGCCGATATTGAATTACGGTATTGGAATATTTGAACAAAATAGCTCATCTTAGCAATTCCATACTGCCATTGACTTGAATGCCCCCATTTCTGCTGTGGAAGTTGTCAGGTGGTTGCCATGGGGTAGCACAGTTGCTGTAGCAACCATACATCACAGAAGCTGACGACATCTGGTCAAAAAATCAACCTGTTCATTATCAACAGGTTATATTTATACACAGTGAGTGACTAAGCTCTGCATGCCAATGTTTTGTTTTATACTCCCTGCTTCCTGTGTCAAAGAGAGGATTACTATGTTGCCTGCCAACTACCATCAAGGTAAGATGGCTTTCAGCACAGGTGGAGTGAGATCCAGATACGTACAGTACTCAGCCCCACTCAGTTTTGGTGGGAGCTGCTTCCTGGCATGAACAAGGATGAAAACAATAAATGCTGAGTGAATTATCCTGGTTCTATATGGACACCATGTCAATTCTGTTCCTGTCCTAGATTTGAGTGAGATTTTGGGAAAGTTTTGGGTGCTGCTTTGAGCAGTTTCTTCACGTAGCACACAACTAAAACTACAGAATTTGCTCCCACGAGTAGTGATGGCTATCAAACTGGGTGGTTTTAAAAGATTAGACAAATTCATGGAGGAGGCTATCAGTAGCTAACCATGAGGGCTATGTTCTACCTCCACAGTCAGAAGACAAGATGGCGACCACTAGCTTTTAGTTAAGTTTTATGGTTTTAACTCCATTTTTTAAAACGCTTTTAAATGTTTAAGGCTTAGGCTTATTGCTGCACCGCCCTTCCCACCTTACTTTTTTTAAACCTCCGCAGTTGGAGGAAGTACAGCTCCATTAGTTGCTGGAATTGTGGGTCCAAGAGCACTTGTTTCGCTCAGGTTCTGCTTGTGGGTTTCCCATAGGCATCTGTGTATGGCCCATGAGAACAAGCTGCTGAACTAGACAGGCATTTGAATTGAACCAGCAGGCTTTTGTGTTCTTTTAAGTGCATCTTGGAGCTATAGGGCAGAATTTAAGTATTCTATAGGAACATGTATGACTTAATGTATTTACAGACATGCGGCCCCCATTCAGATTTTACAGCATTTATCGCATAGCACCACGGGAAGCAGGTATTCTGCAGAAACACTAAGAGAACCATTGGCAATGAGAGATGGAAACAAGCAGGTCAAGCAGTAGGAAACTCATATGATAATAGGTAATGTGGGGTAAAGTGTAGTAAAATACTGAGGAAAGTTTGCCCACCTGCATTAACCCTAACTGAATGGTAAGGAAATTTTTTCCAACTATCCAAATAAAATGCCGTTATGCAATTCAAAGGTTTGCTCATCTGCACCATTCCTTTTTAAACACATACCAACTGCCACATCAGATGAAAGCCAAAGGAGTTGTTGTAGAACAAGCATGGCATATTCCTAATCACTTGTGTGAGCTACCCTCAGAAATTTGTATTGTGTAAACAAATAAAAGAATGGGAGCAAGTCAGACGTCCAATTCATCCTTAACAAATGGGAAGAAAATTTGTTGCCGCACACCAACTGCTCACGTGCAGTGGAAATGTGTGGTAAAATGGTTGTCTCATTCAAATTCACAATGGAAAGGGAAGTTTTTACCACGTGCCAAAGTGTGAAACCAATGGAACACTAAAATGGGATTTGTATCAATTCTGTCAGATGGTATGACCGTGGCCAATGTGCGTGAAGAGATGTGTGGTAAAATAGCCATCACTTTCAACCCTATCAGATAGCAAGAAAAGGTTTTAATGGGCAGATTTACCAACCACACAGGTGGCAGGGAAACTTTTTACTACAACCCAGCCTCCAACAATTGCTTAGAACTGTGGCAAAATGGGTGCCATATAGCTGACCACTTTTTAACACCAACACCACCCCTGCTGTCATATAGAGACGAAATGGACGTTGTCATTCAACCAGTATTAAACGTGAAGGGCATTTTTTTTACCACACATCAAGTCAACTAGTGGCAAAAAAAAAAGCGGGAAGAGGACACTGAGCGAGAGGCCTTTTTGCCCCTCGTGCAGGCCCATCCCCCCCCCTCTTGCCCCGCGCAGCCTAAGACGCGAGAGGCGCGCAAAAGTCTGCAGCCAATCAAAGAGAAGAATCAGTTCCGCGCCTCGGGCGCCTCCGGCTACCCCCCTCGCCTGCCCCCAGCGCGAGGGCGTCAGTAAGGCCCATCCGCTCGCGCCCAACGGCCACCCGCGGCCGTCTCAACCACTCTGGGCGATAGGAGGGGAGAGAGAGAGAGGAGATTGAGCCTGCACCGTGCGGAGGTGTTTAAGTGGGGGACGAGTTGCACAAGCCGCCGAGAAGAATGATCCAACCACGGGGGAGGGGAAAAGAGCTGCCTCGGGTGGGGTGGGTGGAAGTGTTGGGGAGGGAAGGGGGCATTAAAATGGCTTCGACACCCCCCCTGCTCCAGTGAGGTGCTGGGGCCCGGACTATACCAAGCGGGGAGGGGGGATAGGCGCAGACGGGGGCAGCCCTTTCTCCCCCCGTCCGGGGCGGATGGGGTATCCCGATCAGGGCGGGGAGGGGGGAGCGGACTGTACCTCTCCGGCAGGGAGGGGGGAATGACAGCGCCCTAACCCTTATCCCCCACCCGCGGGAGCGAACGGTTTGTCCCGGTCCCGGCGCCATCTTGGGTGCGACTAAAACAACAACCCCCAAAACCCTTGCCGGAGCCCTGCGGGAGCCCCGGCACGCGCTCCCTACTCGGGCCGTCCCATCGCATTACCTGAGGGGGTTCAGTGGCGGTGTCGTGTCCGGACCGTCTCCCAGGGCCCGCCGCAAACCAAACCCGCCCACCTGTCCTCACCTCACAATGGTAGCTGCAGAGCGGGAGGGGGGGAGAGGTTGCCCAGACTTATTACCATAATCTGCCTAGCAACCGCAGCCGGGGCCGCGAGCTGATTGGTACGCCGCCACGCTTATTTTAAGGGATGACGCCGAAAACAGCTCCGGGATGACTACGCAGGCTACATAATAAAACGGAAAATTCAGGGAGGGGGGGCTTCAAATCTGTGGGGAGAGAGACCCCACACACTATATGCCTTCGGGCCAGCAGAACTCGGGGACCTCGGTCTGCCAATCACAGCAAAGCTCTCATCCTGCCGCATCGTTGCAAGGGGTCGCCCACCAATCGCGAACGTCGTCTTAATTCGAGCGTTTCTAGCAGGGCGGTAAACGTGACACGGGCCAGCGCCCCCTGGAGGAAAAAGGGAGCGACGGGAGCGCGTTTAGTAGCGCCCCCTGCAGGTGGGGTGGCGAAAAAAGGGTTATGGCTGCATGCAGGGGGTGGGAAGCGACACCTGCTGGAGAGGAATAAGAAAACCCTCATTGCTTCCTGAATGATGATTCCCACTGGGATCTTACCTAGATGACATTAAAAGAGGATTAGGCGCATTAAGGGAGGACAGGGCTATCGGCGGCTACTAGCCATGATGGCAGGGTTTTACAGAGGCATCTCGTTGGCCACTGTGAAAACAAGATGCTGGTCTAGGTGGGCCATAGGCCTGATCCAGCAGGCTGTTGCTATGGCCTTACGTCTTCTATTTGGGAGCAAGGCTCCCACACCTAAGTCCTATCCAAACCTATAAAACCTTAAGAAGGGAGAGCAGCAGGGGCTCTGAAGGTGCACATCAATAAATAGCACATGGGCAGCAGACTGAGCAGATATGCAAGTCACTTGTTCAGAGTCTTGTTCCACACAGAGATGTAGTCCTATTTAAATTACAACATTTCTAAATTTGCATGTTTTAGCTCATGTAGATCAATTTCGTCTTTTGGTTGTGCCTTTTTTGGCAATGCGTAAGTGGCCACCCTAATAACGAGACGTAGTCTCATCCGCAGCGCACCAGTCCTGCACACTGACTAATGTTTAGGTAACTGAATGAGCTCACATACTCAGTACGCTTGTCAGAGGCACATAGCCTCGGACTGCAATTCCCACCAGCCCCAGCCAGCATGTCCAGTTGTCAGGCATTATATCTGAAGGGTGCCACACTGGCAATCCCAAAGAGAACCTGCAACTATTGCTTTAAAAAAGGAAAAGGAAAATTCTTCCTTTGCAAGTAACAATTGAAGAGCGGGCCTTTAAATGTTGCTGTGAATCCTGGGACTCTAGTTGTGAGGGGAATAGTGCTGTGTGCATGCGCGTGCGCTAAAACAGCACTTTGCACATCTCTGGTTTTGCTCGGAACTGAAAGCAGAGGCTGCTCCTTTGCCCATCCTCTGCTGCAAACGGTATCATCAGGATTCAGAAAAGCAACACCCCAGGCCACCACATTCGTGTGAACAGTTATCTCTGGTTTAGCAAACACAGCTATGAGTTGTGTAGGCTGTCACAGATGTTGCTGTTATCGTGCAGAAAAACTTGAGGGTTGCGTTAATCAATCTGGCATAACTGCTTCCCCTTGGTCCGGACTATCTTCAAGGGTAGCTCCATATAATGTGCATTACAGTAAACTGGGAGGTTGACAGGGCATGGATTACTGTGGCTGGGCTATCCTGGTCCAGGAGTAGCTAGTGAACCATCTAGAGCTGGAGGTAAGTACTCCTAGCCACTTGAACTTCTAATGACAACACTGGATTCAGAGAGCCAGTGTGGTGTAGTGGTTAAGAGCGGTAGTCTCGTAATCTGGGGAACCAGGTTCGCGTCTCCGCTCCTCCACATGCAGCTGCTGGGTGACCTTGGGCCAGTCACACTCTCAGCCTCACTCACCTCACAGAGTGTTTGTTGTGGGGGAGGAAGGGAAAGGAGAATGTCAGCCGCTGTGAGACTCCTGAAGGGGAGTGAAAGGCGGGATATCAAATCCAAACTCTTCTTCTTCTCAGCTAGAGCTGGAGGTAAGTACTCCTAGCCACCACGCTATGCACCTCCTGCTTCAAGGCCATTACAACCCTATCACAAAGAGGTGGCTCATTCCCAGTTCCCAAACAGAAGACACACCCACCCTTCCATCTTGTCAGCATTCAGTCTCTGTTGATCCTGCTAAAAATCAACCAGGTTCGGCATTTCTGCTGAAGCCCAGTTGAGATGGGTCAAGCTAATGTTTCCTCCATGCACATCTCAAGTTGGACAACCACCCCCCTCTCAAAAGCATTGCACCTGAAAGGAATATTTGTGAAACGGGTGGTAGCTGTCACACTCTGGATCTGGGAAGGGCTTCTTAAGAAGCGGCTGCATCGCCTCATCCATGACAACCTGTACCACATATTTCTCCCCCAAAGAAGCATAAACCATTCCCCACATCCACTCAGTCAGCTTCGTGCTAACAGAAGTCAGTGCTCCAATGCAGAATAAATAAAGTCACATATGGAGTGGAATTTGGGCTGTTGGGAGTTCCATTATCCCTCTCCTGTTTGCACTGGGAACCGTTGTATTTCTGAAAACAGCCAGGAACATCCATCTATGCTTGCAAAATGTAAGCTGAATTTACCAGCATTTAATAACGTATTTCTGTCTTGGTATCAGATGATATGTGTGTCAGTGATTTCTTGGGTCTACCATCTGCTCACATGCTTTTATCAATTAGAGAGCACTAAGCAGAAAACAAACACCTTGGCAAGGATACGAATTCGATATTAAAAACCGCTTCTTTTTCTGTACTGGGAATTGTATATAATGAAACCCCAGCATGAGTTCTAGCAGAATCCTGGCCTTGAATTTGTAAGTGGAGTGGGTGAGTGGGGTAAATATTTCCTGAAAGAAATGGTATGTCTGATCCTGCAGGTCCTTAAATGAATAATTGCACAATGAAAAATTTAACTTTACTGGGACTATTCATGTACGTAATGGCTATTTGTATGAAGGAAGTTCTGGAGTTTGAGCATTAAAATTGTATAATCCATCATCAGTTTGTCATTTTCCTTCGGTGACGTTCAGTCTTGTTTCTTAACATTTGAAACAAAAAACATATTTAACTGCCAGAACCATCCCGCTTGCTGCACTTGCCCTCTGGGTTCAGTTAAGCACACTGTATCTCTGTTACAACCAAAGTGAAGATGGGGCACTCTAAGGTCACATGATGCACACCAGATGAAACGCTTGTCTGTTTAGCCCAATATTGTCTACCCTTGACTAGCCAAGGCTTTCTGGTGTCGTAAGCAAACGACATTCTATTTGATCATCTTATAGACAACAGGGAACAAACTAAATCAGACCCAAGTTCCATCTAGCCTAGCATTCTGTTTCCTGCAGTGACTGACTAGATGTTCTGAGGAAGCCGGACTTAAGGCAGTTGCCTTTTCCTGCTGTTGCCGCCAAGTGACTGATGTTCACTGGCATAAGGTAAAGGTAAAGGGACCCCTGACCATTAGGTCCAGTCGTGACCGACTCTGGAGTTGCGGTGCTCATCTCACTTTATTGGCCGAGGGAGCCGGCGTACAGCTTCTGGGTCATGTGGCCAGCAGGACTAAGCTGCTTCTGGCGAACCAGAGCAGCACACAGAAACACTGTTTACCTTCCTGCTGCAGCGGTACCTATTTATCTACTTGCACTCTGACGTGCTTTCGAACTGCTAGGTTGACAGGAGCTGGGACAGAGCAACGGGGGCTCACCCCACTGCGGGGATTCGAACTGCCGACCTTCTGATCGGCAAGCCCTAGGCTCTGTGGTTTAACCCACAGCGCCACCCGCATCCCTGTTCACTGGCATACTGACTCCAAAACTTGTTTCCATTAAGACCATGAGTTTTGATCAGACCTGTATCTGGCCAAAGGGCCATTCAACCATAATGCTGTTCCTACAGTACCTAACCAGAAGCCTATGGGCAGCAAGCAATCGGAACATGTTTCACTTGTGTTCCACAGCAACCAGTGTTTGGAGACATGCCACCTTTGATACTGGAGCTGGTGCACAGCTATCATGACCAGTAGCCACCAATAGCCCTATCCCTCCATGAATTTGTATAATCCCCTTTGAAAGCCAACCCAATTGTTGACCAACACTAAAACTTGTGGTAGCAAATTCTGTAGTGTAGCTCTGAACTGCCTGAAAAAAAAAGTGTTTCTTTTTATCTGTCTTTGGTCACCCCCAGCTTCTAGTATTTTATTTATTTTTATTTAGATTTATGTACGGCCCTTCATCACAAGATCTCAGGGTGGTTCACAAGTTGAAAATACAAGGTTGAAACACCAGTAAATAGTTCAAAACAAAAAACAATAACCCCCCCAAACCTATTTTAAAGGCTGTAGAATATTAAATCGGCCATACAAAACAAGACAAAATTTGAAATACAAATTCAAAATACAAATTAGCGTAACACTTAGGAACAATTTAAAACTACCCTGCCCCAAATAGACAACCCCCCCCCCAAATTTTTAATAATGTGGGAATGTTTAGGAAGGTAGGAGAGGATATATTGATTAAATATGATCCCTCCTCATTCAGCTCGTGAGCAAACAGCAGAGCACATTCCCTTGCAGCCTGTAGGAAGCTGTTGATGGTTTCAGTCTTTTAATTAAGAAATCCAGGATGCCTTTGTGCAGACTGGGATTCTTCCTGGCGATTTCCCCTTTATTTCCCCTCTTACTCAGTTCACAGCAGTAATCTGAAGGCAGGCTTCATCTTGTGGTCACAGTTACATTTGTAAGGGTAAAACATGTAGAGAAAACAAGTCTGAGCCAAATCTCAGACTCCAAAAGACGTGTGGCTTGCCTCCTCTGTAATGGATGAGCCCAGGGGTTGGCTAAGAGCCAGGAGCTGTAGAGTTCAAGTCCAAAAAGAGAAAATTGAGGAAAAGGGATAGATAGTATGAGATCTATCCACTTTCTCTGAACCATGCATAATTTGATACTCCTCTGTCATGCCCCCCCCCTTGTTTTGCCTTTTTTCTAAATTAAAAAAAACACCAGTGTTGTAGCCTTTCCTCCCTTAATAATTAAACTGTAATAGCTTCATCTCCTTCTCAGCTGTAGTCATCACTGCACCAGTTATAATTTAGAGTTTAGATAGCGACACAAGAGGGTGCCTTATACCAGGAAACATGGCGTGATATCCAACCAAGCAGCTCCATTAGCACAAGGGCTTGCACAATGGAACTTTCTTTCCTTCTCGTCTCCCCACACACCCGCCCCATAGCCAGTGTAAGTGAAAAATAATGTGCATATTAATCTAGGTCAGTGTTTATCAAGCTTGAATCTCCAGCTGTTTTTGGACTACAACTCCCATCATTCCTAGTTAGCAAGACCAGTGGTCAGGGATGATGAGATTTGTAGCCTAAAGACGGCTGGAGACTCAAGTTTGGGAAACACTGATATAGGTGATGGACAGTTTTATGATTAAGGGAAAATCAAGAGGGTTCAAGATTATGGGGACAGGGAATCGTGAAATGAGCATCAAGTTTCAGCTAAAAGCAAATAGGAATTTAGGACAAAAGCAGAAGTATTAAGGAACATGCAAAACATTTTTCTAACATTCCAGTTGTAGAAACTGATGAACGCAGGATTTCAATAGCTAATATGCTTACATTACAGATTTCAGCAATAAACTGCTTAGCTAAGGCGTTCTAGCGTGATGACTATCTCAGAGAGAATAGTGGAACGAGGCCAGATCATGTGTATTACAAGACAGGATGAAGTCATGTTCTTGCCCAGGACTGTAATAAGCAATGAACTGTGTTGAGGAGACGAATGGCAGGTTTGGGAACCAATCAGAAAGAGACACCCTGAGTTGGATGGAAATAGGGCAAGGCTTTGGTCAGATAGATGCAAGTAATATCTGAAATGGAGGAACTAAGTAAGCAAGAAGGACTTGGCCTCAGACATGCGAGAACATTTGAATTGTACTTTATATTCCATTACAGTTTTAGCTTAACAAATCTTTAAAATCATTTGAGCTTGTCCGACCCATCACTGCTTAGTTCAGAAGGTTAAAGGTAAAGGTAAAGGTACCCCTGCCCGTACGGGCCAGTCTTGACAGACTCTAGGGTTGCGCGCTCATCTCACTCTAGAGGCCGGGAGCCAGCACTGTCCGCAGACACTTCCGGGTCACGTGGCCAGCATGACAAGCTGCATCTGGCGAGCCAGCGCAGCACACGGAACGCCGTTTACCTTCCTGCTGGTAAGCGGTCCCTATTTATCTACTTGCACCTGGGGGTGCTTTCAAACTGCTAGGTTGGCAGGCGCTGGGACCGAACGACGGGAGCGCACCCCGCCGCGGGGATTCGAACCGCTGACCATGCGATCGGCAAGTCCTAGGCGCTGAGGTTTTACCCACAGCGCCACCTGCGTCCCTGTTCAGAAGGTTAGGAGACTCCAATTAGTTCCAGGTTTGTAGCTTTAAGGAGGGTAGCAGGATCCCTGTGGGAGCATGTTGGGGGTCCCATTCTAAAATATCTAATAAAGAAAAATTCCTATAAGGGTTGGGGAAACCCCAGAATAGATGTAGGGGGTGTGAAGAAATCATAGAATTGTTGAGTTGGAAGGGAGAGGGAGGTGAAGTTCCATTTTGCTACTAGAAGATGGAGATACCATTAGGGACTGAACCTGGGACATCCTACATGCAAAGCAGGTGCTCTGATTGGTCCTAGAACAATAGGATTCAGAATGCAACAGTCTGATTGGTCCTAGAACAATAGGATTCAGAATGCAGCAGTCTGATTGGTCCTAGAACAATAGGGTCCAGAATGCAGCAGTCTGATTGGTCCACAGGAACCACCCAATCCAGCTCCACGTGGAAGTGAATCCACAACCTGATTGGCCTACAGGTGAATCCCGGAATTAGCCAATCATTTGGGGCCCATTGTGTAAATAATGTATATAAAGCAGACATTCTGGGGGAACTTCCATTCCTCCTCACCACTATGAGCTGAATAAAGAGCATGAAATCCACTCTCGACTCTCGAGTATATTTCAGCTTTATAAATGATAAATATTATCAAGATATTAGAGGA